TTTATAATTTCAACACCTTGATCACCCAAAAACACAAGACATAAGTAAACCGAAACAAATTCTATCTAATTAGACTTATTTACAAGTAAGAATGAGGCTAAATATGTATATTTTGACCTCATCAGCATCTTTGTCCTTTTGTTTGTCCCTGCAATTAATAAATATCAATATAAACAAAAATTTCAGTAAAAAACATGATACAATCAACCTTGATTACGACAATAAACTAATGAATAATGGTGTTAACCATCTCGCTGATAAGAAAGTTTTTGACAGATGCGTCATCTGCATATTTACCGTAAGTAGATGTTCCCACATTGAATAAGCGAACATAGACCCTCTAATTAAATATGACAATAATTAGTGTGAACTTGATGGAATTGATTGGATGGAAAATGCGTGAGCTTGACATTATGCGAAACTGGGCGGTAGACATCCGGTTGTGTATACTTGCTTTGAGGTTTTCTTTGGTGTTAGTTGAAAGTCATGATGGATTGGGGAATTTATAGCCATGTGTAAGTTATGACAAAGTGATAAGAATTGAAGTTAATTAACACTAATTTTGGGATTACGATAATGTTATCAATATGTTTAATTTGAGTTGATTTGGTTATTAATAAGGATTGATTGATTGTTTTTTGTGATCAGTGATTTATTAATAATTTTTTAATATATATTGAAGATGAAGATATTCCATTGGATTTTTGTTTGTGATAAGAAGTAAAAAAATGAATTAGACTCAAATTGGTAATGATCATGTGCGTAGTCAATACTGTAAGACAAAATAAGTTAAAATTGAATAAATACATTTTAATTTCTAAAATAAATAACAAATCCAAATTTATAGCCAAAATAGTTATTGGATATATTTAATATTGATCAATTAAGATAATTATTATAGTACATTTTAATTTCTAAAATAAATAACAAATACAAATTTATAGCCAAAATAGTTATTGGATATATTTAATATTGATCAATTAAGATAATTATTATAGTGAATGTGCTAGTTGGCCTAAATTTTGAGAAATTACCAAGTTGAATTTTTTTTCTATGTGGCACTCTAGAAATTACTTTTATTTTCTTTCTCTGGTTTCTCTCTTAGTATAATAACTAGATGTTAAACCCGCGCGATGCGGGGGATTTATTTATATACATTATAAAAAATCTACAAAAAAAAATATGAAAAGTGTAAAATGAATTTTACTATTTTTATTTATATTTTACTATCCAAAAGTGGAAATAAATAGAAATAAATTGGGATTGATGATAATTGATTATCCAAAATTTCAGTGATAAAGATAAAGTTTATAACAACTTTTGAGATATTATTAAGAAAAGATTATATTTATTTGAGTAAATATGATATTACACAAATAAATGCATTGGTTTGAAATTCAAAAGATAACATTTAATTGTAGTTAAATCTCATCCTTTTAGTAATAATTGAAGGCAAGTTTTGTACCTTTTTTTCTTTTTTATTGGTGAAAAATACAGGGTCATGTTTTTGGGAGAAAATTTTAAAGATAACATTAATGTTGAACGATTGGTTTTTTTTTTTTTTTTGAATTGTAGTCTATTGATTTACATGATTGGGAGAGATCTTTTTTAATTAAATGAGTCCAGTAGTAACTTTGGGAATTCTTTTGGGGAGGGAATAATTTTGGTGCATTAATGTTTATTAATCCCGGCCATTAAATTTAATTAATTTATATTTTCCTATTTTAAACTATAGTTTTAAATGCCATTTGATACAACTTTATTTACATAAAATTTGAAGGACTATTAGTATAATTGTTGTAAATATTTTTTGACTCAACCATTAAAAAAATACCACATAGGATTTTATCCTATGTGGCACCTTTAGAATTCTTTTTTATTTTCTCTCTCTGGTTTCTCTCTTAGTATAATATATACTATAGATTGAAGGCAAGTTTTGTACCTTTTTTTTTTTCTTTTATATTGGCGAAAAATTCATGGTCATGTTTTTTGGAGAAGATTTTAAAGATAACATTAATGTTGAATGATTGTTTTTTTTTGTTTTTTGAATTGTAGTATATTGATTTACATGATTGGGAGGGAGATTTTTTTTTTTAAGAGATTAATTAAATGAGTCCAGTAGTAACTTTGGGGATTCTTTTGGGGAGGGAATAATTCTAGTGCATTAATGTTTATTAATCCCATCCATTAAATTTAATTAATTTTTATTTTTCTATTTTAAACTATAGTTTTAAATGCCATTTGATACAACTTTATTTACATAAAATTTGAAGGATTATTAGTATAATTGTTGTAAATATTTTTTGACTCAACCATTAGAAAAATGACACATAGGATTTTATCATATGTGGCACCTTTAGAATTCTTTTTTGTTTTCTCTCTCTGGTTTCTCTCTTAATATAATACTATAGATATAGATAACAAATCCAAATTTATAGCCAAAATAGTTATTGGATATATTTAATATTGATCAATTAAGATAATTATTATAGTGAATGTGCTAGTTGCTATAATTATTTTCTTGGGACTATTAGCTAAATGTTGAAAAAAAATTTGGCCTAAATTTTGAGAAATTACCACGTTGAATTTTTTTCTATGTGTCACTCTAGAAATTACTTTTATTTTCTTTCTCTGGTTTCTCTCTTAGTATAATAATATAGATGAGGTGTCAGCTCCACAATCAATATTTTCCTACCTTTGCCCAAGAGTGATTTTAGGCTTAGGTATTAATGACCTTCAACGGTAGAGATTCAGCTAAGAAAATTTGATCTAACGATTTTGATATATTACAGTCACATTTGTAAATTTGTAAGAAAACTTCACTCTTAATATGAAAAAATACCTAATTTTTCGTCCCAAAAATCACTCAATTTAGTTAATATATTTATAGCTTCAAATTCAAAAGATTTTAAAAGGCTAAAAGTTAGAAAAATTCCTGAAAGTTTTTTTTATTGTTTCTCTTTTTTTTGGATATTCTATGAATTTTTAAATTTTTTTTGAATATTGATTTTATTATTGAACCAATTTAATGCACGGTCGGGCATTCGCCCAATGAAAACATCTAGTATAAGATTAATTATACATACATGAAAAATGTAATAAGATGTCGCTGAATTTTAACCATCCTCTGACAATAAAATGATAAACCCATTAAAGTAAGGTTTAACTATGGATGTTTATTATTTATTTCTTGTATTTTTTCTTACAAATTGTTCCTGCAACAATTATTTTTCATATTATAAATAATATAATGATTTGTGTAGAGAAAATTTAAAGCGAATTTTAACAAGTAATGAATCATAACCGTCCATACTTACACCGTCCCTTTAGGGATTTATCCATTTAAGGGTTACAGATAAGTATGACAACGGTTCATGTTTTAACTGAAACCGGACCACAATCGGACCGTCAGTTCATGAACCAGACTGGAACCGTGGAGTACGGTTCATAAAACCGTAATAGAGTTGGTTACAGTTCAAGCCTTTCAAAAATCGTATACCGGCGGTTCAAATTGGTGGTTTAACTGTCAAAAACCTTTGGTTAATTGTCGATTTCATAAAAATAAGTATAAAAACATTAGTTTTTAAAAACATAAAATGTTAATTACTATCTCATTTTCAAAATAGATGTATACTTTCTAATTTGTGGTTGTATAAAATAGGTCTATTTTGTTTTTCAATAATAATTTTTAAAATTTTTTTCCATATTACCCTTGTGTTTTAAGTATCATTTATAGAGTCTCAACACTCAAATACTTAAAATTCAGTGGTTGATCTAATTAATTAGGGGGTTAAATAGAAATTTTTTTTCATTTGTTAATTAGTTCGTTACTCTTGTAATGCTCAAAGTATGTAATTTTTAATTTCTTTTTGTTAATATTTATGTATTGTTGTTTCTGTATTGTCATTAGACGTTAGAAAAAATTGTAATGATAATTCATTTTTTTAATAAATTTTAATATTACCTAATACATTTATTTTTATTATTATTTAATAAAAATAAGAAAATACCTGTGAAGTTGCCCTAAATTTAGTTAAAAGAATTTGTATTAATTTTTTTTTCCTAGGTTAATATTCATACATCATTGTAGACATATTTTGAGGATTTGAATAAGTTATTTTAAAAACAAAACACGAAATTTCATTTTTTATTGAAAAAAGGTACACAAAAGAATTGTAGAAAAATTGGGTTAAAACCGTAAAAGAACCGGATTAAAACCGTCATCAAACCAGCGGATCTAGAATCGAAATCGGACCTTAACCGAAGGTTTACGAACCGTAATCGTAATCGTAGAGTTAAGGACCTTTAAGGTTCATCCGTTTCCTGAACCATGAACCGGCTGTTCTGTACTGTGGTCATGCCTAATTACGAGATACTTAAAATTTAGCCACATCATGCCTTGTAAATTTTCTTATCGAATTTTCTTTGTATGTATCACCACTCTTTTAAATAATGGTTTTTCATTTGAATTGGTTTAGTTCAGTCATCATCCTTAAAAGTAAGGAAGGAAAAGAATGAAATTATGATTAAATTAATTTGATTATCTATATATCCTATTAAAATAATAGTCCAAGAGAAAAAAAAGGCTGACGTGTCGTGTTCTCATGCATCCATTTTTTTTCAAAAAAAACTATGTAGTTTTGTGGGAAAAAAATTAATTTTTACAATCTTTAATTGTGTTAACTTTTCTTGTCCTTAATTATAATCAATCAATTAATATTAATAGAATAAGACATTAATGATATAAATAAATTATTCTTTTATTATTTTTAAAATTTAAACATAACAAGTTCAGTTAAAGTTGAAATTTTTTTTTTATTTATATATTTAATTTTAAATATATTGTTGTAAATGGGTCGCGCAACGCCAAGACAAGCACCTAGTTTAAATTAGAATAAAAGCCATATGAAGGCGTGGTTCAAAAGGCGCTTTCACGGTTCATCACGCGCTTTCTATACGAGAGTATCGAGACACGAGCCCCCGTACCGTGTATACAAGACAACTGTTCAGAGTTCAGACTTTAGAGTCTACTGAAATCCGGCATTCATTTGTTTTCCTGACCCCATCATAATTTAATCCAAATTAGCGACAAAAACAATCAAACGTTGGGTCTTCCGGACACGGGGGCGAAAAACATAGATTAATGCTAAGGAGCTCGGTCCAATTCTCTTACCTGAGCTGACTTTGTCTTCTGAAATTGAGATTTCCCGATACTTTCTTTATTCAAGGCCGAGGTAAACCCATCTCAGTTTTGCCCTTTTGGTTATCGCATATTGATGTATGCTTCAGTGTTTCGATCATTTCTCGCTGGGTTCTCGCTGTTATGCACTATGAATTCACTGACTGTTGAGATCTCAAAGAGAGATGTTTTTAATGATTTAATGAAGGCCCGAATTGGGCAATTGCTTGCTGATTGTTTGAGTTGACACTGTTTGCGTTTGCGGGTCAGCTGATCTGATAGCGTAACTCTTCTTTTGAAGTATGGTTTCTTTGTCTTTTTTCCTAAGCTGCTTAAGTTAGGGGTAGACATCGCGGTAGAGTGTTATTTGGGATATGGTTTCCGTTTGATTGAATGTGGTTCGGGCTAGGTTTTGATGTGCTACTGTTGGTCCTGTCGGTTGGATTGCATTAATCGATGTAAAGATTCAGTCTTGATCATTTTTATGAGGATGTGATTTTGGGCATAGTGCGGCCATTGGGTAAATCTTTAAGTATGGTTGAAGTAGGGGAACCTTCTGAATCAGGGTCTACAGTGCTGAACTCTAGACTGGTAAGGAATGGATCCTCCCGTGAAGAGGATAGTTTTCATAGGCAAGTGTCTAACTTTGGGGGGAATGGGTCAAGAAATACGAGCCCACTCGGTAGAATTGGTTCAAGGAATACTAGTCCTTCGAGGCAGAAGGTGGTTAAGACTAAGCCTAGGGGGTTAGATGAAGAGACTGTTGCTACGTTTAGTAAAGCTGTTCAACCGGATGTCCAGATGGAAGATAACATATGGGCAATGTTACCAGAAGATTTGTTGAATGAAATCTTAGCTAGGGTTCCTCCATTTATGATATTCAGGCTTCGGTCTGTTTGTAAAAGGTGGAATTCTATCTTGCAAGATAACAGCTTTTTGAAGTTTCATTCACAGGTTCCCTCTCATGGCCCTTGCCTTTTGACATTTTGGAAGAATTCACAGACCCATCAATGTTCAGTGTTTAGTTTGCCATTAAAACAATGGTTTAGGATTCCTTTTACTTTTTTGCCGCAGTGGGCTTACTGGTTGGTTGGTTCTTCAGGTGGTCTACTCTGTTTCTCAGGCTTGGATGGCCTGACATTCAAAACTTTGGTTTGCAATCCACTTACACAAAGTTGGAGAACATTGCCCAAGATGCATTATAATCAGCAAAGGCAGCTGGTCATGGTTGTTGATCGGATCGAACGATCATTTAAAGTTATTGCAACTAGTGATATTTATGGTGATAAGTCTTTGCCAACAGAAGTTTATGATTCCAAGCTTGACATGTGGTCACTTCACCAAACAATGCCTGCTGTAAATCTTTGCTCCTCAAAAATGGCTTTTTGTGACTCACGCTTGTATCTAGAAACTATTTCCCCTCTTGGTTTGATGATGTACCGGCTGGATACAGGACAGTGGGAACACATTCCGGCAAAGTTTCCGCGTTCATTGTTGGATGGATACCTGGTTGCTGGTACTCAAAAACGCTTGTTTCTTGTGGGAAGAATAGGCCTCTATAGCACTCTTCAGAGCATGAGGATCTGGGAATTGGATCATTCAAAAATCATTTGGGTTGAGATATGCAGGATGCCCCCAAGGTATTTCAGAGCTCTTTTGAGATTATCGGCGGAAAGATTTGAATGCTTTGGCCAGGATAATCTAATCTGCTTTACATCTTGGACTCAAGGTAAAAGCCTTCTTTATGACGTGGATAAGAAGACCTGGACTTGGGTTGCTAGCTGTGCTTTGCAGTCCTATAACAGCCAGGTCTGCTTCTACGAACCAAGATTTGATGCCTCCATATATTAGTTGGTTCTAACTTCATAATTCAATTGAGGAAAACTGGGAAAAGAGTAGAAGGTTCGCTTATATATATATCTGATTCTCTTGTTTTATCCTGGTTTCTGTGCCTACTAGCTTACTCTGCTGTATGTGTTTTTACCTCACTCAAGATTCTTCAAGCTGGATTGCTCACCTGCTTCTTGCTACTAACGTGCATTTAGGGCTCCATGAATTTTGAACAAAGAGACTTGAGAGTGCTCTTGGTTATGTGGCATATATAAACTTAACCAATGCTTTGGTTAAGAGGACTTAAGGCTTGAAGTATATCATCAGATTAGAACTCTGTGATTAGCATGAATGAAGTTTAAAGCTTAATGTGATGAACAAATTTTGGTGCTAACCCTGTGTACAAAAAGCAACTGACGCCACTTTTACAAGTGGTCTCCCTAAATGGAAGAAGCTAATTCTTATTTTTATACGACCATGATGATCCATATATATGGTTATGTGGTTACTTTCTGTCTATTTAACTTCCGTTCTTCATGTATTTGATTTGAACCAATTAGGTTGCTGCTACAGGCTACAGCTATTCGGATACTTTACTGTTATTTTGTGCTTTTCTTGTTCTGTTCTTCATGTTCTCTCATTTGCGTTCTCACCTGGGCTAGTTTTTGAGAGACATTTACGGGTAGTTCTTTGGCTGATAGGTTCTTAGATAGGATATTCTTGTACTAATAAAAGCTTTCTTCCGGAGCAAAAGCTGACTTAATGCCACTTTGGATTATATATATTTTCTGAAGTAGATTTGAAGTTCTTGATAGATGAAGCAGCGGAATGATGCTTCTTTTATTAGGGGGATTAGGGTTGGGAACTGGGAAAAACAGGGACACTTAAAAAAGGTTGTATGTGTTTTACAAGTTTAAGTCTCAACATTTAGCCAAACCAAGAACAGAGACACTAATTTGGAAAATACAAGAAAGGAAAAGAAGGCGGGGTTGAAAAGAAAGAAAAGTTTAGTTGCATAAGCACACTGCTAATGTACATATATCTAAGGTTACTGGAAAGTAAAGAAATGAGGTATATCGAAGGTTACCGAAAAGGAAAAAAAAAAAATGAGGCAGGATCAAAGGTTGAGTGTGCTGCTACAAATTTTCTCAGCAGATTGAACTGTAAGGAGGATGTAAGCCTAGATAAAATTGCTGTAAGTGTCCCCTGCTGTATCAAGCAAACAAAAATTATAGGTAAACTATCTTGAAGCATCATCATTATCTTCTACACCAGTACAACATTACATCACTATTTTTTGTTTATAATAAAAGGTCAAATTTCAATACTTATACATGAGACACAATTTTTTTTAAAACCAAGTACTTTTTAGTTTGTGACCGGAGTAGTTGATGAGAAAATTAATAGTCATAAAAAATAATGATGTTTCCATCTCACTGAATTAGAAGCAGAATCAGCGCTAAAAGATTAGAAACGTGGGAAAAATTAAAAAGATTAGAAAAACCTAAGAAAAATAAAACACAGATATCCTCCAAAGTAGATACCGGTGACAGAAATACAATAACAACTAATTTGTAGTACATTTGCCCGGAGTGATCAAACGGGCTAGTGAGATAATGTTCTCTTCAAAATAGAACCAATCTTTGAAGTCAGATACGTGATCAGATGGATGTGATGATCCAGCAGTACCAAACACTTGATGAACTTCCCAAGAGCTGTTGGAGGGGTCATATAAATAAAGATGTCTATTGGTATTAAGTTCAGAAGAATACCAAAACTCGTGACGATCTTCCACTAATATCTTGCCATTAGGAAGTGTTCCAAGCTGTATAAAAGTAACATTCGCGGTCGCGGGTGAAAGGAACTCGTTGTTGTTGTAATGACTTAGATACCTCTTCTTCGACCCAAATCCCTCCTTTAACACTATCCTCATAAAGTAGCGTCTTAGGTCCCGCGCTTTGCGCGGGTTTGTCAATATTAAAAATTTATCTTTCAAAAAAATTAATTAGATAATGTAGTTATTAATATTTCTTAAAACCGTAATTTTTTTTGATCTATCAATTTGAGATCAAAATGAGAGGCATTGATATTATTTATGAGATATATATTTGTAAGATATGGTCAAAAATATTACAACAAAGATTTTCAAAAGTTGTATAATACAAATTATTACCACTAACTAATATTATGTTTGGATTAAAAAATATATTTAAAAAAATACGTAAATTATGTCTAGATGCCTATGGCCCATTTGTAGGCAAGGGACTTTGGGAATTAGACACAATTAATCATCCTTGAATATGTAAAATTGATAAACTTGAAGACTAAATAGCACATAAATGAAACTTTAAGGGCCAAAATGACAATAAGTTAAAAGTTTAAACTCGTAAAATGAAAGGACTTCTGAAGTCGGTGGTTTCTCAGCAATTTTCGAAAATATTCATTTTCAAGCTCACAATCATGAATTTGTAATATTTGTAAAAATCTTATATAGTAAATAATTTATTAACTGTTTACATAAAATTTTAACTGATTAATGATCAACCAATTAACAAATGACACGTGTTAATTGAGTCTTGATGGTCTCAATAAGTGACACGTGTCGATTATCTTTCTTTCCTTTAATATATATATATCCTACTATATTAGAAACAAAAACCTCCCTTTCAAACACCTCATATGATTGCCACGTGGCATGTAGAAAATACTAAATTGCCCTTTTGTCTAACCATAACTAAATTACTAAATCTACATTTGCACTTTACGTGACACGTTTTTTTTTTAAAAATTTTTTCTTTATCTTTCATTCAACTAGAGTGGTTTTTTAAATTGAATTGATCAGTTAGGTTTTTTGTTACAAAGTGTCAATTTTGTTTTAAGCGTATACCCTTTGGATGAAACTTATTACAAAACTATTAAAAATCTCCAAAACTAAGTATTGATTTGGCACGACCAATGGAGAACATCAATAAATCATCTTACTAATATTTAAATTTATTAGGATGTTTTTATATTTTATCTAACATTATATATTCGATTAAGCTATTTATATTTAATAAGTAACACCTTATAAAACATTTCTAAAACATATATGATGAAATACAATTTTTTTTTTTGCGAAATACAAATATTTCTATGATCACACTTATAAAACATTTCTAAATCCTTCAAACATTTCTAAAATATATCGCTCCAAATATAAAATTTTATTTTTTTCAAATATAAACATTTCTAAGATCTACAGATAGACTGGGCCAGGGTCGCGCATTGCGCGACCAGACATCACTAGTATATATATATATAATGATTTTGTGAGGAGAAATATATTAGGGTTACTCTAGAGTTTAGGCAATATCTTTCCACTGCAAGGATGTGCACAAAGTATAATCGAATTGTTCTTGGGTGTAACCTAAATTTCACTTTTTACTCCAATAAAAAGGTAACTTGAGAAGATAATCTCACACACACACACACACACAAGGAATTGGAAGAAGCTTATCAAAAAGATGATCGATCTAACTGAAAATAATCTCAACACAAATATCTGTAGTACACATTAAAGCAACAGTTAAAAAACAAAAAATCAATTAATTTGGATACAGATTCGAAGTCAAATGAGCTAGTGAGGTTATGTTATCGTCAAAATAGAAACAGCGTCGAAGCTCAAAGCTTTCAGATGGAGTATTCCTAGAAATAGTGTTCCACTTCAATATGTCATTTAATTTTGTGGGAAAAAATTGTATTCTAGATTAATGTATAAAAATATACGTATAATAAAATTCTTTCATATAATTTTTTTTTACTAAATGATCTGTTAGCATCAATTCAAGTTCAGCGATCCAACCCTGAAAGCCAATATGCATTTATCTAACAAACACCGGATCCAACTAATAAAAGTAGTGTTAGATTGATTCAAGTTCAAACTTAAGTTTGTGCACGCAAACACTGATTAAGTATTTGCTTGTTTGAGAGATTGTTGATTTCAGAGAACAACCTGCTCGGATCAAATTCAGGTGAATCAAGGTCATGGTTTCAGACACTTGATTTGTAGTATATAAAAAAACAAAAAAAAAAAGTATTTTAAAGATCTTATATTATTAATTTTAAAATCCAGTTGCTCATTTTTTCTTAAAAAAAAAAAATCTACCCCAGTACAACATCCTAACCACTAGATCCCAAATTCAATTGATCCTTTGTACTCAACTTTTAATTGACATTTTCAATAAACGATTTGCTTCGACCTGGAGCGCTTATCATCAGGTGAGATAATCACGAAGAAGCGGCAAATTGATAAATTGGAAGATTTTTTTATCAATATTGAAAAAAAATATTTTGTAGAGGGAGAGAGTAAGAAGTGAAAGACTTCTATTTGCCGGAAAAAAAAAATGATTTGTGCTGGGAAATTTCACATGAATTTTAATAAGAAATGAATCATAACCGTCTAGACTTATATCTTATTTTTAGAGATTAATCATTTAAGGTCAATGTAAAGTTAAGATTCACCACATCATTTACTTATAAATTTTCTAGTCAAATTTTCCAAAAAAATATTTCTTTCAAAAGTATATACATAGTCACTTTAGTTTTCTTACTTGTTGGCCTATTGTAATATAAGAAAATAGCAAATGTACCCCACTTCTCAAATGAGAGTTATTATTCTTCAATGTGAAAGTCATGTTTGTTCAACAAAAGAAATAATATAAATAGTTGCCTTCCTAATTTTTCCCCTTCTACATAAGAGAAAAGACTTATCAATAGTCTTTTGGATGTAATCAAGCCTTTTATGGCTACTTCAGTATGTAAAAAAACATACTCCCGCCATTCCTTAATATAAGATATTTTGATTATGTCCTAAATTTCACTTAATATGCATTTTTTATTGAAGAAAAACTTTAAAAATATATTTTCATGTTCGTTGTGTTCTCCTAATTATTAGAAAAATATTTTAAAGGTTCTCCAATTAAAATTATGTATTAGGTCAAATCTAGGATAATTTAAATATCTTAATACTGGAGAGAGTATTAGAAAACTACTTTTGGAGACCCTGCATTGTTGTGGGAAACTGATTGGTAAACTCATTTGAATACTTATCCCTTAATCCTAATTATCGAGGCCATTATTTATTTGAACCTTAATCATTGATGTGTACAAGTTGTATATTGGGGCTTTCGTGGGATCCCAATCCACCAAGACACTTTACAAAATGTATGCACATTTGATAACTATGGTAGTCTTGGATTTGCCTAAAACATCAACATAAAGAAAAGAGGGTGGCATCGGTAATTGAACTTGGTAACTTTTAAGTCCACGTGTATAATCTCTTGTCTTCTACCTTTTAATTACAGGTGGATGATACTTAACTCTCCCTTTCAAAATTAAAATCATATTACTTCAAAATATCTTTTTCATCTTATAAAGTTCTCGTGTACTCTCCATTTTCGTCTCAAAAACAATATACTTAACTCTACTTGTTCTTCGAATGATTTATATATTTTGTAATAGAGATTTTGAGTTTTTTTTTTCTCAACTATTAGAAGATAAAAATGACTCAACTAATTAAGGCTCTGTTTGATAATCACTTAATATAATGACTTAATTTATTTAAGTATTTAATGAAATTAAGTGTGTTTGATAATTGTTAATAAAAGTCTTAATGAATTAAGTTCTGAACTAATTAAGTACTTATAAATTAAGTGCATTTGATAACTAAAATTTCACTGTCTGAATTAATTAAGTGCGTCTGAATGGCCAGTTCAATTGTGAACCAGAAAATAAGTGATAGACCTACCACTTATCACTTATCACTTAATTTCTGTAATGACTTTTTTTTTTGTTTTTTTCTTCGTCTTTATTTTGTCGCTTATTTTTACATTCTTTTAAAATTTTTATTTTCTTAAGATAAATTAATTAAGAGTGCTTAAATTTGAATTTATATTATGAGTATAAAAGATCTCAAACTTTCAAACTCAAATTAAACTAATTTTAATACATAAAATTTGCTAAATAGCAAGGTATACACATATATGTAATAATCTAAATTTAATTATATATTGATTATTTACCAAGTGCAACATTTACTTTTATTATATATACCAAAAATTTATTTTAAAATTTATTATTTTATTATTAAGAACAAAATATTAGTTATTTTTCAATTTAAAAGAATTTTGTTTATAATTCAATTTTAATGATATTAAAATTTTAAATAACTTTCAGACATGAGTATTCAGATTCAGTCTTTAGACTTTAGACTTTAGTCTTCAGATATCATATTCAGATGTTTTTATCAAACAATGTAAATTCAGTTTTCAGACTTCAGACTTCAGTGTTAAGGGTTCAGATTTAGACTTCAGTAATTATCAAACGGAGCCTAAATGATGGTATATCATACAAAATAAAAAGTTATACTGGGCTTACAAGACTAATCATATAAGGCTGTAAACGTACTCCCTCTCGATGCGATTATTTTCAATTTCAATCTTTACTTTTAGAATAATTTCTACTAAAACCAAAATCCTTAACTAGATAAATATTTTGGGCTAGAGGTATTATTTTTACATTTTAGAGGGGAATTGAACCCTGGTTAATGAGTTCAACTTTTGGCATGTAGTTAGGCTTGATCTCTCCATTTCAAAATATAAGTCATTTTAGACTTTGCACGTAAATTAATGAGACAATCATCTAACAATTAATTGATATGTTAAATATTTATTTTATCCCTCATTAATTACATTGAAACTATAAACAAGACTAAATAAAATATATTAGCATCATTTATTGAGGGTAAAGTTAAAAAATTAGTCATTAATTTACCTAAAATTTGTAAAACAGCCTAAATTTTGAAAAATCTCTCCAAAACTAGAATGACCTACAAATTGAAATGAAGTAACTCTTTCATGAAAGTATTAATTTACAGCTTAAAACTTATCCAAAACGATAATGAAGTTGTGCATAATTATGGCTGGCTAATATCCGAAAGGTTTATTCTCATTGCCGTGCCGGGTGCTGCTCAGCAAGGTCGGTTGCGGAGTTCAAAAACTAGAGAGCTAAGTAGTCCCTATTTCAGGGCTTTTAGTGTTTCACAAAAACCAGATCAGCCGACCATTAATTTTCAAGTTCAGATTCACAACAACATTTGCTTGAAGGCCGCCTTATGATACGGTGGTGGAAAACGAAGAAATCGATCAGCGTCCGCATCGGAGCCGACATTGATGCAGAAACACGCTGTTTTCAAGGTTTATATAGCTTTGGGTTTAGGGTTTATGCACCGGCAGGCAGCATCTCGGGTTCTCAACTCTCGCGCAAATGTGGCATTTGAAATTTAACATTTGTTAGTGAAGTATTAATGTTCAGACAGGTGTTTTTAGGATTTCTATGAAACATCACTTGCGCTCATGTTCTGTAAAAAGAGCACTTCATTTCATGCAGTGGTTCCTTTTGGGACCAAATGCATCGTTCACTGATCCAACTATAAACTAAAAACATTTGAACCAGTAGTTAATCCTGTTTGTGTTGCGCCTCCTTCAAGAAAACAGCACAAAATTTCATGCAACTATTGTTTTCAGGACTAACAACTTGAAAACTGTGGGATCGATCAAGGCATGTTTTCTTTTACTACTTGAGAAGCACGAATTGTTGCGCGCCTATCTTGACTTTCACATTAATCGGTTATTTCACTAATGAAACACGATAAGTACACAATAAAGTGTTATGGAGAAATTTTATTTCGTTAAAGGTGCATATGAAGTTCCCTTTGGCATTTGGCTTAATTCAAAAATATACTATATGACACATGCAGTACAATGTCCTAAACCGGCAACCTTTAACTTTGAAGGCCTGAAAAAGGTATCCAAAGATGACTATGTTCTGAGTAAACGAATCTCTGACTACCAGTTTTGCGCTTATTGACTATTTGACTCTCAGTTACTATTATAAATGACAGAAGAGCATCCTGTTTTTTCTTCATTGCACTTGTGATTTTAGTAACCACTTACAGCTCACACCTGACATATTAAAACAATTCTGAATCTTTACCTTCAAAAAAAAGGTACTACTTTCTGAAAGCATCACGCGTGTAGAAATTCCCCATAAAAATCTGATATTTCAATGCCTAACTTTCACTACATTTTTCCCCATTGTAGCACAAAATTTACTTACCGTAAAAGATTCATGTGTTCATACTGTTGAGTGTTGACTAGCCTAAAAAATAGATGGTGAAAAAAAAAAAGAAGAATGAAAAATGAAGTGAAAGAGTGAGGATATGCATGAGTAAGTACTTCGATTTGTGAGCTTTATCAATATTTATAATATGGTTGCCTTGAGATGATTAAAACAAGGTTATTCTAATGATTGAGTTTTCCAAAGTTCCAGGTTTGTTTAAAGGAAAACCTGTTGTGATATGCCAATTGTCGGGATCCTTCATCTTTGACTCTTGTTTGAACTCTCTATAAAACCACTCCCCTCTCACCTCACATTCTCCTCCCTTCAAAAAAACAATCAGCAAGTTGATGAGTTTTAAGAAGAAAGAAAAAAAAAATCAATAAAATCAGTGAACAAAAGTTGCAGAGATTGAAAATGGCGTCCATTAGGTTTGCTGGATTGGTGTTTGGGGTCTTCATCATTTCCCTTGCTCTCAAATACTCCTTTGCCTGTGCCCAAGAATCTGGTAATGCTACCCATACTTTCTTAATCTCCAAAATGTGTGTGTGTGTGCGCGTGTTCATTAGTACTAAAAATGAACTTCTTTTTTCTAGCAGGAAGTGGAACTACAAGGAAGAATAGGTGGCTATCAGGGATTGAATCACAAAACCGCGCATCTTCACAGAATGTGAGTAAATGAATACCCCGTCTCGAGCAGGATAATCATTTTGGGACGGAAGGAGTAACTAGTACATGTAGCACCTTCATTTTAGGTCTTGTGTTACATTTTTCTGATGACTTATATATATATTTGGCCCTGGATTGGCAGGTTTTCCTTAATGATGATGTTGCAGCAGCAAACATTGCCGGAAGAAAAGTGCTGAAAGGAAGAAAAGTGGAAGTGAATAATGCAGAATCTTCTGCCGCGGAAGCGAATAGTAATAAGGTTTCAACTAAACCAGTTGATCATCATCATTTTCAACAAGACAGAAGAAGTACTGCTTCTTCTTCTTCTTCTTCTTCTTCTTCTTCAAAATCAGCTTCTGAAGCAGCTGCTTATGAGATAATGCGTCAGAATCACGGTGACTACAGCCGTAAGAATCCACCTCACAAGAAGCCACCAGTGAACAATGACAAGCCCAGAAATTAGTTTAATGATTAGTTACTCAATAGTGAATTTAGTTATAGGGAACACATATACACAGTAGTATATACTGTAGTTTTTTTTTTTTTTTTTTGGCCAAGAAGACCTCACAATTTTGCACGGTAGTGAAGTCTTAAAAACCAGAAAGTAGAAATTTTTTTTTTTTTTTCCTTTTGTTTTCTTCAGAAGGTAAGATAAGCGTTAGCTTTTTACCTGGAATTTCTTCAGTGGCCTTTATTAAGAGTCTTGCTTTCTGGTCCCAAAGGATTAATTACCTTATTTTGGGACTCTTTAATTCGTTGTACATGAATACAAGTTTTGTTTGGTTGAAAAGTAGTGTCAATCACATTTTCTTTGCTCACTTTATTTTTCGGTGGGATCACTCTTGTCTTCTTCTTTTTCTTTCTTCCATTAATATACCTACAACCAACAAGAGATAGTAATAATCCTAAAGCAGTCACATAGGAGTATTATTATACTTGAAGTAATGGACATTTTACCTATTTAACAATGAAAAAATTTGAAGAGAACACCCTCTCTAATCCTTATGATTTGGAGGTTCTTGCTGATATTAATCATTCAATATTGTGTTTTTCTTTTTCTCCTCCAAATATAACAATAAAAAGCAGCAAATAGGTGATGATACAATACAAGGAGTACAATGTACATCGGGCACTTAAGGGGCTGCTGCTTTTTCATTGTTAGTCAATGACTTTAACTCGAGGGGAAAAAAAATTAAATTAAAAAAAAAAAGAGGAGAGAGATACAAAAGGATTGCTTTGCTCTATATCATTACTAAACAATTTCTTACATTTAATCTCTCAATAAAACAATTTCGGATTCTTTAAGGATCTCACTTCAGCTTCCACACCTGCGCAATCCACAAGCTCCAAAATTAATCGCAATACTGAAAATGTTAAAATAAGTTTTCAATCGGGTATAAGCATAGATATTTGGATTTGTTTGGATACACTTTTAGTAGGGTTATTTTCCTTTCCTGAAATTTTAATTATCATATCTCCAGAAGATGTGTATCTTTAATTAATTGTCACGAATACATTTTTTTTTTCTTTTTACATTTCTTATAAACACTAAAAAAACGTACCAAACAAAATCAATGACATACAAGCTTTAGTTACCTGTTTAATTACTGAAGACTATCAACGAGCTCACTGATATTGGGATTGCAAATGGAAGAACCATTGATACAATCTTCTGCAACGAGCCTATATACAGCTTCAGTCAGATGAAAACCATCCCAGAAATAATGCTGGAACGGGTCGCCACAGGGTGGGAATCCTGGAATGCATGCTGACGTCCCATTCGCCCATGTCATGCAACAAGCCTCGCTCGCGTCGCTAAAACCTTTGATTTAATATAATATATTAGTGATTTACTTTTTCGTTCCAAAATAATATTTAATGAAAATGACATCTTACTCTGAGATGATTGAAAAAAAAAACAACAAAAAAAAAATAAAAAAAATTTACCGTAAGATGAGGGATTTAGTATAGCATCATAGGCAGCATTGAAAACGCGACCAACAATCAACGTGGCGTCCGGCAAAGACAGCCTCAAATATTGAATCATGTTGTGTAATTGGTAGTTATAAATGGCGGCAAAACGATTAACTTCTTCCACACAGAATCCTTTGTTGTTTAGGAGGTAGGAGTACTTTCTAATTGATGGAATGCACCCAATTGGTCCAATTTCAAACAATAGCAATTTCCTAGCTCCCATTTGGTACAATCTCTGTTGTACAATTTCTCAAAAATGCATAATGTCAATTATGTGATCATTCGGGAATGGTGGAAGAGAATTAAGCTAGTAAACTAGGGCTGACCTGAATCTGTTGGCAGAGCGAGATGACGAGGAGGCGGGCGAAAACTCGAGGCGGGTAGAGAGCGCGTGTAGGGGAAAATGGTCGGAGATAGTTAACGAGATAATCATTGCTGCCGACAGAGATGACAAACAGCGATTTGGACAAGTGATTTGAGATATCTGCTTTTGTGGGGAAGTATCTAGGCAATTCGACATTAATTGTTAGCAGAAGCAAGTTAATTTGCTCTGCCAAAGCCATGCATCCACCCTGCAAAATTATCCAATTTTTTGCATGATCAATTTTCACTAATTGAAAATGATCGTATCATTGTTATAGCTCGAAATGACAAATAATAAATTATAATTAAATTTGTTGTATCGGAATAAAACGATACATTGGAACTACTACTTGTAGTGTTTGTTTCGGGCATAAAGTCAACATTCAACCCAAGGAAAGAGGTCAATGAGATTGGGTGACGCTCCTTGCAACCTTTACTACTTCTCCCTATAATCCTATTCACATCATCTTCCCATTTATGTCCAAGTGAATGTCTTTCTTAAACAAAAAATGAATATCTAAATTCGAGGGGTTAGGGAACTAATTTATTAAAAAATATTCAAACAACTAGTTTTATTACTTTGACATTAAAAAAGTCTCGCTTACGACTTAAAACATACTTTCCTAAAAACCGGTCAACTTTTCGTTGAATAGAATAATATAACAATATAAACTATTTTTCTGAAAGATAATATTAATAAAAAAAATTTGTATACTTGTTTTTGGACATCATCCACATTGGTCTGCCTGACTAGAAATGCAGGTTATGAACGTGTGATTAGTATACAACCGTTAAAACACGCAATGAACTGTGGAGGAAAGGTTGGAAATGGAATCAATGACTAATTTCAACAATATTTCTGTGTTTCCCGCTTATGATAATACCCGACGACGAGGACAAAGGTGCAGATAAAAATTAACTTGGGTAAAAAAAAAAAGAAAAAAGAAGTCAAAAGGAATCTTACAAGATTCTTTCCAGTGTCAGTGAGAATGCCGCAAGAAGCTGATGCATAATTCAACCCAGATGCCTGATTTCCACCCATTGAAGCTTCTCGCATTAAACTCGCGTATGGTGGCACATATGGTAAACCCAGAAATTCAGCTATCCAAAACAAAACAAAAAAAAAAAAACAAAACAAAAAACCCAACAACAAAAAGCAGTAATTAAGGAACAAAAGACAAAAAGAAATGTACTTTAAAATTCATGGTTGAAGATTCATCATACCAATGAAGTCTACAACGGTTCTGCCATTGGTGAATCTTCCGGTTGGCCCTCTCGGGAAATCAGAGCCATAAGGAAAGAAATTAGCTTTGGCCAGAGTCGGTAAAAAGTTGTTGTTTCCGCTGTCAACCAGTGAATCTCCCAAAACGTACATTGCTGGAAACGGTAGTGAAGCTGCATCCTGAGGAGTTGTACCATTTGAATAGGTATAAGAATCAACTGAGGAGGAGGGGAAGAAGAAGAAGAATATAAGTAATGGCAGCATTATGTTTATTCGTATACAGAAGAATGGGCCTTTTTTTTTTTTTTTTGAAACTGCCTTTCTTTTTGCGGGTTGGTAATTTGACTAAGCCGAAGAAGAAAAATTTATTAATTCTCGATTTCTGTATTCACAAGAAAGACATGGGTTTTGGCCTGGAAAAGAAAAGGTGACAGAAAACACAGCTAAGGCTCTGCAGTACACGAGATTGTCTTAATTTAAAACCAGTACTTGAGAGTCACACAGCAAGAACAAAGAAGCCGACAAATTAAGAAGGTGTTGAAGAACAGAAGAAGTTGTAGTACGTTTGTAACGTGCATTTAATTAGGACATCTCACATCACCAATTCTTTTCTTTTTCTTTTTTTTGGGGGGGAGGGGGGGACTATGTTTTGTTAGATTTCCTGAATCAGAGGAATCCAGTAATCCGAGGGGATTATTGCTGGATCTGTTTTTCTAGTGTAAAGTCAATTTAACGTTGTACCGGAAAACTACGAGGGATGAACAGTTGTAGCATTCCTTAGATTAGGAGGAGACAAACGTAATTCAATGCTTCATCTCATCATACTCATTAAATATGCACATAAATTTAAATGTAAAGTTATTGTACTTAGTGCGTTATTAGAGAAGAATTTAAGTTACTCTTATAGTACTAGTGGTAAAGGAATTGGTTCCCTAATTAGGCCACAGACAGGACCCAAGTATGTTTTGATTGGTTTTGTTTTTCTGTAACAAAGGACTTTGGTATACAGTTTTGGCCATAATTTGGTTATAAAGTGGTCGTGACCTCTTTTGGAAATAACAATGAAAGGCAGAGTGAGTCAACTAGTTGTGTTAGAATATGATTATTACCATTTAAAATCATTCACTTTGATAAACTGAAGGCAAAGTTGACTGTTTTTTGAAACAAAGATCAATAAACTTGACGCAAAAATAGGTTGTTTCCCCGAAACGAAGAGTGTAAGTGATGGGAACATTCTCATTTTTGCCTTCTATTTCTTCTGTAATTGCATAACATCTTCTACCACTAGCAATATTAGTCCGATAATGTAAGGGATGACAAACATTTCTCAAGCTCTGCAACTAGAGTTTGCCATATTCAATGGAGAAATGATGCCCAGAGATCACATGAAATCATGAATGGCAATCAGACTAATCAAACTAAACAATCAAATGTTAGTGTTAGCAGAACTCAACTAAACTGAGTCAAAATTGAATTCTAGAGTAACTTTTCATCTACTACCTAAATTAGCAGCCACCTAAAGGCAAAACATATATACACATCTACAACAACAGGATTTCAAGAGGAAGAACCCTGAAACTTTGTCATCTTTCTCCTGCTTCAGCTTCCTCATTATCCTCCATCGGAGTTTCTTCTTTGCTGTTTGTTTCCCCGTCTCCAGCTTCCTGATTATTGCTCTGTTGAAGAAACAACCCAAGAGATGCAGAATCGTCTTCATCAAGTTCCTCTTCGCTTTCCTTGTCCTTTTGTTCATCAGTCATATGACTCTCCATCCAAGCTGGACAACTGCGAGTCTTTCCAAGAAACGCAGGAAGTTCTGGGGATGCCGAAGAACTTGAAGAATGAGGAGATCTTTCAGGGGAACTCTTTCTTATGCATGAACATTCAGGGACTGGAAAAGATAGGAAATATTGCTGCTTTGAGCTGTTAGATTCCTTTGTTAGTTCATCAATCAAGCTTTTTCGGAGATGCCTGCGTATCGATGCTATCCAAGTATGGTTGGCCTGATATGAGTGTTCCCGGATCTCATCCAACATACTGGCAACTGCCTTTCTGCATGGAAGATAAGGATGGAGGAATGTGAAAAAATTTTAAAAGAAAACCCCAGCCGATACCTTTGAGAAAAAATACACAAACAATAAAATCTTCTTCAAACTTTAAAAACATCTTGATAAACTTTATAAGGATTGAAATGAACTGAAAACAATAATTTGCAGGACAATATAGTGGAGCGGGATCAAGCAAGAAAGAAAGGAGTAATTTGCAATCTATATTACCTATCAAACCTGAATGTCTTGGATGCAGCAAACTGGTAAAGTCTGTGACCCATTACTAAACTGGCAAAATTTGGATGCCCTTTACCATCTCGATCAAATCCAGGAACAAAAACATCTGCTTCAACACATACCCTATAGTCTACAGCCTCCCATAGTAATTTATGAGCATTAGTCCGTAGCTCTATAACCGTACTTTCTGGTTCTTTATTACTCTCAGCCACCCAACCCCACCAACCCTCTATATTGTAAGATTTTGGGCGTGCAGGTGGTGGTGGCAGAGGTCGAGGACGAGGACCTGCGGTTTTCCAAGTGTCAACCTTCACCTCTTGCTTAACTGGTGGAGCCATTGGAATTTTGTCATCAATACTGGCCTCACGACCGTATAACTTATTAAATTCCCACGGTGCACTTAGAGAGGTTCTATCGACAACATTATCAAACATAGCATGGAGAGGAATCAGCTTCTTCTGCCCACCAAAGACCTCTCCTCCAGAAATATAAATTATTGTGTCCGATGTGTAACCATATGCTCGAAGAATAATACCAACCTATCACCACGCCGTGGTTCAATAAAAGAGATCGAGGGGAGTGAATAAACAATAATTTGTTGAGCAGACTCTCAAATTAAGCAAACCAGAAAATCTTATTAATGGGAAGTACCTCCTCCGGCATAAGAGGGCATAATCCCTTAAGCCGTTGCTCTTCAGAATCTATAGAAAGATTTCCCTTCACAATTCCACGTTTAATCATCCATGACCTTTTGTGCTGAATGAGTTCAGTATGCACATCCTAGAGAGCAATAGTTGTCCAAATAAGGTGCCTACTGATTAGTTTATGAAATTACATTTGCATATACTAATGATGAGTAAAGGAATTTATCCAGGGTTATACCTGGAAGAGTTCGGCACAGCCATAATATGCCAAAGACTCTCTCGTCATCCCTGGTTCATAGGCTATAAATGGACGACCGGAAGCCCTTAATCTACAACAACACCAAATATAAGTATAAAGAAGCGTAAGCAGGACACATTAGAAAGAACAAGAGAAGGAGACTCTTGCCTGTTCAAAATTTTGTTAGCCAGTTCCTCAACCTCCTCTCTGAACCTCAAAGCATGAAAAGAAACCCTGCATCTAAGTCTCTGATACTCCTCAAGATGTGGAGGAAGCACTGCCTGGAGTAAAACAAGTTATCAGCAATATTAATATATTGTTTTGTGTCCTCAAAGCAGGAAAGAAAATAAATCAAGTGTTCTATTATGCAGGGAAATATACAAGAAAGAAGCCATACGCACACAGTTGGGATTCAAACATAATTCGGTATATCTTTTCTATCTAAGACGAGAATCCACACTTCATTTCATGCCACAAAATAATTTTTAAGTTAAAAGGAGAGGGAATAGCATTACCTGCAAAGCTCCACCATCCGATATGACAAGTTCAACAACTGAGTGCTTACTCAAGACAGGAAGAACATGACGCAGATAGAAATTTGGAGATGCTGACGCTGCAACCGGAAAGGATGGAATTTCTTTCTTTCTCCTTGTCCATTTGAGAATACGTGGAAGGGTTTTAACAACTTTGACATCTTTGGCTAAAGCAGCAATGAATTGATCTTCATTATAGAGGTAAGCAAAACTCTTGAATTGAGAGCTGCATTGACATTTAAAAAAAAAATCATTTTCAAACAGAACACCATATACTACAAACTTATCTTACAATCTAGTCTTAAATCTCTATATAAAGTTCAAATTGAAAGCACCTGATTCCTTTGCTGCTTGTAGTGGACTGAATTTCAGGAACAACTAACGTGGCATTGAGCAGTCGTGATATCACAACTGCATCACAGATCTGCCGAAAAGAAAATAAATGGAATGATATTCTTTCCGGAAAATTTCATAAAATATAGCGGTTAAGTTGTCAATTTGTGTGCTTGGGGTATCCTTACCGAGTTTCTGATCTCATGGAAACCCCCACGTATCCTCACAAAAATGAATCCATTAGTTTCTCCAATAGGAGCTGTCCGAAGAACAGAAGAGATAGAATAGTATATAAGGAAATGATAGTACACAAAAATAAACATCATTACGGCACTAAATAACACATGGATATGTGAGTAGCAGTGAATCTGAACTTGTTTAAGAATTGCAGACCCCCTCATCAAGGATAAAATATCAGTAGTGACAGCAGTTTACCTGCATAATCTTTTCCGGGGTTCGCATAGGGATGTAAAGGCTCAAGAAGCCTAACTGTGCCCCAAAGTCTTCTATACAAAAGATTCTGCAAAACACAACATGCAAACACAAAAAATTAGGTGATGCAAGATACATTGTAGAGAAAGAAGTATCCATCAGTGTCAATCTGAAGGAATTGCCATATATGGAACAATCACAAAAGAAGCCACAGAACATGAATCATATATCATCCAGAAGAGAAAATGAAATATTAAACAAACCAAAGAGTAAAAATTTTGTATAAAAGCATCAGAGAATCATTATTGCTAAAAGCAACAGAGCAACAGTAAGCATAGCCAATTAAGAAGGAAAACATCAGAGGCCCCACTGAATCTATTGTAAAGCAAACCATAGAAGAAAAAGATCAAGACATAAAAACCCCCCATTACCTCCAAAATCTAATAATTACTTGAGCAAAAAGTTCGTGCCATAGAATTACAAGCATCAAGCAAGCAGCATACAGCACCTCCACAAAGGCATGGATATAATAAGCAAGAAAAGCAAACCGGCCTAGACTAGGCTAAAATGTACCACATAAAGGAGTAGCTTTTAGGATTACCAGCGATAACTATGTCGAGACATTTATAAACAAAGTGATCTCATTAATCCAAACCTCAATTCAAAGTGAAACCCCTCATAAATACAAGAATAAGAAGGAAAAAGAAAGACATTAGACCCCACTAAAACCATGGCACAGAATATACCAAAAAAATGAATACATAAAAACAAACAACTCTACGAGTCCAAAAATGAATCTGCTAAAAATCCCAAATTTAGCTAAACATCTAAAGCAAAATGCAATTCAGATCAAGGCAGCAGCAGTAAGCTAATAGCCATTCTAAAAACAAGAGAAGATCCAAGAGAGAATTAAAAAAAAAAAAAAACCAAAACAAAACAGAGGATTCCAACAGAAAAGAGCCAGAATTCCAAGTAAAATGCAACAAAGTACAAGATAAAGCTGAGATGGGGTAGAAGCACATTACATTGGCAGTAGGATCTACATTCTGAAAGATGGGCCTCCAGGAAAAAATTGTAACAGAAGACTGATACTCCGAAACGCCCCAATCCGTGTATCTAGCTAGCAGAAAATGTATGGAGATGGAGAAAGTAGAGAAAATCAAACCAATCAAAAAAACCCATTTGATTCTTGACTTAATCTTGAATGCAATTTTGCCTTCCCCTTTCATAGCCACCCACTTCATCCTCTCTATTTCCCCCCACCACAACTTCACCAGTTCACAGTTCACACAAAAAAAACACAAAAAGAAGGCCCCTTTATTACAGGAAACCTTAAACAAACGATAAAACAATTCAAGACATGCAACGGAGATAGTGACACTTGCAGCAAAACATGTTCCGGTGGATATTTTTTTATATATGAATAAATTTTTGATTCGTTTTAATGGCTGAGGTAATGGTGTTGGATGGAACAAAGAAGAGTGGGAAGACTTTCGGACATGGGTTATGATTTTTGCGGGTGTTGTTCAGTGGAAGTGTTTGGCCCAGTCGAAAATATGGAACGTGAGTGCACGATCGGGAACTGTTTTTTTGGTTGGGTTATACGGTGTATTGTAAATGCGGGTAGTTGCGCGTGGTGTTTTGTGTTCATTGTTGGACAATTAAGGCAATCAAGTCACGTGAGTTGATCTGTCGATCACGTGATAGCAGAGCATGTTGGAGTAGCATTCCTTCCCTGTAGCCCTCTGTAGGCGCCGCGGCTCGGATCTGCCCATCATTTTATTCTTTTTCTTTTTTTTTCCTTTTTTAAGGGAATGTTAGCACTAATTACTAGAACTTGCTGTTAAGTACTGGATTAATTGCTAATTAATCTCGCATTAGTAAATTTCATAAGCCTTTTTTAAAAAAAAAAAAAAACTTTCATGAGCCTCATTCACCAGCGAAACCTCAAAACATAGGAGTTTAAGGTGTTCCTTTCTTCCTAACATTTTCTTTTGAAGTGACCATTGTGCATAATTCAGTAAAAGAAAATATTGAATGATCAAAATATTAAATTTTTGATTTACTTATAATTATAAAAACTTAACAAGGAACAATTACATTTTTCAACATACGACATGGGTCCATCTATGTATTTTCTTTGTATCTTGGGCATTAACAAAAATTGAAATTTTGAGATAGGGTGACAGTTTTAAATTTTTGTGTTGATCAAAATAATTAGATACTACTTGGTCCTCATCCAACTTATCACTTTTATAGACAACAAGAAATAAAGAACAATGGGTCATCAATGTTTACTTTTAAATCCTTAGGTGAAATGATTTTGTGATGCTTCAAATACTGTAGAATACAAATTCAAAAATATATCAAATGTATGAGAAGATATACATAGAGATGATACGGGGTTTTTGCGGTATTTTTGCATTATATTGGATCTGGATGCGATATATTTAAATAATTTATATATTCGTTATTGTCAATACTAATACCCTAACCAAATGATAAATGAAATAATTCGAGTAAGTGATTAAACACGTGTCAATCGTTTAACGATATAATACTTCTTTTGGTCATTATTATAAAACATTTTAATTTGTCATAAATTTTACCTATTATGTTTTTTCAATTGAAAAAAAAAACTTTAAACTAATTGAAATTCAAAACAAATTAAAATGTCTTATAATAAGAACCGGAGAAAATATAACACAAAAGAAACACAGAAGAGTCACTGCTATTTTAAGAGAGGTTCAAATTCCTTTCTTCACCAAATAACATGGCACGATTTTATATGACTTTAATGTGTAATTTTATCACGTTGGCTCGTTTAATTGATTCCTATTAATCGACAAATTTTGTGCCTGCATGTGCATAAATGATACTCTTTCCGTTCTAAAAAATATAGAGTCAGTTTAATAAAAAATATCCAGTTTCAAAAAGGTCAAAATTAAAACAGATAAATTGACTTTAACTGCCATCCTATCTTCTCTGCTCACTTTCAGTGAATCATTATCTCCGGCCAAAACCTGGTTGAACGGCCGTAATAAAACCCCAACACGAGTCAAAATAAAACCCATCACAGTGGCTACTCCTTCATTTATAGAGTAATCAGCATATTTCGAAATCAAACCAAGCCAAAAAAAAAAAGAAATCAAACCAATCGCAAATCACGCCGAAATCTTCATATTAGAAAGGAACACTTTCCAACAATAAATTTTACGAGCAATCAGAAAAAAGAAAAGAAGGGAGATTCATCATATCCTAAATTGGATCTCTGACGATTCGGACGGGGAGGAGTTGGTAAAGGGAAATTCACATCCTTCAACACGAGCAAATCAAACAGAATCATCGAGCGGCAATAAACAGATCGATTCAATTGACGAGGTGCAAAAGATTTTCGATCCGGGAGTTTAAAGACGACAGAGAATTGGAGGAATTTGATTCGGAATAGGAGGCAATTACCGGCGAAGAGAGGGATTTAGTCTGGGTGGTTGATGTCGCCGTTGAGACGAGAGAGAAAAAAAAAGAAGCGGATTATTGCCTTTTAATTTGAGATTCAATGAACTTTTGATCAGGGGTAAAAAAGGAAGTTTGCTGGATAAAATGAGACTAGACTATTTTTGTGGGACGGGAGGAGGAGTAGTATCCAAAACTATTAAACGGGACACAAAAGTACTGTTGCTAAATGCTAAAGAGATCAAAGAAATTATTTCCTGCATCGCAAAGTACAATAATTATAGTACTTCCTTCGTCTCAAAAAAATAGTTTACATTGAGTTTTCAAATTTGTACTAAAAATAATACAAAATTCAAAACTCAATATGGACTATTTATTTGGGACGGAGGTAGTAATTTTTTAACCAAAACGGTATGATGTACAGATAATTAGTGATATAAGTACACCAAATGTAGCAAATGATATCTCTGCTCCCCGTTTTAGGTTTGGTTTCAGACTTTCAGTGGATTTGGTGAAAGACAAATGGCCGAATAAGATAACAGTAATCGTCAGGCCCACGTCGACGGACATGACAAAGATCTTTTGGGTTCGACCAACGAGGCCTACTAAACAAAGACCCAAACCTCATCCGCCTATTTGCCCATTTTTAATTAGTTTATTCTAATAACTTAATTAATTTCTTAAAAGAACCAATCCCTGCACTGTAGCTTTACTACCTAATAGCAAGAGAGAGAAGAGTCCGCAGACCGCGTCTGCTTTTTCCATAATTTTGGTCTGCTTATATTCCTTTTCAGAAAAGTACGTTTTTGAACAACTCAGACCAACATAATAGTCCTTTTCTAACAGTTCCTCCCGCAGATTTTTCCGTTCTCCTCTTTTCGTTGCTTGAATTTAGTCTCTTTTTTTTTTTTTTTCTTTTTTTTTACTGATTCTGTAAGTCCTTGAGCCTTCATAATCTGCTGCAATGTCCGTTGATCAGGTATGCTCTGCCGTTCAGTTTCTTCAGGGTATTCGATTTCAGAGTACTTGTATTTCACGCTGGGATTCATTTTTCTTCCTGCTTTTGTAATTTCGCCCCTTTTTATGTTGTTTGCGTGTCGTATGTATGGTTATTTATGGAGATGGATTTTGTTGGTTTGAGTCCTACGAAGAAGACCCTCGTAGACTTCTATAGGATGGGTTGGTGAGGGGGTTGAAATTCATCTTTGGGTGACTTTGTGAATTGACTGACTCGATCAATTGTTTGAAGGGATTAAACTCAATTTTTTTTTTTCCTTCGTCTGTCAATCCTAAATGATGTTGCATAGCCAATTTTACTTGTGGACTTCATTATATTGCTCAGTAGGGTAGTGATTCGAGTTTAGGCAATCGACCCGGAATGAGCTTTAGGATTCTCTTGAGTGGGGGTTTAGGTCTTTACGGAAGCCTAAATTGATAGTCCTCCGTCATCAAAGATGCTGTGTCGTAGGCTCTTATGCAATAGTTGTTATGAGTACCCAAATGGATCGTTTGCAGCTTGTATTTTGAGCCCATTTTCCGTTGTGAGCTCTTCCAGTTGCATGCCACTGGTTGCAGTCTTGTTGTGTCTTTCATTAAACTTGTTTGATATGCTGCAAACCCTCTTGAATGAGTGGGTTGGCTATCTATATATCTAGAGAACCTCATCAATGCCAAAGGCTGACCACATAATCAACTTAATCTTTAAATGACCATGTATTTCTTTGGCGTAAATTGAATTTTAACATAGGAAGGTTAAAGGAGGAACTCTTAATTGATATAGATCAGAGCCTTGGATGTAGTATATTATTTATGGCCCATTGTTAGCACTTGTACAAATAATCCAATGATAGAAAGAAGCTTAAAATGCTAAGGATTCTGTTTTCTTTGAATGTATTGTTCTGTTTAAGCCGTACTGCTTCAGCTTTAGACATTTCATTTGGTCTGTATTATAAAATCTTAAGGATCTTAATCAGCAATATGTTTTTTTATGGTTGAACAGTTTCATCAATTCATCTGATTGCATTTTTCACTTCATCGTTATTAATTGACAACATGGTGCTCTCCAGGATGCTCTCTTGTTTTGACTCTGATAAGGAACCAAATAATGGTTCACAAGGCTGATTTAGTCATCATTGGCATAACGGTTGGAGTTGCTTTTGGTGTTCTTATTGCATCCCTCGTGTTCTTCGGTATCCGCTGGTACAAGAACCATGCAAATCTTAGGCGTTGTGCAAATGATCGTTCTGTTGCTGCTATTCCAATTCGAACAAATGGCATAGATACAGCAACTGACTTTAGCGCATCACTTGCTGATCCTGTAGTTGATAAGGGGGTGGACTTTTCTCCGAAGAAGCATGCTTGGTGGAATCACCATGGCAAAGATCGATTCCCTTCTGCATCTGGCATCCCAAGATACTCCTACAAGTATGCACTCTTAACTGCAGAACTTTCTATTTTTGGATTGGTAAATGTACCTTGTTTATTGCTTTGTATACGGTACTGTTTTACATCCACTTCCGCTCAACTCCTGTCACTGTAATTTTTATTTATTTCAAAACACTTTACACAAGACTACAATTAATCATTTTATAATCTGAGATTAATCCCCTGCATGGAATGATGTGTTTACAATATACTAGAAATCAAATGATATTCTCTTGCATAACACTTCCACATGTTATGTTGGAATGAATCAACTCACAAATTTTTTTTCATTGTTTCGTTTGAATTTCTAGGGAGATCCAAAAAGCCACACAGAATTTCACTACTATTCTAGGACAGGGATCATTTGGTCCTGTCTATAAAGCTTTAATGCCTGCTGATGGAGTAGTTGCTGTAAAGGTTCTTGCTTCTGATTCAAAACAAGGGGAAAAGGAGTTTCACACAGAGGTAGCATCTTTTCACTAGGATGGATTCTCTCCCTTCCCTTGGGAATGGACCGTAATTCTTGAATGAAATTTGATGAATATTGAACTTCTGGTTAAAGTTAGTTCTCCTGTAGCATTATTGATAATCTTACATTGATTTAAACATGTAAACACATTCAGCTTTCAGTGCCTTTTTTCAGATTCGAGATTTTTTAAAATTTCCCTCATGGTCAGGCCTAATTTGTTTGCAGGTTTCTCTTCTAGCTAGGCTACATCACCGAAACTTGGTAAATTTGATTGGATATTGTGTAGATAAAGGACAACGCATGCTAATTTACGAGTTCATGAGTAATGGAAGCTTGGCTAACCTTCTGTACAGTGAGTTTGTAGCTCTTTTTTGTATGTTACGTAAAGATATTGCTTTATGAATAGCATTTCAATCCTGAATATAATGATGAAACAAAACTTATTGGAGATTTCTGCTTCATATCATAATGATTTTCTCTTGAATTTTTTTGCTCTTCAAAGTTCATCTGATTAACCACTTTTCCAAAGCCTACTTCTAATAACAAAAACGCCTTCTCTCAAAATAGAAGTCATATTCAAAACTTGACTATTCTGGAACCATGTGTTGTTTCCATTCATTGTATGCTTCAGAAATGGAATTTATTTATGTTCCCTTGTCTAGATGAGGAGGAGAAAGCTTTAAGTTGGGATGAGAGACTGCAAATTGCACTTGATATATCACATGGAATTGAATATCTTCATGATGGGGTAGGCTTAAGATCGTAAATTAATCGACATTTTGTTTTGCTGATATCCAGTCGTTAACCCTTTGTTTGTTTGTCATAACAGGCTGTTCCTCCAGTGATACATCGGGACTTAAAATCCGCTAATATCCTGCTAGATCATGCAATGAGAGCAAAGGTTGGTTGTGTTCGTCCGTGATGTTTTGAAGCTGGTGTTAACGTTAATAAAGGCTTTGATGTGCATTGTTTGAGAAATCCATCCATCTTCTTACATTTTTTTTCTTCCTCACATCTTAAGATCTTTGTTGACTTTTCATGCATTTCCTGGTTGACTAGGTTGCTGATTTTGGATTGTCAAAGGAAGAGGTGTTTGATGGTCGTAATTCAGGCCTTAAAGGTACATATGGCTACATAGATCCCATGTATATTTCCACGAACAACTATACAGTGAAGAGTGACATCTACAGTTTTGGAGTTATCCTTTTTGAACTCATCACAGCCATTCATCCACACCAAAACCTGATAGAATATGTTAATTTGGTAAGTATACAACTCTGATGCAATGACAGGTTTCAGATTGGTTATTTCTTATCTACATTTTAGTTAGCTACTATCGCGCTTTCTGTTGCTTTCAATTGATGACAAATTCTTTTATCTTCATCTTTATTTTGCAATAAAGGCTGCCATGAGTACTGATGGCGTGGATGAAATAGTTGACCAGAAAATTATTGGCACTTGTAACCCTGAAGAAGTGAGGAGTCTAGCCAGCATTGCTCACAAATGCTTGCGCAAGATCCCAAAGAAACGGCCTTCAATAGTCGAGGTTTCACAGGCTATATTAAAGATCAGGCAGAGGCGTCTACGTAAAGAAGATACCATGTCAGTAGCAGGAGAAGAGTTCTCAAGAATGGCGACTCATATAGAAGAACAGCAGCTGGAATTGACAAATTTGAGCACTCCAGATGAAAAGTTAACGCATCTAGTATAACTGAAAAATTTCTTTGCCCTTATGTCGGTAACTCAGCTCTGAGCTCGCTTTCCTCTCATCGTTTTTTTGCTTTTGGTTTTTCACATCCCTTCTGCAATGGAGAGATTTCACCCCAGGACGTTGCAAAAATGGCTTTGGCTGGGAAGACTTTTTGAGTAGGTAAAGTATCAGAAGATGATACTTCTTAGAATCTGTAAATGGTCCGTATCTTGTAGCTTGCGAGACTATAGTAATAGTACATCCGTGGAGTGTTGTTGATAAGCAGAAACTGTAAATTACACAGGAAAAAAGAATTCTCAGAAAAAAATCTTTCCTTCATATTAGAGTCCTGCTTCGTATTTGTGAATTGATAAACTGCGATTTTCAAGTCTTGAATGTCAATATTATCTCCACCTTACATTTCCCAGTTGACAGGAGAGAATTTCATGTGAACAGACAACAGTATAACCATTTTATACGTGCTAGATGGATGTAATGGGGAAAAACTTTGTCATAAAATGTGAATATTCAACATAGTTAAGATTATATAAATCATTTTCAAAAAAAAAAAAGAAAAGAAAATTATACTCTCTGTCCCAAAATTGTTGTCTAATTTGAGATTTCACTTTTAGTACAATTAGAACTAAAAATGAAAACCCAAACTCGACAATAATTATGGGACGGAGGGAGTATAAATAAAGAAGCAAAGCAATGGAAAACATCTAACTTATATATATCTTTTTTTTTGCCAACTTTCTTCTCTTGACCATATTCAAATACTCCTACCTAAACCTTTCATTATTAATGTATTGTTCATTATTTGGACTGGACCCATATGATAATAACGTGTTTCATTTATCCCCGCCTTTTTCTGTTTATTTTTGTAAAGGGAAAAAATAAAAGAAAGAAAATCCAGAAGTCAAATTTACCAAAAAGGGACTACAACTTGCAATGAATTACGAATCTGCTAAATAATCAGAATGCTTAGCTCATCATAATCCGTCACCATTGGACAGGCGCATGTTAGCATTCACCACTACGGGCCGTTAAGCTTAAGCCCTAGGGCTCCTCCTTCTCCTCCAACTCCAAAATGCCCGAATAATCGAGATTCTCTCACATACCTCCAAATCACACTTTGTGCTGCTGGCTGTATTTTCCTGTCAGTAACCGGAAATTTCACGAGAATCGTTCCGGCAATTCAGGCCGGGCTCGGGACTTAAATTCAACTTTAAATTATGGTGAGAACCGTGAAGAGCCACCGCGAAGACGACGACGTTGACGATGAGGAGTTCGGTTCCTCCACTCCAGATGTTACCTCTCAGAAAGGTTTTTTTCCTTCTGTCGTGTTTAATTGTTATGTATGAGTAGTAGGAAAAAATGTTTTTAATCCAATTATATTCTATTTTGAAATTGTGTTATCCGCAGTGAAATTGGGAGGGAAGACTAACGATGATCAAAAGGTGAATGCGTTGCGGTCGAAGCATTCCGAGACGGAGCAACGGCGGAGGAGCAAAATTAATGAGAGGCAAGCTTTTTTCTCTTTTTTTTTTTTTCTAAAATTCATAGAATGCAAAATTTGAATTCTGGGGTATCTTTGGTGCTTAAGTTGCTGAGATTAAGTGTTTGATTTTGCTCTGTCAATAAAGTTGAGAGAATTATGAAATGATAGATGGTTATTCAGAAGTAGCTGACTGTTAGTGTGGATTGGCAGATTCCAAGTTTTAAGAGATCTTATTCCTGAGAATGATCAGAAGAGGGATAAAGCTTCATTTTTGCTGGAGGTAATGTATCCTGTTACGGTTTGCTTTGTCAGTTTGTGTTATTGCTGGATTCAACCTGAGTTGTTAATTTGCTACTGAGTGCAGGTTATTCAGTACATACATTTTCTACAGGAGAAGATACAAATGTATGAAGGAACATATCAAGACTGGAATTCCGAGCCATCAAAGCTAACACCATGGGTGGGTAATATATCCTCACACTTTTCAGGCTGTCGTCCTAATTCTGGAGCTTATGTCCCTTGTTTGCTTATCTTGATCTTCATCCCTGTGTGTGTGTTCAGTAAAATTTATCACTTATTTTTTCTGAAAACACTACTTTTCTGGTAGAAGTTCAATGGTTCAAAGTTGCTAAGTCCAATTTCATTTCTTAACGGCACAATCATTAGTCTCTTATTTACTTCTTATTCATCTGAAAACGGGAAAAACTAAAGCTTGGTAGTTGCTTGATGATAATGCAGACATTTGTTTCATTTTCAGGAATTGAATCTCAACCTCTACTCTTCTTTTTTAACAGAGAAGCGATTCTGGGCTGGTGGACAATTTAGTTGATCCCCTGCAAGTTGCAAGAAATGGCTCTAGTGATGGTGGCATGATTGCCACCCTTATGCATGCTAATGCACAGACCTCGATGGAATCTGAATTGAGTGGACCTCCTTTGTGTGGAGGAAATGACAATTCACAAGGATCTGGCAACCACGAAAGCTCTTTGAACATGTCTGTACAACAACCAAACTTGTCTGATGTTGAATATTCTCAGCCTGCTCGGGCATCTTTTCCTGACCCTGAACCTTTGGCTTCCCAGTCCCCTTCTGACTACTGGTGTGTTAAACCTTGTGCATCTGAATGTGCTCTTCCAAGTGACAATGCTTGTCAACAGGAACAGCTGAAATCAGAAAGTGGTATCAACCGCACCTCCAATGATTACTCTCAAGGGTGAGATCTTGAGTATCCTTTGTCTTGCGGTAGTTTACGGCGGTAGTGGCCTTTGGCCTTGTGAGCTGCTACCGGATTAATGTTTTAACTGTGCTTAAACTGATTTCATGGGATGATGTGTGAGGAATTTTGTTTTTTTTTTTTTTTCCTGACATTGTACTTAGCAATTTAGATTATATGTTGTTTTCTTCGTTGTCTGATCACTAGTTTTATTGGATGAGCTGCCTTTATTCCTTTCTATTTTTCCCAACCGTCGGTAGATATGTGGGGAACTTTGCAATGCTTCACATATTTTGACTATTGATGTGATACATGTGAAGATATCCATCAGATTATGTTCCATTCAAGCGTAATAGTCACTTTTGAGGCATTAACAATGGTTTTTTGATTTGTTGCTTGAAAGGGAATGAATTCTCATGAAGCCAGTTCATTATGCTTTACAGCTTTAGATAACCTGGAAATTTCAGAGTTTTTATTGTTGTGCTTATTGAGTTGTTGGTCTTGCCAGGTTATTGAAGACTTTAACCCATGCCCTGCAATCCTCAGGAGTGGATTTATCACACACCAAAATTTCTGTACAATTGGATGTTGGCAAGAGGACAAATGGATCAGCTGGTACAACTCTTGGTACAGAGGTGTGTTCCGCTTTTCCTATGAGCTTATTGTTTAAGGAGAAACAAAAGTCTAAGAAACTATAGATTTAAAGCTGGCTCTTGAAATCTTAGTTGTCATTATTCCTTGTCTTGATTCCATGAGTCCTAAGGATTGTTAAAAACTAGATCGTCAAACAGAATTTAGGATATTATTGTAGTTCTCACAGGTCGTTCACCATATAGACATCATTTGCAAAGTGACTTGGCTGAAATCTGTACTTTTACAGGATTCTTTTAGCTTCCAGCAAATGGCTGGCCGCAACTGTAATGTTTATAATTATGATCGTCCAAGTAAAAAGCCAAGAAGCGATGGGAGTTAGCATGGCTCGATAAACTGCTCGTTTTTGAGAAAGCTTATCAGTTCTGCTCGTTTTGGGACGGTAGGGTTTAATTATAGTTTCTTTGCTCTGCGATTGTCTAGATTTCCTTCATCAGGGCCATTGTAAATGCTTTTTTGAAAATCTACTTTCTGTTGAGGCTTCCATTTAAGTATGTGAAGCTGCTATTTGTACAAGCCACGGTAGATTACATCGCTTTCTCTGGTACATTTGAGTTTCAACTGGGGCTGCGGGGATTCCAAGTCACCGTGGATTCGTATCTTTCTCCCAGCTTGTTTCCTGTCTGAAAATTTATTTTTTGAAGTGAAAGTGAGGGTTGGCAGATTGACAGTGATTATATTTTCTTATAGAGTATTGACCAAAGAAATTTTTAAAATTTATTGAAAATATAAAAAGATGTGAGACTGTAAAACTATGTCTTCGAAATGTAAAATTTGTTAATAGATAAATAATTAGATAAGTGTTCTCACTGTCTAGAATATAGCACTTTGAGCTTTAGGGTTTGTACAAACCTCAAAATTCAATGTAGACTAATTTTAGTACACATGAATAATATTTTGTTGTGATGCTAAAAGCATGAGGGGATCGTCTCTTCTGCATACTTCACGTTGAAAAATTGATCTCTTACTCTCCCATGTTTGTTTGAGGGAAATCTGACTTGGTTGAAAAACTACAGCAGTCAGAGCATCACAGCAATCAATGTCAAACCCCCCAATCCTCGTAAGAAGTAGAGTCATTTCCATCTCCGAGGAAGCAAGAAGTAATACGTGTACCACAACGAGACCTTAACAGTAACCAATTATCGTTCCAACAAGTCAATATGGTCGGAAAATACAGAGGGCACCTTACAGATTTTCTCTTAAACCAGTAGAAAGAATCGTTTCCATCTTCATCCTGTTGCACTATCATCACCCAGATTTCGAACAATCCACGCATACCTTGGGTGATCAATGCAAGGGAATTACCCGAGACGGATAGAGTAGAAGTTGGACTTACAAACCCTATTCTCGCATTTGGACATTTTATCAGGCCAAAGGATTTAGTGCGGAAATCAAATGCAAGAATCAAGCTTGTTTCCAGACCTAACCAATAGCAAGAACCATTCAGAAATACTCCTCCAGCTGGAGCAAGACTGCCCCTCAATGTTTCTTCCAACAACCGTCTTCCATCAGCACCAAAATCGCCGAAAAAATATGCAACATCTGCACCTCTTGCTTCAAATAACCTTCACATGCCCGAGCTCAAGCTTATACCAATACTCGGCGCCGAGTCTATAAATTTCAGCATATATAGATGGTCGCGTTTCCTGATCGGACTTCCTGGACCGCCCCAACCTGATGACCTTGCAATGGTTCGTGAACACATCAAAACGAAATCCCAGTACATTAGTATTCCAGCAGCCATCCAAATACCTATTTGAATCAGGGAGTTCTAGGCATTTTCCACAGTAATTGGATTACACAAGTAAACAGGGCCAAGGGTTGACGATTTCGAGATGCAAAGGATTCCATTGCACGATCCATATAGATGATAAACTTTTGACTGGTACGGCAAGAACTCTGGACCAGGGGGCAGAGGACAAAGAGAAATATTACAATATTTCCCCTGGTCGCAATCGGAATCTTGGGTCGGTAGCAGTTTATCAAATCTCTTCCCGGATCCGTAATTGAAGCCACCGAACTGTCGCATTAGGAAGACCATACTGTTTTTATTGTTGCTTTTGTTGTTAAAGAGATCTTCGTTCAGAATTAGGTTTAGAATCAAAGCACGCCATGTTTTGGAGACACAGCTGGATGCCACCAATGATTTGAAGGGAAGTTTCAGCAGGATCTTTCTCAAGATTTCTTCCGGTACGTAAATTCCTTCCATCCGCTCTGATCCAGTTCTGATTTTATCACTGATTTGAGTGCCTGAAAGAACAAAAGATTTAAATCAAATCAATCTGACAAGAAACCAAATTTCAGTCACTTTTCAGAAACCAAAGACCGAATCCTTTACCATTTAGTATCCGCACAGACGGAATCTGCTTCAGCCGATAATCCTACAAACTAATCCACTTGGGCTCTCGATTTATAGAGATCCAAATATATATGTAGTCCTTTTCCCGTCTAATAGTGAGACACATGTGTGTTCAATAATAGTGGGAAAATCATATAAATATTGTCTTTTTTTTTTTTTTTTTGTACTCCTTGGTGAAACTGTGAGGTTTACTGGAAGGAAACTGAAAGCTTGTGGCGAAACGCAACGAAAACATGATCAGAAAAGCTTGAACAAGGTCATATATATTGTTGGCCTAACAAGGAAGCAAATACTTAAGAAGTGCAATGCACGTGGAACTGTTAAAAGTGTTTACAGGTGAAGAGTATTACCTCTTGCTCGGGGCGTGACAGCCGGCATAAGGTATGGCATTTTGAAATTTCTGTACATGTTTCTGTTGCTTGAATCTCCTAGGAAGTGGAAACTGTTGTTTGAGTTATAGTCAATTAGTCATCCTTTGATTGTTCTATCAATCAGTAGAAACCTCTGATTTGTAAGATTTCTTATGTTCTCTTTTTGGGATCTCATTCCTGAAGATGATCGGAAGAGGGATAAAGCTTCATTTATTGCTTTCTCAGTTTGTGTTATTGCTGGAATCAACCGAGTTGTGTATCAAAGTGCTACCTGCTATTTCCCTTGTTTGCTTTTGTTGCTCTCCTTTTTCAACCAAAATACTCTCTCCGTCCTAAAATTATTGTCCAGTTTGAGTTTTCATTTTTGGTTCAAATTATACTAAAAGTGAAATCTTAAACTGGACAATAATTTTGAGACAGAGGGAGTAAAAAAAAAAAAATTGTGGTTTACTCCCCAAACAATCTACAACGTTCCCTTTCCTATACACGTTCCTAAACAATCCAATCTCACTCACTTGAGACCTTGAGACTTTGAGAAGATTACCATTACTTCAAAACTAGACATCCATGAACCCCCCCAAATCTTCCTCCTCATCTTGCACCATTGCTAGAAATCACCGACTATGAACCTCAATTTTTGAAGTTAAAGTAGAGGATTGGCATATTGACATTGATTCAGTTTTCTACTTAACTAAAAACTTGTCAAAATTTGTATTGAATATCTAATAAAACTGAATTGAGAAGGTAAAAACGTGCATTAGAAATGTAAAAATATCAATAGGAGAATAGATAAGTAACAAGTACTTCCTCTATCCCACAAAAATAATCCACGTTTAACACAAATTTTAAAACTTAATGTGGACTATTTTTTTAGCCAATCACCGTTCCAACAAGTCAATATGGTCGGAAAATACAGAGAGCTTACAGAACTCCTCTTAAACCAGGAGAAAGAATCTTCTTGCCCATCTTCATCTTCTTGCAGTTTCATAACCCAGACTTCGAATAATCCGCGCATATCCTGGGTGTTCAATGCAAGAGAATCGCCTGAGACCGATAGAGTAGAATTTGGACTTACAGACCCGATTCTCGAATTTGGACATTTGATCAGGCCAAAGGATTCAGTGCAGAACTCAAACGTAAGAATCAAGCTTGTTTCCAGACCCAACCAATAGCAAGAATCATTCACAAATACTCCTCCAGCAGAAGCAAGACTGCCGTTCAAAGTTTTTTCCAATAACCCTTCTTCCAGCAACAGCAAAGTTACCGAAGAAATACCCATCCTCTGCCCCTCTAGCTTCAATTAATCTCAATTTCAGGAGGCTAAGCTTATACCAACGGTTGGTCCTGAGTTTATAAAGTTCAGGCGTGCCTTCGTCTTCGTGGGAGAAGTGCCTGAACCTGATGACCTCGCAATCGTTAGTTTTCGGATCGAAGCGAAAACCCAGTACTTTTTTATCCCAGCCCCCATTCAAATTCCAATTCCAATGGGGAAGTTGCAGGCGTTCCTGAGTAATAGGATTACAGAGGTAAACAGGGGAATGGTATAATGATGTCGAGATGCAAAGGATTCCATTGCATGATCCATACAGATGAAGTTTTGGCTAGTACTGCAAAATATCTAGGCCAGGACCCAAATCAAAATTAGAAATATTACAGTAATTTTCTTGGACATTGTCGGAATTGCGGGTCAATAAAAGTTCATTGTGTCCATAGGAAATCCGGCTGCTTCCAAACTGTCGCATGAGGAAGATGGTGTTGTTTTTATGGTTGTTCTTGTTGAATACAATGTTCATGAGATCCTCCCTTAGAATCAGGTCTCTGAAAAAGCCAAGCTTGTCACCAAAAACCGGGTTTAGCATAAAAGCACGGCATGTTTTGGAGACCAAACTGAATCTCAACAATGATACGGCCGGTGGTTTTAGTAGGATCTCTATCACGATTTCTTCCGGCACAGGAAATCCCTCCACCATCTACCCCGGTGGAGGAGTGCCTGAAAAAAAAAGAACAGTAAACAAATTAAAAATCAATCTGAGAAAGAGGAAAATTTCGATCAGATTCAGTTTCTCAGAGACGTAAAGTTGGAATCAATACCATAATTTTTTCAGAAGCACAGAGTGAATCTACTGCAACCGATTAACCTGTAAATTAATCCAACCGGGAACCCTATTTATAGAGATTTATAAATTACTCCCTCCGTCCCAAAATTATTGTCCAGTTTGAGATTTCATTTTTAGTAAAATTTGAACTAAAAATGAAAACCTAAACTGGACAATAATTTTGGGACGGAGGGAGTATCAGTTAGTCCTTTCGCCACCTGCAATCGGAAACTTACCTGCAACAAATCCAAACGGAAATACAATTATTCATAATTAGGCACGAGTTTATGTTCCCTAGTAATTTAACTTGAAACTATGAGATCATATAAATATTGGTTTTTTTTTTTTTTTTTTTTTGAGGATACTCTTTGAGTTTTCACAGTTCAGTCAGACTTCATCTACTAAGCGACTTAGCTGATTTCTTAATTTCTTATAGGATTCCTCCAGCTTCCAACAAATGGCTGATCACAACTGTAACGATTAGAAGTGTGCCGTCGAAGTTATCTATTCCTAAACAGAATCCCAAACGGTACAATTTTTCCGGATCAGTGGACTAGAAAATAGTGTTCCTTAACAATAACGTTTCTACAACTCAGGGAAGACACAAGTCATCCTTTTGCCCACAATACATCAAAAAGAAATAATAACAAAAAAATAGAGAAACTAATTTTAAATTTTTGTTAATGTTCGAATGCTGTTCCCAGCTACAATGCTAGTCAGCAGGAATTCCACCATGTATCTAATGCTTCATCTGCTATTGGGAGGTCCTTTTTTTTTTCTTGAGCAGGAATGTCTTTTTGCTACTCCCTCCATCCCAAAACGATCACCTTATCTCTAAAACGAAAACATGGTAGTGCCACTTTTTGTTAAGGAGGAATCTTCTCAGCATGTTTGGGCCTCAACTTCTTTGGCTTCCTACTTCCCTTCTTACCATTGTAGGTGCAATTTGTTCAACCACCATGTTTCCTGCGTGGACCAAGGGAAAAAAAAAAGTTAAAAATTGCTGTGAAAATACAAAAATGGGTGTATTAAAGATATGAGATTGTGACTCTCCAAAAATCAGAACAAAAGATATCAATATGAAGGGATCACTTGACTACATCTTAACTTACTATCCTCTGCAGTTAGTTTGTCGAAGGGAAACAAGAGTTGGTTGAAAGTTGACAGCACAAAGACCATCATTGTAACCGATATCACATCCCCAATTCTGGTTGTATGTAGTAGTGAAAGAGCCATTGTCGTTGTCATTGTCATTGTCATTGCCATCAACATCGCCAAAGCCATTGCCATCTCCATCTCCGAGGAAGCAAGATATTACACGTTTGCCACAATGAGACCTTAATCGTAGCCAATCATTACCCCAACAAGTTAAATACCGTTGAAAACTTGGGTCCAGTCCTTACCGAATATCTCTTAGACCACAACAATGTCCCTTTCCCACCCTCCTGCTGCTGCTGGTGCAGCATCACCCAGACTTCAAAGAATCCGCGCTTATCATCCTCTACTATTAACGCGAGGGAATCACCCAAAACCGATATAGCTGTAGACCGTCCTCTAAAGGCTGCATTTTCTTTCGAATGTGCAACTTTTACCATTACCAAAGATTTCAGTGCGGAAGTCAAATGTAACAATCAAACTTCTTGCTTGATAATACCCCAACCAATGGCAAGAACCATTCACGAATACTCCCCCAGTCAGACCAAGACTCCCTTGGATCAAAATATTCTGAAGCAATCTTCCAAGATTACTCATATCATCGTTGATCAAGGAGCTGGTACCAATTGCTTCCATGTACTTGAATTTCAGGTCAACCTTAGTCCAACAGTTCGTACTGAGCTTATAAATTTCGGCATATATTGCATTAAATTCTCCTGTATCATCATGATTGCCCACCAAACATAACCTGATAACCTTGTAATCATTGGTTGCGACATCAAAACCAAAACCAAGCACTGTTTTCTTCCAGAGACCTCTCATACTCAGAATCCGGAAGTTTCAGGCTTTCCCTGGTAGCTGGATTATACAAATAAACGGTGGCACGGGCCTATTTTGAAATGCAAAGGATTCCATTGCAAGATCCATAAATTTGGAGATGTGGCTCCTGAGGTAAATCTTGACCAGAGGACAAAACACGAAGAGAAAAATCGTTACAACATTGGGAATTATAATTAGCTTGGCTGTCGTCATACTTGTGTGTCAATAAGAGTTCATGGTATTTGTCGGATCCAGGGGGAAACCCGTAGCTTCCGAATCCACGCAGGAGGAAGACACAATGGTTACGGTCGATGATGTTGTTGCTGCTGGGATGATTTTGAGCAAAATAAGGGTTTTGGATCAAAGCGCGCCATGATTTCGAGAAACAACTGAATCTTGCCAACGATCTGACGGGCTGGCTCAGTAGGATATCCGTCAAGATTTCTCCCGGCACATAATTTTCTTCCATCCTGGTTGATTTTGCCACCAATTTGAGTGCCTGAAGAAAATAAAAGTATAGTCAATCAAATCAATCTGTTAATTAAGGAAGTAGAAGTCAATCACTTTTTAGAACCAAAACTGGAAAATATATCAGAAGCACAGAGTGCCAACTTCAGCCGATTAAGCTGTATTTCACAAGCAAAACGCTCTATTGATAGACAATTAGACATTGAATAGCTTGCACCTTTCACCATCTTTAATAGGAAACCTACCCTCTACGCCTGAACAAATCCTAACGGGAGTAGGATTTCCTGATCAACATTTTGACAATAATTTTTAACCTTGATCAAGATCTGAAGATGAGTTAGGAGAAACCAAGAATCCTTTTTATTTTATCCTTGAATGATCACATTATACAAGTATTCCTTCTGTCCCATAAAAATCGTCCACATTGTAAATTATACTACGTACATAACATTAAGTAACAGTTCTTAAATCAATACAGAGCGTCTCGAGACCAAACCACAGTATTAGAATAGGAGCCGAACACTCTTCTAATGAGTATTTAAAAAAAAAAAAAAAAGTAAAGAAACAAAAATCCTTGGGAAACGGACCTTATTTCTTTTCTAATTTAAATTACCTTATTCCTAAACATATCCTTGGGGAATAAAAATAGGCCAACCTAACCTGCCTTATTTAGTTTAACTTTTACAAACATGAATTCTAAACCGTAAATGATCTGGTTTTGTGTTTCCATCTCCTTCTTGAAATTGGTTCGGAAAATATGATTTATATATTATTAAGGATGATAAATAATAGAAGTACATGAACTTCGCTGTGAATGCTGAAAAAAATTGTTTAATTTCTTCATATATAAAATAACAATATTTAAGTCATCGCTGGGTTTTCTCGGTCCAGGCATACGTATAAAAGAACCAAGAAAACCACACTTTTTAGATTTGAGAGTACTTTTTTTCTCTTTTTTTCTCAGAGAGCTCGAAGAATCAGAAATTTTAGCCTTCGATTCGATTTGATTCGACAAACCTATTCCTGTTCTTAAGCCGGCGTTTCCTATATCAATGGTCTCAGATATGGTTATGGAGAAAAGGGATAAGCTTAGGAGTAAGAAATTAGGGCAGTCCGAAGTGAAGCGATACTGGCCTGGAAAAGCCCCTGAATGGGCTGCTGATGATGATGATCATAACGATGAGGATGGAGATTTTAGAATTTCAAGGGCTGATGCGTTCCCTGCTCAGGAACAATCTTTTCTTGATCCGGTTAGAAAGAATGATGATCCCAGGCTTCGTCGTTTGGCTGAGAATAGGATTGATAATCGTGAGGAAATCAGGGCTGATCATAGGCGTATTCGCCAAGCCGAAATAATTTCCAGCCATGAGTCTTCTATGGAACAAGAATCTATGGATGTCGATGAAGAAGATGAAGATGCATTAGAGGAGAGAAGGAGGAGAATCAGGGAGAAAATGCTTCGTAGGCAGGCCGAAGATGCTGCCCTGTTTCCGATTCAGGAAGAAGATGACCTGGAACCGGAAAAGGAAGAGGAGTCATCTGAGTATGAGACTGATTCTGAAAACGATGAACCAGGATGCATCGCCATGATCAAGCCGGCTTTTGTTCCAAAGCCCGAGCGTGATACTATAGCCGAGCGCGAAAGGCTCGAGGAAGAACAAAGGGCCGCTGAGGAGTCCACCAAGAGGAGGTCAGAAGAGATGAGGGCTGCTGAGACAAAGAAACTTCTTGTTGAGATGATTCACGCGGAGGAAAAGCGTGTGAAGGACACGGATTCTGAGGCTATTGTTGTCGAGGATGTGGATACTGATGACGATATCAATGGGGCTGAGGAATATGAGACCTGGAAAGCTAGGGAGATTGCAAGGATCAAGAGGAACAGGGAGGACTCATTGAAGGAGAAAGATGAACAGATTGAAAAATTCAGGAACGTGACAGGGGAGGAAAGGAAGGAAGCTGGAAAATCGAAATGGAATTTCATGCAGAAATACTTCCACAAAGGTGCTTTCTTCCAGGCGGATGCTGATGATCGTGCCGGAACTGCTGGTACGGACAACATTTATAGTCGTGATTTCTCTGCTCCGACTGGTCAGGATAAGATGGACAAGACAATACTGCCTAAGGTTAAGCAAAATAAGAACTTTGGTCGGAGGGGAAACAGTAAATGGACTCATCTTGTCAATGAGGACACCACTGATTGGAGTAATCCGTGGAGTTTCAGTGATCCACTTCGGCAAAGATATTATGCAAAGATGGCTGGAATGAAGCCTATAGCAAAACCCAAAGGGAAGTAAGAAGATCAAGGATTGGGATATGCTTTGAGTATAATTATTCCTCCTGTCTTATAACAGATTGAACTATTTTTTCTGGAACGGAGAGTCAAGACAACCCGCCTTCGAATCGAAATGGAATTACGGTGTGATATAGTTCTCTAAGGCCGCCATGCCATCTAGCTGCGGTTGGCTTTTTAATTGATTACTGTCCCTACACTTTTATTTTTGGTTCTTTTCTTGTAAAGAGATTTCTGGCAACCAACTATTAAAGTCACCAACAATTACATCAATTCTGTATTTCTAAGAAGAGGACGAAAGAGGAAAAGCTAGTGAGCATATTCATTTATAACCAGAACAGAATTGTTTGCTAATAGTTTGTATCGTAGTACCGAACGTCGTCTTGATAACACAATCTAAAGTTTTGTTACAAGAATGACAAATGAGATGCCTTTGAAAAATATCAAATTTTGTGCTGAATGACATCATGAAGGAACTCTATCTAGTCTTAGCCTCTTCCCCCACTCACTTTACATTTGAAAATTATCACTTTTTCACTCTCCTCTGTGTTTCTTGAAGAGAAACTAGGGTTGGTTGAAAAAGCACAGCAGACAGAGCATTAGCCCAACCAATGTCAAACCCCTCAGCCTTGCATTTAATATACCCATCTTTTCCGATAAAGCAACAAACTATTCCTCTACCACATCGAGACCTTAATAGAAGCCAATCGTCATTCCAACAGGTTAATATTTTCCCAAAATATACTTCATGGCCAAATCTTACAGAGCATTTCAAACACCACAAGAAGAATAATGAACCTCCTTCCCCGTCTTCATCTTCCTGCAGTATCATCTTCATCACCCACACTTCGATTAATCCAGGGGAAGAGGTGATCAATGCAACGGAATCATCCAAGACAGACAGAGTTGCCGTTGGACTAACAGACCTTATTCTCGAAATTGGGCATTTGATCAGGCCAAAGAATTCAGTCCGGAAGTCGAAGGTGACAATCAAGTTTGTTTTCAGACCTAACCAATGGCAACAACCATTCAGAAATACTCCTCCTGCAGGAGCAAGATTTCCCTTCAAAGTATCCTCCAAATAGAGTCTTCCAGCAGCAGCAAAATCACCCAGAAAATATGCATCCGCTGCAGCATTACCTCCAATTGATCTAATAACCTTCAATTTCTGGAGATCAAGATGAGTCCAACAGTTGGTACCAAGTTTATAAATTTCAGCACGGCGAGATGTTATTGCATAGTCAAACCGCTCGAACCTCCCTAACCTGATGACCTTATAATCATTAGATAAAGTATCAAAACCAAAACCCAGAACACCACATTCATTCCAGCGGCCATTTAAACTGTTATATGAATCCGGGAGTTCCAGTGAGTGATTGGATTACACAAATAAACAGGGGAAAGGGATGATGATTTTGAAAGGCAAAGGATTCCATTGCAAGAACCATACAGATGAAGGAGCTGTGATTTCACAGGTAAAAAGTCTAGAACAGGGGAGGAGAAAACAAATCGGGCCTGAACCTGATCAGGGTGGTTGTCGGAATTTTGGGTCAATAACCTGCAGCTTCCATTGTGTCGCTTGAGGAAGATCGTATTGTTTTTGTGGCTGCTTTTGTTCCAATGTTTGTCAGCAAAATCAGGGTTTCGGATCAAATCACGCCATGTTTTCGAGACACGAGTGAATCTCACCAATGATGTGATCGGCAAGTTGAGTAGAATCTCTGTCACGATTTCTTCCGGCACATAAACTCCTACCATATACCTATTGATTGATTTGATCACCTTTTTTTGAGTGCCTAAAACCCAAAACCCGACATAAAAATAAAAGTAAAGTCAATCGCACAAGAAAAGAATTCTATAAATTTTCAGAACAAAAGCTCGAATTCCCATATATCAGGAGCTCGAATCTGATTCAGCGGCAGTTTAAGTCCAAACTAATTATGTGAAAACGAAAAATTGGGTCTGTGCTTTGGAAACCTAGATAAGAGATCAATTATAATATAGAGAGAATCCCCTCTTTTTTTGCAGATAATTATGATTGCACTGTGGTTTTATATATTATATAAGAGAATCCCCTTTTTTTCGCCATCGCCATCGCCATTGCCGAGGAAGTAAGATATCACATGTCTACCACAGTCAGACCTTAACAATAGCCAATCATCCTCCCAACAGGCCAATACTGTCGAAAACCTGTGCCCAATCCTTACAGAACATCTCTTAGACCAGTAGAAAAATGACCCTAACCTATCCTGCTGCTGCATCATCACCCAAACTTCAAACATTCCGTGCTCACCATCTGCTGTGATAAATGCAAGAGAATCGCCGAACACGGATAAGAGTTGTTGGACTTAGCCATGAGCGTTGTTTCCAACATGGACATCTTATCAGGCCAAACACTTCAGTCTGAAAATCAAACGCAAGAATCGGGTATGTTGTGAAACACTTGCCCAACCAATAGCAAGAACCATTCACAAATACTCCTCCAGCTGGAGGAAGTGTATCAAGATTGCCGATTAAAGTTTCGTTGGTCAAGCCGACCAAAAAATATTTCCCCTCAGCACCTATTACTTCAATGTCCATCAATTCCAGGAAGTCAACCTTTGTCCAGCTGTTGGTACTGAGTTTATAAATCTCAGCATGTACAAAAGCTGGTGTATCATCTCCCCTGCAGAACAGCCCCAACCTGATGACCTTGAAATCCTTTGTTGAAATGTCAAAACCAAAACCCAGTTCACTTTTTCGCCAGCTGCCTATCAAATTGCTACTGGAATCGGGAAGCTGAAGGAGGAGTTCCCGAGTAATCGGGTTGCACAAGTAAACAGGGTCACCGGACGATGATTTTGAGAAACAGAGGATTCCGTTGGAAGATCCATAGAGTCAAAGTTGTGATTTGTATGGTAGAAAATCTAGACCAGGAGACAAAAACGCAAAGAGAAAAACTATCATAACAGTGAGAATTTCCTTGGCGGCGAGTCAATAACAGTTCATGGAATTTCTCGATATCAGGATGAAACTGTCGCATGAGAAGACAGAATCGCTGTTGTTAAGGTTGTTGTTCTTGTTGAGATGCTTGCGAACGAAACAAGGGTTTCGGATCAAAGCGTGGAGGTGAGCTAGGATCTCTGTCCAGATGATATGATTTCCCTCCATCTGTAACGATGTACAGTAATTGTTTTACAACAACCAATACCAATTTTAAGTGCCTACACAATAATCAAATGAATAAATCTCGCCGGGGGAAAATTCAGTCAGTTTTCACTTTTCAGAACCAAAAAGCTCGAATCACCACCATATATCAGAAGCTCTGAGGAAATCTGTGCTTTCCAACTTATCCTGGTTTATAATATGTGCTAGGGTTTGCTTTGCCCTAGAGTGGTTGGGGGAGGAGTAACCAAATTACTAATTGTGTTATGTTTTGTTTTACTAGCGGTGACTTGTACTATTCTTATCTGATGATCACGTCCCGACCAATATTTTTTAATTTTTTTTTATATATATATTTTTGTTTCCAATATTACTCATGTACTAATAATTTTGCTGTAATTCAATTTGCTTGGTCTCCACTTCGTTACATGTACTTGTAATTTAGTTATAATTAAAGATAGTAATCGTACATATAAAGTTGTAGTAGTAGTTTATTTTTATTTTATTTTTTGATTTTTTGGCCGTAGTAGTAGACTCATTCTCCTCCACAATGATTAGTGGTGATACCATAATCTGTTGTTAAGTTAATTCTCCTATATGACCGGTGTCCAATCATGTTTCCTGCAAAGGCAATAAGAATTTAAAGTTAAAAACTGCATCAAAAGTCTGCGTATGATGATATATAGAAAGCACGAGATTACTTATGGCTAAATGAATAGATAGATAGATGTAAGCTTGAAAGGAAGTGAAGGGAAACTACATTTAGCTTGTTGGTCCAAGGGAAACAAAAGTTGGCTGAAAAGCCACAGCAGAAAGACCATCATCGCAACCAATGTCAAATCCCCATTTCTTGTTGCATGCAGCAGTGGAATCGCCATCGCCATTACCATCGCCATTGCTGATGAAGTAAGAAACAACATGTCGACTACAAACGAGACCTTAACAGGAGCCAATCATTGTCCCAACAGGTTACTAAATCATCATGGGAAGTAGTTCTCAAAGTATGCCTCTTGAACCATGATACCTTCCCTTCCCGATCCCGATTCTCCAACATTGCCCAGACTTCAAAAGATTCTCTCATACCATCCTCAGTGATTAACACCAGGGAATCACCCAAGACCGATATAGCTCTTTGTAGCCCTACGAAACCTGCATCTGATCTTGAATGTGGAAATTTTATCAGGCCAAAAATTTCGCTGCGGAAGTCAAACGTAAGAATGTAATTTGTTCCCATGTACTCCCCCAACCAATGACAAGAACCATTCATAAACACTCCTCCAACAGGAGCAAGACCGCTGATCAACATATCCTTCAATATTAATCCAGCCGGAGCATTTCTGTCAAGATCATCGGTCGAGGTACCTGCTGCTTCAATATGCTTCAATTTCAGGTCAACCTTAGTCCAACAGTTGGTACTGAGTTTATAAATTTCAGCATCTATAATAATAATAATATTGTGATTATTCTTCAAGAACCAGAACCTGAGGACCTTGAAATCGCTTGTTAAAATGTCTAAACCAAAACCCAATTCACTTTTATGCCGACAGGCTCTCATATTGTTACCGGAATCGGGAACCTGAAGGAATTCCCGAGTGATGGGATTACACAAGTAAACAGGGTCGCCGGAGGATGATTTTGAAAAGCAGAGGATTCCATTGCAAGATCCATAGAGATGAAGCCCCTGATTTGTGTGGTAAAAAATCTAGACCGGGTAACAAAACCTGAAGAGAAAGATTATTATAACCCTCCCGAGAATCGTCATCGCCGTCGCGGGACAATAGCAGTTCGTGGAATTTCTCCGAAACAGGATAAGAAAACTGTCGGATGAGGAAGACGGGCAGTTTCAGAAGGATCTCCGACAAGATTTCTTCCGGCACATAAATTCCCTCCAAATCATAAGGTGAATTGGAAACGGAAAATAAAAAATAAAAAATAAAAATAGAAGCAATGATTTGGGCTTTTTGTTGGGCGAGCCTCCAAATTCTTACCCAGCCCAATATACACGCAAGGCGGTAAGGGCAAAATAATTAGAGTTTCTTATTATAAGATGATAAATGTACAAGGACTTAAAATGTAAATAATGTTTCACACACGTTATAAAGCTTTTTCTCCATTCTCTCTGGTTCTCACTTCCTCTTCTTCCCTCTACAGCCCGGCCGCACTGACTCTTTATCGCCCTCCGCGGCTCCGCCACCTCCTCCGCCGGGTCAATTCAAAGGTCGTCAATTTTGGTTCAAGTTTCCCTCGTTTCAGGTAATGATTTTTACTCTTCAGGTGTTTTTTTTTACCCAGCGTCTTTGCGAAGTCCCTTATCTATGGTGGAAATAATCTTGTTTGTGGAAACGAAGTTAACATAAGCATCGATTCATCTAGTACATGTAACTGCTGATATTTTAATTTAAATTTGTCTCTTAAAAGTGTGAACGGTATGGATGAGCATGAACAATGAAAAGGGGAAATCTTTGAGTCGTTAAGGCAGGTGGATTTTGTTGGAAATCATAGTTAATAAGACTCCATTCGGAAACTTCTGTGCTTTTTTTGATATGGTTCCAAACCCATCTTGTGTTTCGTTTCTTTCAAAAATGCCGAGCTAGTGCCCACGATTTTCAGTGGGAAAAAAGCAGTCAACAAGTTACTGATACATTATTTGGTACTTCTATTATTCTCTGCTCTTTCTCCATCCCGCAAGCATTAAAAAAAACTGAATTCGTTTACCCTTTTTTTTTTTTTTGGTAACAGAAAGCTGAAGGGAACCGTTTAGAAGATGAGGAAGCTGAAGTTTCACGAGAAAAAACTATTGAAGAAGGTAAATTTCTTGGAATGGAAGAGAGAAGGAGGTCACCGAGAGAATGATGTTATGCGTCGCTACCATATTACCAACAGAGATGATTACAAGAAGTATCACTTCCTCCCCTTTTGTTGATTGCTTTTATACAAATTTCTTGTTTCATTAAATGTAAAGCTTTAGGGTTTTAATTTGGTTCCTGTGTTTGTTTTTGGTGTCTGCCCCTCAATTTGTAGGTATAACAAATTGTGCAAAATGACGCAGAAGTTGGTCAACATCTTGAAACAGATGGACCCTAGGGATCCTACTCGAATTGAGATGACTGATGCCCTCCTTGAAAAGCTGTGAGTTGTTTCTTTTGTTTTTCACCTTGCCTCTTTGGTAAAAAGAAGAAAGGATTTGAATCTTCCCTTTGAAAAACCCCATGCCAGTATAGATGTTTTAGTGCTAATTGTATTTGAAACTAAGTGCTAAAATTGTGATCTAGATGTGATTGAGCTCATTTCTTCATTGCAAATCCTTTATATTTTATTTTTTGGGAATAAAAGATTTCTGCCGTAAATTACCTAAAGTCTATATAATGGGAGATGTTAGAATTTTTAAAGTTAGAGGTGAATGTCATTTGTGCTTTGCTTTTTATTTGCTCTGCTTGGTTTCGTTTGACCCTTCAACTTTTTGGATGCGGCATTATATTGATTATCTTTTAGGTTGCTGAAAAGGAAAATAGAAGCTTAGACTTTAAGATGTTCCACCAACAATTTTGGTCGTCATCCTACTGGTTTTACTGTATTATTTTTTATTCGATATTTTGTTGCAATGAGCTAAGGAATGATAACGCAGGTACAACATGGGTGTAATTCCATCCAGAAAGAGTTTGGCTTTATGTGACAAGCTATCTGTTTCATCCTTTTGCCGGTAAGTTTGGTTTACTTTTATCATTTACTTCTTATATCCAGATCTATACAGTTTTGCTTAGACGCCATGATTTCTTGTGTAACAGATATTTGTTAGTTAGCCAAACATATGAAAAGTGTTTCGTTTTCCTGGCAAAAGTTAATGATAGCTGATATGAAATGGTTATGGTTGATAGAATAGAAAGAAAACAAATAAGAGAGTCCAGATGAAAGCATTTCTTAATTTTTCGTTCCCTGAGTTTCAAAATTGATGATGAGAATCTATACGACTGCTCTTTTTTTCATTTTCAAAATTGATGATGAGAATCTATATGACTGCTCTTTTTTTCATTATCTAAATAATGGAAACCAGATGTTTGGTCGTACGCAATGAAGCTCAAACTTAAAATGCAACTGCCATCTTTCATGGATTTTACGTGGTGTCTAGTTTTGGGTTTATTTTACTTTCTGACCTTGACAGTTTTGAACATTTTAGATTTTGATTTGTGCGTTATCCTGTGATCAAACTCAAACTTGAGATTAGTCTTGAATGAAAATGGTGTCTGGGTAGTTAAAAGATAGCTCTCAATTTCATCTTGACGTATATGACTATTTGATGCATTGGTGTGTATAATCAGGCGGAGGCTTTCAACTATCCTGGTTGTTTTGAAGTTTGCCGAACACCTGAAGGAAGCTGTAACTTATATAGAACAGGGGCATATTCGTGTCGGACCTGACACAGTTACAGACCCTGCATTTTTGGTCACAAGAAATATGGAAGACTTTGTTACTTGGGTAGACACATCGAAGGTCAGAAGAAAGGTATTGGAATACAATGACAAGTTGGATGACTATGATGAAATGAATTAGAAGCAGTTGCGAAGTACTCATAAAACCTGAGAACTGAGGTTTATGCGGTTTTGTTAGTCCACAGCAGATAGCAATAGGCTTTATTTGGACATGTAATGACAAGTTGGATTTCAACAAGTGTGGCTGAATATTTGTAAAAGGGTATGCAGAGGAACTTTATTTTATTTTATTTTTTCCTCAAATGAGGACGCTACCGTCCTTATAATATTAATATATTTTGTCATATTCGCTCTTCCTAATTTTTCTCTCATTCAGTACGACATAATTAAAAATTCTCTCAAGTTTTCTTTCGGAAAATTATAGCTGTATCTTGACACAAAATTCTTCAAAAGACTTTGGCTGAGTTCTCAGGAAAACAAAATTACCATCGGAAAATGCATTGTAACGCGTAGTAGGTAGACAATTGTAATTGATTAATTGCTGGTTGATTTTATTGTTGCCATGAGAATTCAAAGATCTATGGTTTACCGTTATGCAGAAGGTCTACAATGTACATAAGGAGATTTCTGAATTGGAGCAATTCTTATAGATTCAATAAGTTAGTTGGAGCAGGAGCCATATATCTATACACTATCATCTTGATTTTCTGATTTTATCGATGGTGGCGGAACTTGAAAATTTAGTTTCAGAGAACAAAAAAATAATAATGAGGAAATTTTCAAGACTTGGAAAATGGCTTATAAAATAATAAATAAAGTTAATCCTGTATTTCTGCGTGGAAGCAAAAGAAAAAGTTAGCTTGTAAAAAAAAAATGACTAAGCGTAAAAGAAAAAAATAGTGTATATCACAAAACTCAGGAATGAAAAATAAAAAAATGGAAAAGAAGAAAAAGATGCAAAAAGGGAATGGGGTAAAACGGAAACTTCATTAACAGCGTTACGATTAGCAAATGGTGTCTATGCACAAATTATATCAAGCACCTAGGGAGTTTTGGGACGAACGCGTGTAACCTACGATTAAAAAATCGCGTTAATTTATTTAAGTTTTATACACGTTGTTTTGTTTTTCACCTCTTTTCTCTCTCTTTTTCCTTTTTCCAGAAATACAATCCTTCTCCTGAATCCTCCGCTTGTTGAAGTTCAAATTTCCGTCGAATCTCCTTCAAAATTCACAAAAACTCCCTTTGGCGAATATCCGCTAGATTGGATCCTCTGTTTGGCAAATTCCGGAGTCCAGATCTACACTTTAATCGTTTCTGAGCAAATTCGACAAAAAAAAAAAAAGATCCGATGAAAATTCTCTCACACTCTAATTGTAATTCAATTTCCATGGCTACATATGACATGAGAAGGTATTGTTTTACTCTTTAGTTTCTTTTCTTCATCGTTCTTTTTTGTTTAAATTGGGTGATTGCACTAAAAATTATAACGAAGGTACTTGATTCATTTTTTTTTCATTTTCACTTCTAAATCATACTTCTTAGCTTCATATTTCTGGTGATTTTGATGATGCTTTATTTGTAAATCAACCTGCACAATAGCTTTGTTATTTTGTTACTATATCAATATGTTGTTTTTCTTTTCCTGACTAACAAAAAATGCAGGCAAACATGCACATCATAATGTTACAGGATGAGCACTGTCTAGCATAAAATGAACATCGTAGTTTCTGAAATGAACTTGGCATTTTTCAGTGAACTGCAAACATAAGATGCACCTTGAAAGTTTCTCAGGATGAGCATTAACTGCATGAAAATGAACGATAGTTGCTGGAGATGAGCAATATTATAGTTATACATGATTATTTTCACATAAAAGGATATTTGAATGTAGATGAACATTCTAGTTTTACAGGATGCATATTGTAACTTGTTCAGTGAACAACAGAAAAGATTTAATGAATTTTATATTTTATACCAAATCGTGCAAAATTTTTGATGTGTTTTTTTAATTAAATTCGAGATATTTTACGATTTTGCTTTCTATCTGTTGACTTATGAATTATAAATTTTAAAACCCATTAGGCTAACTTAAAAAAAAAAAATCCTCTAACCAACAAAAGCTGAAAGCCAACATGCACATCATAGTGTTACAGGATGAGCACTGTCTAGCGCAAAATGAATATCGTAGTTTCTGAAATGAACTTGGCATTTTTCACCTCTAACCAATTAGGCTAGGGAGCTTTAAGCATTTCCGACTCGGTTAGGGCCTAACTATTTAGGGTTTAGAATTTAGGAGGGTTTAAGCATTTCCGACTCGGTTAGGACCTAGTTGTTTAGGGTTTAGGGTTTAGGGGCCAGGTTTAAGAATTTTCGAGTCGGTTAGGGTTTAGCTTGTGCCGTACCACGATTAATTTATAAATTTTTTTTAAACCAATTAGTCTTACGAGACCCTAGCCTAATTAGTTTTAAAAAATTTAAACCAAAAATTTTATAAAAAAAATAAAAAAATATTAGTGTGTTTAGGATTTAGGGTTTAGGGGGTTTAAGCATTTCCGACTCGGTTAGAACCTAGTTGTTTAGGGTTTAGGGTTTAGGGGGGTTTAAGCATTTCAATTATAGGTTAAGAACTAGTTTGCGCTGGGAAACGATTAACTTGTAAATTTTTTTAAACTGATTAGGCTAGGGTCTCGTAAGGATTAGTTTGTGTTGGGAAACGATTAACTTGTAAATTTTTTGGTCTCATAGACCCTAGCCTAATCGGTTTAAAAAAATTTCAACCAAATTCTAAAGAAAAAATTAATACAAAATTCATCTCCGACTCGGTTTAGGATTTAGGGAGGGTTTAAGCATTTTAAATTATGGGTTATGGACTAGTTTGAGCCAGCAAACAATTAATTTATTTGTTGAAGATGATTATTGTATTTAACAGGATGATTATTGTAGTTTAACCGGATGATCATACAACACATTTGACAAACAAGGACCATGACTCAAGATGAACATTGTAGTATAACAGGATGCACATTTAAGTTGGTGCAGTGAACAACAGAAAAGTTCAATGTATTTTCTCTTTCAAAGTGATCAAATACATTTCAGCAGGATTCACATTATAGCTACAAACTCCTGGGATGATAAGTAAAAAATTGAAGTCCACTAGCAGTGACTCTGCTATTTGCTTATTTGCTTCTTTTTGTCCCGCAAGATCATCACCGCCATCTTTCCTCTTCCCTTTTCTCTCTTTGGCGACAGATGTAAATGATTTGGCTTTCTTTTATGTACTATTTTTGTCTTCAGCATTCTCTTGTTGAGACGGTGAACTTTTGTGCTCTTCAATGGGTAGTGTAGAAGTGAGGCTCTTGTCTTTATTGCTTATTCTCACACTCTTATATCGCAGTCTCTGTTGCATGACAACATTCACAGTAATATAAGATGAATAACAACATTCCCATCTATAAAATGAACAACTGAGCCTCACAGGATGAACATAATGCAATAAATAATAACTCATAGTAAATGAGCAACGCAGGATGATTACCGCAGCCAAAAATAGCGGATGAACATCTACAGTTTCATAATGAACATTTAGCGATAGGCAATGAACATCAGTCCAGAAATGAACATCAAACAAAATCAACATCAGCATACAGGATGAGCATCAAAGCATGTAGGAGGAACAACCTAACATTTCTCTGTCAAGATGAGTATTGAAGTATACATGATGAGTATAAAAGCATACAAGATGAGCAACCACATAAACAGTACAACAACCTTTAAATAAACAACTGAATCTCAGAGGATGAACATCATTCAATGAGCAATAATCCATAGCAATGAACAATAACATCATGCGATGAACAATAACTGAGCCTCACAGGATGAACATCATGCGATGAACAATAACTCATAGCAAATGAGCATCACAGGATGACTACCGTAGCCAAAAATAGCGAATAAACATCAACAGTTTCACAATGAACATTTAGTGATAGGCAGTGAACATCAATCCAGAAATGAACATCAAACAAAATCAACATCAGCATATAGGATGAGCATAAAAGCATGCAGAATGAACAACCTAATATTCTTTGTCAAGGTGAGTATCGAATCATACAGGATGAGCATCAAAACATACTAGATGAGCATTAAAGCATATAGGATGAACAACCTAACAATTCTCTGTCAAGATGAGCATCGAATCATACAGGATGAGCATCAAAGCATACAGGATGAAATGAACATCTGAATCTCAGAAGAATTTACTCAGAATAAACAATACTTGACATCTACGCTTGAGCCTGATGATGACGTTGGGCTAGGATCTGTTGTAGTCTCTGGTCTAGCAATTTTAGCTGGTCTGATTCTCATCCTTCGGTGGTGAGTATCTAGATCTAGATTAAAAATGAATATCAAGGAACTTCAAAATCCTAATTCTTAAAAAAAAAAAAAAAATCCAAATCTGAATAAAGTAATGTTCATTTTGAAAAAAGAGGATACTTACTTTGATATCGTGTGCTTGATTTTGTGTTTTGCACCGTCACAAGATTCACTAAACGGAGTTTTTGAAAATTCCGATACAAAATTCACCAAACTAAGGTGTGAAGTACGCTTTTAAATGACCAGAGAGATGTTTCTAGTAGATTTAGCGGACGAAATTTCGAGAATTGGGGAGGAAATTCGCCAGAGGAAGTTACGCTCGAGATCTGGAGTGAAAAGTCGCCGGAAGATTTTAGGAGAAATCGACAGTTCGTTTTCTATTTTTCTGAATTTTTTTTATTTTTTAAAAAATTGTGACTATTTATATTTTTTCAATTGAAGCAGTGGCATTTTTGTAATTATCGAAAAATTGGGTTCAAACAGAATGTTTGTGGCGCGTGTGGTGTAAATTAGGAACTCCGGGTGTCCCATATATTAACTGGGCATCCATGTTACAAACATCAAATCCATGTTACAAACATCAGGCAAATCACAAAGGACGTTTATTGGATAATAATTGTGGCAACACAGCGGGTCGGGTTATCAAGGAGTTTTGGAAACCAGAAGGGTTTTCCATGAATTAACCCTTATATTTTTGTTTTCATGAGTTCATGCTCCTACAAAACGACTTAGAAATTTTGAGAAACAAAGAAAGGAATTATTTTGATCTGTTTTGATGGATATACACAAACGTGAAAGTGATTAGTTGTCTTGTGATACCAATTTAAAAGAACTCAACATGTATTCTCATTCACAATAATTCAAAGTTCCAAAATTGAACAAAGATTTGCTGCATCTATTCACAAAGAAAAAAGGGCGTAGAAAAAATGAAAAGGACAAATCGACAGCCACAGCCTAGCTAACAGTAGAACTCTATTATTACACAACAGTCCTTGATCAGGTCCTCCCGGAACTTATTGCAGCATTTACAAAGTCTTCACATCGCGTAAAACCACCCGAAAGCACATCAGACAACATGCCACTTATATCGAATGCTTCCTGCAAATCCGTGGCCGAAGTTACTTCGTCAAGCCATGACAACAACTCCTTGGAAAAACCAAGCATCTCCTTTACATTCAACAGCCTCTCTTTCATGACCACCTCCCATAATTCTAACTTCCTATTCTCATCTTCCACTTCCAACGCCTTGGGCAACACTTGAGCCTGAGAAGACTTCTTAACCTTGAAGAAATGCTGCAATTGCTCAATCAAACCAGTGTATACAAGCATTGGTTGAATGAGTTGCAATAACTCATCATGTCCACCTGTGTGCGCCCCACTTGTCCCAGCCACATCAGATCTTGATGGACTACTTGTTGCACTGGGCGATCGGTTGCTTGGCCTCCCATGAGTCTGCTGCATATAAGCATGGTATATCCCGCGCTGCAAGAAGGCGCGGCGATGTTGCAACCATGACTCATAAGATTCTGCCAAAAGAGAACTCACCATCATGAACTGCACAGTTTCCTCTGTAGCAGTGGAGGATGGAGTCCCAGGACTTGATGCTCTTGGTTCTAGAATGGATGATGCCAAGTAGGTTGCGACAGATCTCTCCATTGCCTGACGCTGAGAAGTGTCGTGGTCAACAAGATGGCGAGCCATCTGAATCATGAAAGGTAAGAAGCGGGAGTTACTTTCTTTTCCCCCACCTCTACTATCAGCACTAAATGAAGCACCAGTCGCAAATCGTGCAAGCATCTGCCCACAAAAATAAATAAATACGTAAATACATCATGAAACAATTAATAATCTTGCATAACACTCTTTATATCATAGATATGGCATGTCTACAACATGTTATCTAACTTATTCCCTTCCACGGGCAAATACCAAAGTTCAAAATTTAGAGGCTTGAATGGAAGAGAGAAAAGATTAAAAAAAGTCAACAGAAACAAAACACAAGGATAATGACTAACCAAAACGATGTCATAAGTCAGCAGACGAAGACGGCTTCCATCAGCACGCCCAAGAGCATTAAGGTAATCCCAATACTGGTCAATGTATCGTAGATATTGAGATAATGGAACCGATGGACCTCTCACAGGGAACAGATTATTGCAGAGTGTCTCATTATTTCTGAGAGCAGCACCATCCCATTCCTTTTTCGGATTTTTGAGTGCAGCATCTGCCCTTTTAGCTTCCTGATGGCACTGGAAGTGTATGATGTTGAAATGACTGACAGTTGTATACACAGTGTCACCACGAGCATTCCCTGATGCTCCAATACCAAGATTTACCCGTTTACTGTAAGTATAAACCCCCAGTAAGTCAGTGGGTCTCAATCGATAACCCTCTCGACAAACCATGCAAGCCAGTCCTTCTTCTTCTTCTTCCACGTCTTCCAAACCTTCAAGAACGGGCTGAGCAACCACGATACGCTCCCCACCATCTAAAGAGGATTCTTGCCGCATCCCCAGACCCTGAGTTCATGAAAAGTTTCTAGTTAGAAGTTTGATTATGGAGTGTCAAACATCACAATGTGCTTGAGAAAGGAGTGAGCTCCCCAATGATGAAAAGCTAATCTACTACTGCAAAAATACGAGCATCCTAAAAAAATTTCCACAATTAAATTGAAATAAATAAAGAATTCGACTGTTCTTTTCAAAAAAAAAAAGAATTTGACGGTTATCTCATGCGCTAAACCAAGTACTGACAAAAAGGGGTTGACAGAGCAATTCTCATATGACAATCTTTGTTTCGTTCACGCAACCACTGAAACTTGCAAACCTAACTAAGATAAGGAGCACTTTTCCGGGGGAACAAAACCGAAGAACTATAACAGGAAAGAAATTGGAAAATTACCTTGAGCAATTCTTCTCTCTTCCTTAAAGCTCGACGCCTCATCTCATCCCTTGTGGCATGCCTGAGTTGGTGAACCTTCTCAGTAAGAAATCCATCACCTGTACCCTCTTTGTCAGAGAGCATGTCCAACAAGTTCTCAGCCCTGGCACCGATCTCATTTTCACCGGGTACACCTTCCAAAGTATGGAGCAAAGGTAAAATCCCACCATTGTCTATGCATGTTTGAGTAGCTAGATGCCCAAGTGACAATCCCCTTAACATGGATAAAATAAGAGGAACTGAGGGTAATTTAAGACCCAGTTGCCATTCTGCACTAGATTTGAAGCCAGCCTGTCCGGTACATGCAAAGGTATCCTTCAAATGTTTGACAGCAGCTCCTGTTATCCCTTTTTCTAATATAATGTCCTTTAATCTTTCTCCACAGGAACTTGTCTTCAAAGACTCCGAAACTCTCACAAAATTCTCAAGAGCAAATTTTTGTTTATTTGCTTGTTGAGCCATGTTTTCATCCTTTGGGTTGTCTTCACACTGTTTTTGCAGCCTATCAAATTCAATCCAGTTTCTTAAGTAGGGCTCAAAATGTTCAATCAGTGCTTCCATTGCTGTGGGCTCACCATAGGTCAGATATGGCAAAATTCTTGCAACCATTTCTGTATTCCGCTGTTGTTTGCCCGATTTCTTAGCACCTACCGGATGAGATAACCTTTCCAGGAACATCAAGACTATTTTCTTAGCTTGCTCACTCGTACCAATTTCTTCGCTACAAACAGTAGCAACACCAGGTGCTATACTAATACTGTCACTCTCATTGGCCTCCAAAGTCAGGCTCTCCACAATTAATAAAATTCCCTCAGCAGGCTCCATCGCATCCACTGAGAAAGCACGTCTAGCTGTTTCAAGGAGCAAACTCAAAGCTCCCAATCTCAGTAAAGCTCGTCTGTTTTCTCTAGTCTTGCAACATAGCATAAGCAGATTAAGCACCGCAACCAGCTGCTCTTGGTTGGACTTTAAATCATCCCGTAACCGCTACAATACCACAATCAACATTTTCATTAAAATTGCACAAAGAAATAAAGAAAGAAATCCCTTTATCAAATCCAACAAGAGTTGAAAGAATAAAATACTTTAGATAACTCAATGGAACAATAGACCATCCACACACCTGAACCATCGCCAGGAGAACTTCCAGACCGCCACATTCACGGACAGCACCAGCTATTGCAAACTCGACCTCAGGATCTTGAGATTCTTCTCTGTCCTCATCCAACTCCTTGATCATAGGCTCTGTAGCTTCTCCATCCAGTCCCTGCAAATTTAGAGGGTATTGCACATATGAGACAGCCAAATAAATGACAAAAGAAGCTAATGACAGCCAAACAAGATTGGAAAGGAGAATGCAGCAGGGGCGAATCCCAAACAAACGATGAACCAAGTTGAGAAACTTTCAAGAAAACAAGAAAAAACAGATCTTTTGACATTAAGGAAATTCAACAAAAGGAGACCAAAACTACAGCATTGTAGTCAGGAAGCAGGTGCAGCAGAGAAATGTTTTTGACATGAATAAGAATTGATACAATGTTGATTTAAATAGATCAAGTCACATGTAATAGTGGACCTCCAGGAAGGCAGAACAGGATATCAGTTTTGTGATTATTGCTAGTTTACCATTTACCAAAAACAAAAAAGAGCTTTCCAGGATACCCTAGTCTACCTAGTACACCAAGTGAAGGACGCAAGTTAGGAAATTTGAATCACACAACATGGAGGACCAAAAGCCAACCTGAAGTCGATAAGTCACTGTCATTGGTGGGTAATCCCTGCTTGATACACCATTACCAGATTGAAGCAATGTTGTTCCGGCTAATGCATTGGAAGACTGATTGTTGGATTTCTTCCAGACTTGCTCATAGACTTGGGAAATACTCAAATCAAGAGAGATGATATTGCCTGCTACAAGGAGTTCCATGCCGTAGTCATCTTCAAGTAGACCCAAAAGATCCAATTGGTGGCAAATTTTGTTTTTAACATCACGCATCAGAGGACCAATCTCAGCACTGGAATAAGGATTTTTTGTCATTGATCCCCTGATAAATTCTTCCTGAGTATGCGCCTTGTTCAATATAAGAAGACAAACAGCCTCCGGTTTTGAAGGAGAAATGAGATTGCAGAGCTGCTCCAAGATGAACTACATAAAGATGGCAGATTATTATATGTGATATCGGAACATAAAAGATAGCAGGTTCTTAATATGTGATATGACAACATCAAAAACAGCATTCTTAACATGTGATATGAAAACTTTGTGTGGGAGTGTGTGCGGGTGGGGATGGTTAGTGGATATCTGGAATGAGATTTACAAATGTAACTATGATCTGTATTGCTCAATAAAAAGCAGTTAAGCAACACTTAATGTTGTTAGTAAGCACTAAACTAAAGGCAACTAGCTGAAAACAACAAACAATAAAAGTTAAAAATGTACTTCACAAACAAGGATAACATTACATACCATAGAATTACGTCCTTTTCTCTCCTCCCCATGAATTTGTAGACCGTGCATGCATGCCTGGATAAAGTGACGTTTATTTTCCTCACTCTCGAGCAGAAGACTATCCAAAAGATCTTTGAGAAGACGATTACAATCACAAATGAGCTTTGTTTTTTGTACAATCAATCCCCTAATCACAATAAGTGCCTCAAGAAGTTTCGCCAGAAACTGTTCCCTCATAAACCTGAAACATAATGTTCAATGAAACTGCAGTTAAATAATTGAAGTGAAATGCAGTCTAAGGTACCACAGTAGCTGATGCACTTACCGGGATCTAATGTTCCGGACTTCCAAAAATTTTCCAAGTAGCTCAATAAGCTTGTGAAGAATGAATCCTTGAGAGATGTCGATATGCAGACTCCTCTCAAAAGATTCAATGTTATTAACTTCTTGTGTAATCAGCTCGCATATTGTAGCCAGGCCCCCACGTACAGTTACAAAGAGTCGTGCATCTTCTGATTCTATCATCTTAAAAAGCAATTCAAAATACTCAGCAGCATTTTCACCAGCAGCCAAAGTCGCTGGTAACAAAGACATAAGTAAATTTAACAACCGATACCGTCGGGATGAACTTTGTCCCCAAAGCAAACTGAGTAGCATGCACATCTCTGATCTTAGAGACTGCGAACAAGCACTTAGTATAAGTTCTGTGACCCAAGATCCCAATTCAAATGAAGCTATGCCGCTCTGAGACTTGCAAGCACGCCGTCGCCACTTGAGCACATATTTCAGAGCCAGGTAATCATATCTGTTAGATCGAGCTCTAGGACCACTTTTGACCACCTGTGACACTTTATACTGCCTCCTGACAAAATCAAGATATGATGCCCCTTTTTCCCACTCTGAATAGCTTAACAATTGAATATCTTGCGTCTTTTGTGACCCGTCCCAGCTCTTTTCCGATGACTCGGTGACAACTTTGTTTCCACTACTTTGTGCAACAGATGCGGTTACATTTGATCGTTTCTCATCTTTCAATTGTGAAACTGTAGCAGATTTTCCATTTGGTGGTTCTTTCTCTCCTGCATCAGGTTTCGGAGGAGTACATGCTATGGATATGATCCTCAGGCAAGGGAGAATAACATGCTCGGATATAGCTGGATGCTTGCCACCCAATTTGATGGAAGAAAACAACAACTGGAATGCAACCCTTAATCTCCCCTCCCAAAATTCATCAACCAAAGAACAGACATCCGAGAGTAATAACAACTCTTCACGGGTTGCCAATGCAATGTCCATTGACCGGTGATGCTCAAGGCAATACATGACCTTCCTTTGAATTAAACCATTCAACTCAGCCACTGCATTCACATCGCCCTCAGAGAAAGCACAGAGTGCAGCCCTGGCCTGGACCCGAGCAGTTTTTGGGCCTTGGTGGATGTTATTTTCAAACAATTCAGACAAGATTCCTGCTGTGACAAGCTGTTTTTTCGAAGTCGGATGTTTTGAAAGCACCAGCAACATCTCAAGGCATTGTGAGACAAACGTAGTTGCACAACCATAGCAACTGTTAGCTGACCTTGATACAACGAACCTAGAGGAAGCCACGGCACTATCAGAGTGCTTTAGATGCAAATAATTCATTAGAACCCGTCTAAGACCTTGAAGTGTTTGAACACTTTTGCTGACAGAATCAAAAGCTGCTTTACACTTCTCACCGTACAAGACACCGAGAAGAGCAATTTTACGGTTTATCTTACATGACGGTCCAGGCAAGGAAACCATCATCTGTTGAACAGAGTCTTTCTGCTGAGAGTCCATTTCATTCTCACCAATACTAGATACTATCTTCAGCAAAGGTTTTTTGAATCCTAAAAGCTGTTGGTACCTCCGGTGAGCATTTTCTGATTCAGATTCTATTGCTGCCAATCCACGCTTCATATCCTCATCATTTTCCATATTATCAAAGGTGAAACTTGGCTTTGCCATGAAATTGAACTCAAAACGACCATATTTGCTATAACCACATTCATTACACAGGAATGAATCAAGATTCTCATAATTGATGTTTCGGCATTGCCGACACTGGTAAGCATTCTCATGGCAGTTGCTGCAGATACCATGCTTGTCAGTAACAGGCCGACTACAACGTGGGCACTGCAGTGGCTCAAGTGATAAAGCTTGAAGATTTTCATAGAAGAACTCTAACTCAATCATGAAATTGCAAGCAGTGATCGGGATAGGGAAATCAACTTTGAGCTCTGTCTGATTAAAGGCAAGATGACAAGTTTTTGCACGCTTCCACAATGACCAATTATTTTTCAACTCTGATAGGTCAGCCACAGGTCTATTGTTGTAGTAAAGGTTCAGGACTTTTACTGATTTCGATTTGCGAGCATCATGAACATTCATGGTCACACTCTGAATAGTATAGCTTCCAGTACATTTCACAATAATGCGATTGTCTGTGAACTTTGTTTCTGATTTCAAACTTTCAAGCTTCATCCTGCTATAGGGAACCTCCGGAGAGCTGCACGCAACACAAGGCTCACTTTCAAGATAATAACCATCAAACTCCACCAAACTACTTAGCGTATTATATATACGGGAGTTGGGATGGTTAGCCAACAAATCATTCTGGGACCTAAGAGTCTCAAACATGCACCTAACCACGTCAGGGGTCAAGCATTTGTCTATGATCTCATTTGTCTGTTGCTTTGCAGTATTTTCAGAACTCCTCCCTAGCAATGAGGTAACAAGTTGTGTGTATTCAGTAATATTCTGGCCATACATTGGAAGAGATTTAACTTTCTGCAAAAGAACCGTTAACATAGTTTCCTTGAACGGCTGGTTACCATGATGCCAGATACCATTTAGAACACCCTTAGCTTCAACACGAACGGAACTTGAATTCCACTCGAGGAGAAACAAGTCAACGAATTGCTTCAAAGCATCACCATCATTTTCAGTAAAGATACCTACTACTGATTCCATGTCCAAATAGGACTTTTCCAGGCCAGATTCAGCTCCATCTTCACCTTTCTTCTTTTTTTTTGATTCCAAAGGCTGCGAACCAGACCTGTTTGAGCTTACTCCTGCTTCTCCGCCTTCAGATTTTTGCAAAGATTGGTGCGCATCTTTTCCAGTATAAAAAGCCAAACACAATAGTTTCAAAGACTGGACAACACACTCTTCCCCAAAATAGAAAACTCCTTTCATAAGGAACGTTAAAACATCCGTATGCCGCATACAATACTTCTGCCAATTTCTCGGACGTGCTGCAGCAACTTCAGCCAAGGTTGAGAGACACTTGACAATCTTGACACTTCTCTCGTAAGAGATAGTACTTTGAAAGCCACCAGATTTGTTAACATGTTTGTATAGCTTCTTTACTTCACTTGAAAATTGCCACGTGTCTCGAACACTGTAGTAATGAGTTTTACTGCCACAGAGATGCAGAAAAAGCCTTCTCGCATATCTTCTCACAAAAGTGGTTTGCGGGTTGTTGATGTAGCTACACAAGATATCTTGATACCCATCAAGCTTCAAATCTTTATTAGAAGTCTTGGAAAACTTATCTTTCTCCCCACCCTTATCATGCTTTTCTGGCCGAATAAGACTGTAAACAAGCCGGAAAGTATTCTCCAACAACAGCCTTGGGTAGTCAGCAAATATATCAGTTCGGTGAGACTTAGCATATGCATCTGAAAAGAATGGTGCAAAATTACCAGCTGGTAGATCTCTTCTGATGGTTAACAGAGAACCGCATCCAGAACCAGGATTGGAGCCAGTTGAACTGTCAGTATTTACATGCGAGGACTTAAAGACGTGGACGAGCTGCTGTAATATGTCCATTAAATAAGTTACAAAGGTCTGCTGCCTAAGTAGTCCACATGCTCGAACGAGATGTGAAACAGAGTCAGATTTCTCTTGGCTATGAACAGCAGCGGAAGGCAAACTTTGGACAAGATTTTTCTCATTTGAATCAACTGTACTACCTTGTTTCTGTACAGAAGCATCGCCGCCAGGTTGATTCCAATTTCGAAGCATCAGAGTGAAGAACATAAAGACAAGAATTACAACTTCACCAAATGGAGAACGATTTCTAGCAGCAAAAGTCTTGTTCAGATTAATCTCATCCAAAAACCACCTTACTAACTTCTCCAAATCCAAGCTTTCTGACTCCAAGCCATTATCAAATGGTCCACCAGTAGCTGATGACAACCTGAAAAGAAGTTGCAGGACTGGGATAGCGCGAACTCCTGAAGTAGTCTGCATCCATCCTTTGAGTTGATCCAGCAGCTCAGATAGAACTAAAGAATTCACGATTCTTTTGGAAGCAGAAATAGTAACAGGATCAAACACTGAACCGGAAAACTCTGCAGGCTCCCCCTGTTCTAAATCATGGATAGAGGAAGCAGTATTCTGTATGCTGACATTCGGTTGGATTGTCAACAAATTTGGATCCCCCAGATCATCTGCACTGAAGTGGATTTCATTGCCCTCAACACCCAATGATTCCACTTCAATGGGAATTGCTGTCATAGGATGATCTCTCGAATGAGGTGGAGGAAGGCGATCTGCATCTAATACTTCATAGCATGCCTCACACAAATCAAAGTCAGGGCAAATAGTACAATGCCACCTTCGCCTTAGAATTGGAACAGTAGAGCAGCCATCACAACAGTATTGAACAGAAGACGTAATATTGTCGTCTTCAACCATAATATGAGTGTTTCCAGTAGTTGCACTTGTAATATCAGCCTGCACAGGAGCAGGTGCTGCATTTTCTGAAACATCTTCAGCAACTAACATGGTTTGCTTTGGAAAAGGAACCTGGAGCAATCTCGAAGATATCGCAAGGCTGTAAAGACAAACAATCAAGGACAAATAAGCATATGGTACTAAAACAACCAATCAAATTTGGGGGGTGGGGAGAAAAAACTACCTGCTGGAAGTTTGAACAGCCTGATTTGCGGAGAACAGGAGTTCCCTGAACAATGAAACAGCAGGACCTACAGAGTGCCTGTCGGTCTCATTCGCATTCAATGCCAAACACTCAGCATAACTATATATTAGTTCCACAGAAGACACAACTATATTATTCATTGTCTGTGTGTCAGGATGCTCTAGGTCCAAAATGCCCCATAGCACTTGCATGAGGCCATCAATTACTTCAGAACCTACACAAGGAAACCATTTTAGAGTTGGAAAAAATTTAAAAAACAGTCGATAGACAAAAAAAAGTACAAGATGATACCAGTAGCTGCCAACTGATGCATGATCTTATATATAGTTCATATACCTAACGGGCTTGTCAGAGTAATTGTTGCAAGTTAAAAATGAACACAAAAGTACAGCGAACATCTAATCAGCAAGGAAGGGATAGATAAGGATATGAACAGCACCACCAAAAGCATTGGCAGAAATTCTCGAACTCTCAGAAATTTTAGTAATGCAAAAATCAGAGAATGAGGTTATCAGAGCCAAGGGAATCAGTGAAGCCACAACAAAATTTCATTTTTTCTGAGTCGAATTGCAGCAACCATGAATCTTGACGAGAAACAAACTCTACCAATGACGAGGATCTGTAATACTTCCACTACTATGTACTAAAACAGAGATCAGACTTGGATGACAATCTCCTAAACAGGCCACACGTTTGATCAAAAGAAAACTACTCCTACATCAAGAGAGGCATAATCACTATTTTTTGTACAAGCTATGATAATACTATCCTGTAGTCCAGGATAGAACAAGAATATAAACACATAATGCAAAAAGCGACTGCAGATTAAAGAATGAGCATTTCAATCAACTAACTGAATTCTAACAAATCATAAGTCATCAAAAATGGGCACAAGCTCTTCTACAACAGGAAACTATGCTTCTTATGCATGTCCACAACACCACGTAAACAAAAGGTGAAGCAAAAAAACAATTACTCAGGGTTCTAAAAAAGGGTTCAGATTCCAGGTAGGCTGCGTAGGCATTTTCCGTAGATGCACTTTCGGTCTTGATCAGGATGGTAATGCAAAATACACAAGGAAGGGATGACATCAGGTGCACAAAAGAAGCAAAGGCTACAATACAAATTAACATGTAGAAGTGCGCAAGATAAGAATAAATTGCATAGTATAATCACAGAATAAAGAAAATCCCAGTAATACCACTACAATATTACCATTTGTCTCGAGGAAAGCAGCTAAATTAGAGCGCCGATGCAACGCAATCCTAGAAACTGCACGCATTTGTGCTGTGAACTCCTCAATAATCCAACCCGGAGCATTCCCACCTGTCCCCAGTTTGGAAGAAAGGTTGGAAGTTGATTTCACCACTCCAGAGAGCCGCAGGGCATCCTTAACCTGTAAAAGACTCTCATAAGATGGGGAGACATTTTGCTTAGCAAGAAATCGGACAAAGATGTAAAGGTCTTGTAATTACTTGGTGATAAATCTCCCTTTTGGGGCATAAAGCCTGCAAGACACGACAGGCAGATGTCAGCAATAAAGGTTCTCTGTCACTCTCAAATATGGTTTCCAGTAATTTATGACACTTGAGTTTGTTCACTTCTTCAACTTTTGAGCATTCTTCTGACTTGCAGGAATAGATCCTTGATAGGAGCTTAAGGCCTTCAGCCATTACCTGCTCCTGGAGAGGAGCAGTTTGAGTAGCACGAGACTTCCTCCCTGATGCTGAACCCCATGAATTAGAGCCAAGTGTGCGTGCCTCCATGTTTAAAATTGCATCCATTTTTTCCTTCCAGCCAAATTCATCCTTAGCCCGACCATAAACTTCCAAAGAATCTATCCGTGGCAACGCAGATCCACCGAAGGGTGGGCCAACAGATATAGAAAACTCTTCATCAGCAAGAAGAGATTCAGCTACCGTGAATGGAATATCATACCAAGACCTCATTCCCTCATCCAATTTTATCACTCGCTGGAATACATTAATTTCAGAAGGAATATGATTTGCTGATGTATTACCAACATGCACACGGCAGCCAACCATGACAATATCAGGGTTAGGATTAGAAACAGTGATCTGCAAAGTCAAAGGCATATTGCTGTTAAGAAAACAAAACACTAATAACTTAAAAATACAAAACTAGGTATCAAAAGTACATATGGCAGAACTACCTTAAAACCAGAAGGGCTAGAGCCCTCCAAATATCCATCTTCAGATGCCAATGTTTGTTTAGCTCCTTCAGAGTCACCATTTCTGATAGCATCACCGCTCAGTTTCACATCTGGTGTAATCAAAACTGTTTTCTCAAAAAAATCAAGAGGAAATTCAGGTTTAACACCTCCATAAGTTTTATTGCTAAGAATTCCAGAACCCAACTTCTTCACAATCTCAGAGACACCAGCCACACTATTGTCAACCCCCAAAGGAACATGTAGGTATATCTGAAGGCTTCCATCATCGTGCAAAGTAAGACAGTGGATCTTGTCTTTGGAGAGGGGTTTGTAAGCAGTAATCCCAACCAATGGAGAATTTGAACCAACTGAATGCCGCATATTTTGGCAGAGTAATTCGCACTCACGAATAGAGACAACAAATGAAGCATTTGCTTTCAAACTTGAAAAGCAAAAGAACAAACCAATTCCATCTAGCAACTCTTTCCAGTGATGCAATCCAGCTGGTCGGAGCTTCCCATCTGGTTCATTGTCAACTAAGGCACACACTTCAGCCATGGATGTTGCATTGGAATTCAGCCGACCAATCAAGGTAGTCCCATCTTGATAAGACACAAAAAGAAGCTTGTGGGACGTTGAGAAGTGCAAGGACAGGCCCTTGGAATGGTCTTTGCCTTTAGTTTTTATAGTTTCCTTCAATGCTTTGACACCAACATTTCCTTTCATGGATAACTCTAACCTGTACAAGTTACCACTCTCTGCAAGGACTATTAGGAATACCCTTCCCTGGGTAGCCATAATAACCGTTGCATCCACAATCATGTCATCAGGCAATGTGAAGTAATGCATAGGGCTAATGTTATCCTGAGATAAGTCATATATTTTCACAAATTTGTTGGTGATGACCATTAGATGGACCTGTGAGCCTGGTATCCAGTCTAAGCGCCTGATATATGCACCTTGCAGAGCAAGTTCAACAGCTAAACGGTCTGTCACCTCACCTCGGTGATTTACCGTGAGCACCTGGCAATCTTCAAAGCCAGCAACAGCAAGATAATTATCAACTGCGGGATTGAAAATGATATGTACAATCTCAAAACGGACAATATTTTTTGAAAGAGGCTTCACATTAGCCTTGTCAGCAGTCACAGGTGCAGTGGTGGCTTGTCCAATCAGCTGCCCAACATCAAAAATGGCAACTTTATCACCTTCTCCAACAGCAAGTCGACCTCGACTACTAACACTAAGTAAGGATTTCACAAGAGAACCACTAGCTAAGTGGGTTTTAAGTTCCTTTGAATTAGAGTAATCTGCCTTTATCTTCAAGTCTAATGACCCACTTTTGTAAGCCTTCTTCAATTGCAAAAGCTCCGCTCCATGGGAAAGCACTTTATCTGCCCCTAAGTCGATCTTCTGTTCCCTCGAAAGGTTCGAGTCCCTTCTGGCTGTTATTGATGGCAGCACAGCAGAACAAAGTTGTAAGACACGATCTTCAAGATCAGTTTCCCCAATGAAATTTGGCATTCCATCTTGAAATTCCTTTGGAAAAGATAGCTTTATAGAATGATCCTGTTCAACTAAAGCATCCTCCTCAACATCTGAATCGCTCTCAGGAAGCTGATCTGCACTTTCTGGGAAAGGTAGAAAAGATTCAAGGTTACCACCTGCATCTTGACTGGGTGAATCAGGACCTCTGGTGAATTTTCGGGGCTTCAAGCATTGACAACTGCTGCCACGCACACCCCCAGCCCCACAATCACAGAAGAAGCGACTAGAGCGAGAATAAACCACGCGGTGACCACGGTGACAAACCTTTGCACAGACAGAGCAGCAACCTTTAGAGACAGTCAGGTCACAAGTGTAACAGAAGTACCAATGTTGTTCCATGAAATTGCTACCACTGGATGTAAATGTGCAAACTTTAGATGCAAGGGCCTTTTCACTGTTACCATCCTCGTCATCATCTTTGTCTAAATTACTACCCACATCCCCATCAGATGTACCATCATCCTCGTCCTCGTCCACAGAAGTAGCATCACAGTCTATAGCTGGTGTAGCTCCTTGATTGGCAGAAATCATCAAAGCATCTGCGTTAACAGGTCTTGATGTTAGAGGCCCAACCCCAGAAGCACTTCTAGAACTAGTTCTTAGTGAAGATTTATCCACTGTATTCTTGATGTATCCACTCTCACTCAATACAGCAGACAGAAAGCCAAATATAAACTTTAATCCTGGAAGGCGGCCTTCATCACCACTAAGTTTCTCTATTAGAGAGACTGTTCTTTGCAAAAGTTGTCTGATCAACATATCTCCTCTGGAGAGCTGAAGCGAAAAGTTAAAATAAGACTTGGCTATGCCAACATCAAAATGCAGAAAAGCGCCATCAAGTGGAAGCAGCATAGCTTCAAAGATATGCCTGCGCAGTTCTTGGGAAATAGATTCTGCTGGAGGAGATAAAAGGCACATAATGAGATTCATTGTGGACTCCCTCAAAGAGACTGACGACTCTTTAGTGCAGAAAAGCCCACTGGACGACTCCAACACAGATCCGAGAAGCCTCTGTTCCAGCCACCTTGACAGGCTTGATAAGTCCATGGCAAGGAATTTTCGCTGTAATCTCTGTTTGACATCAAGATGCATATCTCCGGACAAAAGATCCACGAAAAAGTTGATGACTTTTACATTGACAGGCTCAGAATTGCAACAATCCAACGAATCAATAAGAACCAACAAATCACACCGAGGTGCTCCACAAAAATTCTGGAAGGGTTCAGACATGTCCTCATCTGAGAGGAAATACTTGAGTACGAGAGCTTTTGAGGTATCCCTTTTGAGGTCACTGAGAATGTCAATAAAATAGGTAATTAAACCCTCATGAATACTGCTATCAGCCCCAGTTTGGTTGACATGACGCAGAAACCCCTCCAAGTTCTTCATTATGAACACGCTGCTGTATTCAGGACCTTCTGTAACTGAACTCAAGCTTTTGTAGGCAGCCTCACATTTTCCATGAAGAATCTCAAAGACTCGGTCACACTTGATTGTAAGTACAGATTCTAGAATTTGATTGCGTAGCTCAGTCTCCATAAAAATACTTCCGTTTAAACCTTTGACCTTTAGTAGTCCATCTAGCACACCAACAATTCCCTTGATATTAAGAATGCAAGAGAGAAGAACTCCACTGAAAATCTGGGAATGACATGGGAAACCATGCAATGAAACTTCCCAGTAAACTTTAGATCGGCAGTCTGTAACTATTTTCTCAATGGTTTTGGATACCTCGGGCAAAAGCTTGTAAAAGGATTCCAGGTGGAACAAATCATACCCCATCCTCACACAAATCTCACTCTGTTTGGATTTCTCAAACCCAGTGTGTTTAAGGAGCAACAGGGGTGAAAAACTATCATCAGCAGTGGGGTCTCCATTACTGAAGGTTCGAAGAAAAGCCTTCTGGTAAGCAGCCAAAAATCTCTTCAGGAAGGACAACAGCAACCTAAGCAGCATGGTGAAGTTTTCATCAACCAAAGAACTGGAAACAAGGGTTTCAGCCAGAGCGAGAAACTCAGAATCCCTGGGAGCAAGTCCCCCCCATCCAGGACAACCTGATTCAATGGAGTTCTTCTTGCAGAATTCCCAAATACCAGCATCAAACACGCATAATATGAGAGAAAACCACGATCCAGCCAAATAAAAGTCCCAGCCAACGTCTACAAGGTCAGATGAGCATAAACCATGCAGATGGCGCAGCAATCCCATAACAACAAGGGGAAAATCAACTTTCTGCTTGACGACACCACCATGGCCCAAAACCAAGCTGCTAAAGGCAATAAAATGCTCTACCTCTATGCCTTCACAATGCTCTAACTCTCTCAAAGAAATTAGTGCAGGCTCTAATGCTGGTTCAATCATACAGATGTCCCAACAAAGAAGAAACATGTACCTTTCAACAATTAAGTCTTCCACATTTCCAGCTTGTTTTCCTTTCCACAAACCAAGAATCGAAGAGAAACAGACAGATAATTCATTCCATGACAAATTCAAAAAGTCAACAGCTGAATCACTCCCATAAAGAGAACTTGGAATGGTTGCAACATCAACTAATTGACTCAATAAAATTCTCCTAGCAGGGGCTTCTTTATGCCACATATTGGTTACATTTTCCAGAATCAAAGGAGTCCAAGAAGATGAATCAGAACGACGCATTCTAGCTAGTGGGCTCCCCCTCAGCTTTGATCTGAACTCTAAAGGTAAAGATGGTGGACAACCATGAGGAAAAAATAACATGTGACGAAATACTAAAACCATCCTTGACACAAGCAAAGCCCAGCAAGTGAGTTGCATGCTGTCACAGCCAGAAGGAGCATCGATAGTTCTAATAGAGGAAAATATTGCACTCATCTGAGAAGATTTTTCCTTGTCGGCAGACAGATGGAACGCCATCAAAAGGATCTCAATGTGAAAAACAGATGGAAGCGTCTCCAGCACTTCATGAAGAGTGGGGCAGCTGGAACATACTGCTTTTGTCTTCTCAACAACAAAGTCAATAAAAATGTCATATATCTTGGACCTAAGGTGACTGCCAGAAGGACCAGAGCGTGAAATTAGGGCATGTGCAAGCAAAGCAAGGGTCTGCTCATTGTAAATGAATGCACCATTCTCAATCACAAGTATTTTCTGAATCAGAGATTCTTCAACCACATCAGACAAAGCTCGGAGTGAGAGAAGCTTTTTGATCAGTTCAAAACAGAGTTCTAGAACAATTGTGCAGGAATCAGGAATCCAATCTTCAGAATACTGGGCCTGATGGTTAATCAAGGACAGCAAAATTCCTATGTCATCTCTAGTAAGCTTTTTGCAAGCATCCTCATACAGCATGCGATTCCAATCAGGAGAAAAGACATTATTATTCAAAAATCTGAGCAGCTCTGCGGCTGCTTGGCTGGGCATATTGCTGAAGTTAGAAACAGAAGTACCTGCAGCCACAGGTAGATCGGAACCATCCACAGATCCCAAAGAACGGCCACCTTCTGAGAAAAGGTCTCCAAACAGAGCATCATCTTCATGACATGCTACACTCTCCGGTTCAGAAGTAGCTTTCAAGACATTGGAACCTGCGCGCTCAAACTTTGGCCCTAATTTGACACCCTCAGAATGAAGAAATAGAAGAAGATGGACCAGATTGTACACCCACTGTCTTGATGAAGGGAAAATCATTCCCAATAGCTCCTCAACCGAGTATTTCTTTAGCAGAAACATATTTGCGGCACGAACTTGGCATGCAGGATGGCCAATGTTCATATCAGCAAAATCATCATGATTGATGTCTTTAAGCTGAAAAACGTAATGAGCATATTTCTTCAGATCCACAATAAGTTTTAATAGATAAATCACCACACGCGGGAAGCAGACCAGAGGAAGTTTAGGGCTAACAGCAGTGTTGTTATATGTCCATACTCTGGAATCTAAATAGTCCAAGATTGACGCAGTTATGCATGCTTGGATGTTATTAACTACACTTCTACTGTGGAAAACTGTCTGTACAAGCTGAAGAAACTCTTCCATCAAAAATATAGCAAGACTCTCCAAGCTACTTTCAACAACAGCACTGCTGCTGATAAACTCAAATTCTATCCCAAACAATTTGGGCAAACGACCAGCAAAGGAAATAAAAGACTGAAACAAGGAGCCATCAACTTTAACACATGGATCCTCCTTCACAAGATATCCTAGCATCTTGAAAACTCTCACAATAAGAGGCAATTTTTTCCGCAAATTGATGCTGGCCATCTGGTCATCAAAGGGTTCAAGAAGTCCAAATAGTTCTGTGCTGAAGAACACAAGACGTCGGACGCATTGCAAATGAAAATTAGCATAATGGCGCGATACAGTGCTCAACTTCATAGTATCAAGTCGAAACGACCGTCTAGCGGAATATTTCTCGACATCATCAGATTGAAATTTTTCAGATTCCATAATCATTAGAATGTAATCAGCTGCTTTTTCTTCAATTGAGCACCTTCCGCCTTCAAACAAATATATGAACTTCCGATGAGAAGATATATTTACATAAAAATGCACAAAAATCAACCATGATATTACATACCTTCAAGTATGCATCTCACATAATCCTCAAGCTGAACAGCCTCATCTTCAAGGGCCATAGTTGTCAACAAGTCCACAAGTGCACTTGGTGGGTATGGATGTAATGAATCCAATTCTCTATCCACTCTATCGACAAGCGCTATTTCTAACAGCTGAACCATATTACTCTGACAGATAAAATAACAATCAGATCAAACATAAAACATGAAATCCGCAAACAAAAGTCCAGACTGAAAAATCACGCACAGGTAAGAATGCACTAAGAAGATTTTGTTCCATTGGATATACAAGTCTGAACCACGCACGAAGGGCTATAACCAAATCATATAAAGTGTCTAGGATTTCTCAGTATTCTATTATCTTCTACATAACTCTTCTCATGATAGACCATGCACTTACATAATCAAGGAAATCACAGAAAATTTGAGGGAACAAAAAAATACTTTGACTAGGAACATAGCACTCAAGGATATTGCAATGACCAAATTAATTTCAAAAAACAGTCAAGTGTCAATTCCCCCATACTCTGGTTATTTATCACTAAACCTGAAAAAATAGCAGAGTAAGAAATGAAAAGCATACAATCAAACCACCCCACCAAAAATTTAAAAAAAAAAAAAAAAAGCCAATCAACACAGGGCACATGTTTTAGCAAGTTATAAAATTAGATAACCACACAAGATGGTTAACTATTGCCAAAATATGACTCAATTCAACTATTGCCCACAAGAACAGAAACGAAAGAAAAAAAGAAAGCTGCTTAACTTCATCCATTCCTTCACATTAATGAAGGGAAAACAATAAATTTTGAGATGAGTTGGTTGACCAAAAAAAACAATAACACTACCCACTGAGAAGGGTCCCAACAAGCAAAAGATAGCAGAGTACTTAGTTTTCTACTTTTCAACTGACTCAATATTACCTCACATTGGTGTAGAATTTGATCCTAATCAAATAAATAAACTGAAATAATCAGCATAAAAACATAGTAGGACGAGTAGGAAGTAGAACCATCATTAAAAAACAGAAGAGGGGGAGGTGGAAGAAGCACCTGGATACTCAAATCATCACCATCGCAAGTTAACTTCTCCAAGCAACATAGAGCAAATTTCACGGACTTCTGCACCACTGCTACAACTAACGGCTCCACGTGCTCCACTGCCACATCACAAAACAAGAACAACTGCCATTTAACTAACTAATCATCACAAGCAATAAAGCAATAATTCACGCGAAATGAAGCCCGAAAATCAACAAGAACGAGTTAATCAAACCTGCGATCGATCGGGTAGCTTGAACTACGGCGGTTGCTATGGAAGCAACAGCTTGAATTTGGGAGAGGTTTAACTGTTGAAGACCTAGCTTAGAATTGGCACCAGCCGCATCTCCATCGTCAATCGGAGTAACACAGCGTTTAAGAATCGAGTAGAGCTTGCGGAACCCTAAGCTGAGGGAGGAATCTGAGCGAAGTCTCTGGGAGAGAGCATCGTCGTCGGGCGACGCCGACGAGAGTGCATCGACGAGCTTGGCGATCTCCTCGGCCATACTCCGATGCGCAGAGAAAACCAAATCAGCGCATTACAGAAATTGATTTTTTGATTATCGGGAGCGAAAGAGCTCTCGCGATTTAGGATTTGGTGTTTTTAGGAATGGGAAAGGGTTTTAAAAGTTTTAAGAAGTGACGAGCAGAAAATCCAGAAACTACAGAGTGATTCTATGAAAAAGCAAATTAAAGGCGGTGAAAATGAATGTAGGGCCCATAATGAATTTCTGTAAAATTTTGCTATTTGCGCATTACGTCAGAAAAAAACGCTGTTCTGTGGTCGGATTTGCTTATTTTCCAAGCTATTTTTGGTAACTATATAAGTGTGAAATATAATTCCCGGATCCTACAAATTTGGCTTAATTACGAAATTTTCCCCTCGAGTTTGAAACGGGACATCCAATGCGTTTTATTTTCATGTTCAAGGGAATTTGGTTTTCTTGGTTTAAGGTAACTTGATTATTTGAATTCTTATTTTTTACTTTCTAGCGAAGCAAACCCATCAAGATAAGCGTAAATGTTACAGTCGATTTCATGTGTTTTCGACTATAACAATCTACATGATAATGATGATATATCAAATACTCCTTCTGTCCTAAAATTATTGTCCAGTTTGAGATTTCACTTTTAGTACAATTTGAACTAAAAATGAAAACTCAAACTGGAGAATAATTATGGGACGGAGGGCATAATATATTTTCTGTAAATATAATAAAAGTTATTTTGATATTCGTGTGAGAACTACACAAATATGTGACAATATACATGTATAGTGCTTGTTAATGTATTTTGATGACAAATTTTGCCTTATTTTTTGTGAGTATATAATTTAGTCAACGTATATTGTTTTGGTTTAACGAACCGAAAACCAAAGTAATACAAGAGAACTGCTTCATATGCTTTGATTTCGTATTTATTAGTTCAAAATGATTCTATTCATTAAAAAAAAAAAAACGACTAGCAAAATGGATAACTCACGGTCCGTCTGATGTTTGTCCAACTCATTAGAGATCAAGTTAGGAAACACGAACAGAGCTTTCACTCTGCAAATTCTCAAAGAGCAGTTTCCATCAGCAATGATGAACAAACTGTTCGTAATTAACAACAATGTAACGTATGTTTCATACTTGATTTCAGTTACAAACTTACAATTATCAAAGTTCACAGAACTATAGAAACAAGTCTTTATGCCAAACACAAACGATATGAGTAACACTTCATCGTAATATTGTTGATACTTGATACCAGCAAAAATCTAGAGACTCCACCAATCCCACTAAAACCCAAAAAGGAAATTCAAAATTAAGTAGTGATCACATACATGTTAACATGTGGACTAAGGAGACGTTTTCCCAGGTAAAGTAGCCGGAGTTTTAGCAGAAGTCACACCGGCGGAAGCCGGAGGAACTCCGGGCCCGGGAAGACCAGGGGTTGGCTGGAACGGAAATGGAGGAAGTGGAAGAAATGGTGGCGACGATGGTGGTGGTGGAGATGGAGTCAAACCGGGTAAAGGAGGGAATCCAAATGGGGGGAAATATGAAGTAGGAGGGGAAGGAGGAGCAGGAAAAATGGGAGGGAAAATGGAAGGTGGAGGTGATGGGAATATTGGGGGAAAAATTGAAGTAGGTGGTGAAGGGAAAACCGGAGGAAGAATGGAAGGTGGAGGCTGGAATGGGTTTGTAATTGGAGGGAATAAGGAAGGTGGAGGAAACAAAGGATTTGGTGGGAATGGAAAGAGTGGATTGAAGAAATCAGGCCTTGAAGAAGAAACCTTCTCATCCCCTGGCCCTGAAATTCCCACCGGAAGTCCTGGAAGTTGAGGCAGAGGAGGAAGCTGTGGCAAAGCCGGTAGCCGGGGTAATTCCGGCAGAGGTGTGAGATCTGATGAGGGTGGATCTTGAAGCGGAGGAGCGAATTTTGGATCATTAGGATCATCAATTGACATTGTCTTTGGTTCGTGGGTGTTTGGATTATGCAATTGGTTACAGAGTTCTGGCTGCTGAAGAGGCTTAAATGTGAAGAACCCGGATGAGAAAATGTGTGTTCCATGTTTTCTGGACTTGAGATGGATTGAAGATGAAGTTGCTGTTGAAGCCACTGCACAATATGGCTCACTGCTGTTTATCAGCTTCACAGCACACCCTTGGATCTTCTTAACATGTTTGCTCACTGAGAAAGGTAAATGTACCCTGAATTCGCCGTGTTCATCCGTTTTCGCCACTTGTCGGAAACTCGGGCTTGCATCTTTGTCTCCACATTCCACTGCCACAGATGCACCTGCTTTTTTACAATATTTGCATTAATCCATTTATCATCATACAGATAACTTAGGAAGAAGAAAAATGGTAGAAAATACTCAAATAGTACCGGAAAAAAAAGCGGAAACTTGCCTGAAATGAAGTGGCTAGCCTTGGTGAAATCTTGATGGAAGCATGTATCACAGTAGACAGTGCCAACAATAACTGCAGATGGAGGATTCCTGGGAATTCTGGCAGCACCCGACAATGTGGCAGAAACCAGGAAGATACAACTACACAGCAAAGACATCATGATTGGACTAGACATCATCTTCTTTTCTCTGGTGGAAGTATACTGAATATGATCTGAGAGGCAGATTTTGGTATTTAATCCTGGTTGGGTTGGGAATGGTTTTGATTTAAGCTTTTTAACACGAATGTAACTCTCAACTATAAAGCAAATTTAAGTCACTCATGTTGATTCCTGTGAACTGTCCGTTTCTGTATTAACTGTCAGTGTACTTTGATGGTTGGTTACTCTGATCAGTAATCAGAAAGAAGAAACTTCGGGAATGGAATGATGTATCTATCCTGATTTTGCAGTGGATATGGGCTTTATATGGTTTTGAACTCTTTGTATCAGTTTGTTTTGTTGCATTACTGAAAATTTTGTTGGTTGGGAATTGGGGGAATTATTAGAGGGAACAGTTAGGACCCAGTTAGTTCACGAGAGTGTTATAGCAGCCGCAAACTTCATGAATTCTTTCTAGTTTCTACTGCTACTATTATACCCAATCTAAACAGCACCAGAAAAATTTGGGAATCATGGTGGTGCTGTCCGCATGCCCATTCTTATTCTACCCTACATGCAAACTTCTTAACTAGCTACCATCAACCACAATCTTCCTGATTTTTCACCATTCAATCGCACCTCTAGAGGCTTGTTATGGTTAACCCACTAATGAACCTCCGATTTCTCATCCGAGCTTGTCATCCCGGGTTTGCGTAGGGTGGTTTACCTCCTACTGTGGTTTGCAGACTATTGCAGTGGGCGTGAGTTTACCCATCTCTGGTGGGTTCCAGTGTTATAAAATAAAAAAATAAAAAAAAATAAAAAAAAAAAACCGGAAGCGGTAATCTGGAAAAACAAGACATTCATTTGAAGATATTTCACCATGAGTGGTTTTTTCACCTGTTAGAAAGTGACTGGATGACTATGTTTTGGCATCATAGTAACTGGAAAACGATGGAATTGGATTGTTAGGCTTAGTTGTGATACGTGTCGTGCAATTCATGGAGTTTTTTGCAAAAACACATAGTCACGGGTTTGTCTAATAAGGTTTGGACGACGTGACCACCGTCACGGGATGCTTGACTTAGCCGGAGGTTTCTAAGGCTGAATTACAGGCATTTGGCCCAATACGAACCTTCAGCCGGCTTTCCACTCATCCAAAAATTCAACAGAACTGAAAAAACAGAATGGAACTGAAATGCTGGTGCATATTTTGTGAAATAGCGGCGAATTGTAGATAACACCAAAGTAGGCAAGGGAGGAAATGCAGACTAACTGCCTGTCCTGAATTCCTAGTATACAAAGAACTTAGAGAATAAAGAATAATCTATACAGAGCACTGCAATTACAAATGGATTGAAACCTCACAAAATCCTCAAGTGTTTCTTTCTATAGCAAACAAATGTAATACAATTAAGCATTACTGTTGTCGACACATTCTGGGGATGATTAGATGTTACAATTCTTCAATGACTCTTGAGCAACTTCAGGCTGGTGCGCCTTGAACCTTACGCGAGTTGGATGAAAAAGGCAAGAGTGAACCAAAGACTAAAGGGAATTTTCCGAGGATGACCATGTGGTGAGATATCCATCACAGATTTATTCATAAACCTTCTCGTAAAATGCTAAAAGCTGCTTCACATGATTATGCCAAACAGCAACATTTTGGCCATCAACCGTGACCCAGTCAACCACAGCTGAAGCTGGTTGTTCCCACCATTCATCAAGCTGCAGAAATGAGCAATAAAACCACCACTTAATGAAGTAAAAAAGAAAAAATGTCAAGGGGAAGACAAGATTATGGTGAGAATATCTACATCAGACAAAGAGCTGAATAATAATGGCAAGCAATTATGTAGTGCTTTTGAATACGATCTAAAGGAAGAATGACGTGGGTGGAGGAATGGTAATCCAGCTGCAAGTATAATGAAAACTAAAGAAAAAAACAAAAGATACGTGGAAGCGCTATAGGTACTCACCAATCCCCTGACATAGCCACAATCTTCAAGGCCTTTTTGAGCATTTAAAATAGCATTTCTTAGTTCAGGCAACCACTTATCCATTATTACTTTCTCTTGTTCAGAAGCCACATTTAGACAGAAGTTTGTTGTCCTACAAGATTCCAGCAGAAGCCATCAACACAGCATTATTATCACACAATTCAGAACAACAGTGCAAAAAAGAAGCAAACGTAAAACCTGCAAATATAAATTAACGTGCATGACAAAGAGAACACTAGAAACCTCACACTTCACAAGACAATTACATTCACTTATATTACACTTTGAGGTGAGCATATTGTGAACTTGCAATGCATGCAAGGGCCATGCAGAAGCTAATTACTTGACCACAATAATTAATAAAGTTAACACCAAAAAGAATAATACTAGGATATCAAAAATTAGAAGATACTAAGCTAATATCCCAGAAGGACAGCCAAGAACAGCAATGTAAATTTTCTTACGGGGTTAGTCCTACCCGACATTTAAAATCCAGAATGCCTCTTAATCAATAATAGACAGTTAAGTGACAAAGAATTATTTTTTTTCTTTCCTATACAACTCAAATATCCTAACGCTATAATAAGTTAGAAATCGCGTAGCTACGACGTCCAAAAAATCAAGAAGTGTTAGGACAGGTTATACCTTTCATATTCTTGTTGCACACGGTGAGCATGATTTAACAATGCATGACCACTTTCAACAAGATCCCTGCGTATGTGGACCAGATTAATAGCGTTCGCCAACTCTTCAAGCACACAAGCCTCAGAACCACGGAGCTTCAAGCAAAATTCCATAGATTCCAAAACTGAGGCCAAACTAGCATCTGAATTGTCCAAACCTAATGATACATAGAGAATTAGTTCAAAGTCTATAATTGCACAGCCACAAAATAAAATATGGACATTGATTAACAATCAGCCGAGTGGTACATTTGTGATGGATACAATCATCAGAGAGTTAACATAACACATATTATAAGTTACCAAAAGAGATGTCTGTATGCGTCAAGGAAACTAAGAAAATCTAGTTTTATTTGTACTTGTTTATCGCTGTGCTTTATCATCTACAACATAAGGGTATTATCCAATGCACTCAAAATCTTTCAGATTCTCTTGGAAAATGAGATATGATATAATCTCTTAAGAATGCACTCAACATCAATGCAAGATCTTTCAAAATATATTCTCACATTTGACCTCTCAGTCTAGGAATAAGAATTCTTAATAAGAATAACCAAAAATACAAACAAAAACCTTGACCATATTTTAGAAATGCAAAAGTTTCTCCTTTACGAATAGAGGAATCTGAAGAAAACTTGTTAAAAAATGGATAATCAGTGATAGAGTGCAGGGCAGACAGAAAATTTTGCATTGGAACATTCACCGCGTATCTTTTCAGGGAGGGAAACACTACCAGCAGGATATTGAAGAGCAGCTGAAATGCGACATATGGAAGGAATTGCAGAAGGATCTCTTGCACCAGCTCTTGCTGTCAATATGGCAGCATTCTTTTCAGCAGCAGCAACTGCTTCAGGTCCTGTTGATCCACTAGCAGACAATGCCTCCAATAGTGCCTGGCAGAAAGTAAAGGGGCACAAGTGAGAAGCAGATGAACCAACAACAAAATGCCAAGATCAACTTGGTCCTCATTCTCTTGACTATTCCTCTTCAACATATCTGGCCCTCTATCAACATACTTCACGAATAGGAGTGGAAACAGGTGGAGCAGATTGAAAAAAAAATTTCAACTGCTAATTAAGAAAAATGTAAGAACTGGTACACTTTCTCGATCACAGTCAAATTTTCAACTCTATGCATAATAGCTTTGGGCCTTAAGTAAGAAAATGTAGCTGTTGCACATTGCAATATTTACACATCGCAATATTTACCTATGCGATTTGGTTTTCACAATAACATTAAGATAACAAGATGACATATTTCTTTTACTCAATAACATTAGAGTTGGCTGTAATGCGAGAATTGTAACAAGAATAAGTCTGCATATCCATATGTTCCCTGGTGAGAGCATGTGCTTATATACATAGCATGCACATGCATAAGAATATCAATTCACCACATTAAAAGCCAGTGAAATATATTATTATATCAAAAAGACACTAGTTTAGGTCTAAAGTCAAGAAATTTCCCCAAATTAAGGAAATCTGGGAGAGTGAAATGTTTGATCAAGTTACCATTCTATTATTAATCAATTCAATTTCTCTACCTGAGGGGTAGATGGAAGCATGTACAGGCCGTTGTCGGGAGTGTTATAGAAAGCAGAAACTTCTCTCTCAATAAGATCTTTTGCTTTGTTGGAGATGTCCAGGACAACATTACATGCTGGAATAATGGTGCTTGAAGCGTATTCACGAGAAGCCAAAGGCTGTTGACGCCAGAATGCCGCAGCATCCTAATTTGTCAAAGAACAAATTATAAAAATTCATTCATTCAGGTAAGCATAAACATATGACAAAAAAAAATTGATGCAGATGAACCCTTGCTCCCATCTGATTCTAAAATGCATATCCAGATTTACAGCATGAAAGCATGGTAATTAAAAAAATATTATTCTTAGAAATGAACTAATGATTGACATCACATTTTCACATTTTAAGATCACGAAAGTACCGTGTTAGCTTTGAGTAGTGCAGTATAAATAGATTCAAGCTCAGATCTTCGTGCATCAAACTCCTCAATCTTTTTCCATTTCTTTTTCAGAGAGTCTTCAGCTTCTTTTCTCTCCTCACATAATGTGTTCAACCGCTGAATTTCGGACATTAAGGTGCTAAGGCTGGCCCTTAATCCAGCAGCTTCCCTTTCCTTAGCCCAAACTTCCAGCTGAGGAACAAAAGGAACAATTATTGAGACTTACGTAATGATGCAAATCAATCTAATTAAATGATACGGCAATTAAAACAATCACGCTTGATCCAGGATAAATTAACCAAAATCTAAAGGAACAAAAACATCAAACAAAGTACAAGTGGCAAATCCAGTGGGCAACACCTTACACAAACACCCACTACACACATATTAGAAGAATGGTTATTTAGTATTTCAGAAGTTAAAACGAAGACCTGGTGGGAACTAATATCCAGAAAAGCAGTAGAATAATATCCAGTTCATGCAAGAATTATTTGTTCTGAATATCTCGTTCATGAGAATATAATATTTCCAGAAAAACTGCAGAAGGTTGTACCTCAAGTTGCCTCAGGCTGCTCATATTTTGTGAAGTAGCATTGCTGACAATTGACTGCGAAGAAACTTCACCGCCAGTTCCATGAAGACGTTTCAGAAGTTGTTGGCTCATGTTTCTAGCTTCAGCAGCTTTGTTCAATGATTCTTCAGTTGCAACAAATTGCTGCACATGTGCTTTCTGTGAAAACAAAAAATAAATAAATAAATAAATAAAGGATGTTTTACAAACACGTACACCAATATATTGTATAAAAAGATTGTATTCTGCATAAGACCATAGGTGAAGCAATGTTAACATTTTCAATTGGAAAGGCAACCAAAGTTAGAGGGAACAAGAAATTATTTGCAAATGAAGTGGAAATGAAAGAGGACCTGTCTTTCAAGAAGTTGATTTTGAGATCCCCTTGAAAATGCATCAACTCCAAGCTTTCTGTTACCATAAAGCTGATACTGTAATGGTGAGCTAACATCGGCAGAAGAAGTATCCATTACTCTATCATTCTCGTATTTATACCTGAAGTGGAAATGTACATATGATAAGAATGGTTGCACTATAACTTGAAACCAATTAAATGGATCCTCCAAAAGAGGACAGTATGTACAACAGGACAACCTCAATGTTTCAGCATCTGCTCTAACATCAATTTTTTCGATTTCTTTACTGATCACAGTCTTCAACCTCTGAGTGTACGTAGTAATTGCCTGAAGCAACTGAGGAGGATTTTTCAAGCAGCTTCCAATTACAGCTCTAACCTCATCAGCTATAACACCATCAATGTCAATGCCTAACTTGGCAATATCTGTTTGAGGGTTCAAATGGATACCCGTTCCTTCATAAGCTGGAAAAGAGGTGCAAATCCTTTCAGCCACTTGCGCTCCAAGATATTCACATGCCCTGCGTATGTTTCTTTCCCAGTTTGTTTCAATGAGAATGACATTGTCCACAGATTTGGATCCTTTAACAGTTGAATAAACAGCCTCTTTTTCGTTTTTGGGCTGGATACTGGTAACTACTTCAACAGGATCAATACTTGACCTCTGGACATCTCTTGCTTGGTTTACATAGTACCTCAGACGTTTGTGGTACTCCGCAAAGATTTTTGTTGCTTCATCACATTGTTGATCATGAGCCTCTAGCATTACTTGTTTGTGCCTAAACAGGAGGCACTACAATTTAATACAAGAGATAACTAATTACAGAAAAGCATATCCATATACAGCATCCATTCCTAGAACAGCATTCTTCAAACTATCACATATCGGACCAAACAACAAGCTAAATTAATCGAACCAAGCGCATAACTGTGGTAAACAAATCTTGCTATTGGGAAGGGGAAAAAATGATCACATGATAAGAAGGTAACCAACTCTCTCAAGAGCATTATCGATGCTAAAGCGAAAGATCACAAACCTGTAATTTGACCTCTCATCTAGCATCCGCTTACGTTCAGCCTCCTCTCGAGATACTTCCAGCATCCTGGCCTTCAACTCCTTTCGTTGCCGCCTGACTATCTGCCTCAGTCTCTCCACCTCTTTCTCCGCCAAATCCCTCTCCTGCAAAGCAATGTCTCTGCTATTCTCTCTCTCCAACCCCGAAACAGAATTATCCTTCCCTACCACATTCACCTGCTTCTCTTTCCTCCTCCTGGGAGCCGTCGTGGATGTAGATGTAGTTGCAGTTGTCCCCCTAGAAGTACTACCCCTGCCCGTGTCACCGGTAACAACAGCAGCATTCTCTACTCCGCCACTGCTGCCGCCGTGGACGAGAATATTCCGGCGGATGTTATCGACGGTTTTTTCGGATTTTACTCTCTTGAGCAGAAAGTTCCAGATGGGTATCATATTACCGCGACATATGGTACGAATTGAATCGGCGGTGGGAGTGAAGGCAGCAGCTTTGGTGGAGGAAGAAGCATAAGGGCCGAGAGGTCGATAACCCATCTCTTTCTGAAGCCATTCAAGAATCGCCTCCGGCTGAGCCACCGAGCTCGTTGAGCTCTGCATTATCCAATTTCTAGGGTTCCCAAAATTTCAAACGAATTCAACTCAACAAAACATTTCCACACAAAAAGCAAGCGTTACAACCCAATTGAATTCAAATAGCTACGAGTAAGAGCAGATCTGCAAACAAATGTGCACCCTATTTCACATTCGGGCGTCGAAATTGAAGAGTCAGACAAACAGACTGATTACAATAGAATTGATTCAACAGTTTCTACTGATAGGAACAGTCAAAAGTACTGTTGAAATGTCCGGCCGGCCGGCGGTTCTCCCGCGTCAGAGATTCACGTACAATAGAATAAACCACTATAGTGTCTAAAGTCCTAATTTGTTCGATTTTCTGGATTTGAACTGTGGATGAATGAAATTCGAGATCGGAGCTTTGGGGGAAAAAAAAAAAGTTTTAAAACCAAAAAGGTCCCGCGTTATGCATTTGTCTAATGTCACTGGCGGATTTGAGTACTTTTATATTAAATGTAAAAGAAAAACCAATTTTGTGAGGTCAATTTGTTTTTGATGTACTAGTAGCAATGGAGTAAGACATACATCAATCTGTTCTCCGGTCAATAAGTAACACTCATAATGATAATGATTAGGACGATCGTACAACACATACACAGTTCAATCGTTTTTTTCTTTTCTTTTTTTTAGAAGTAATTTTATTAATTTTGCTGGGAAACACTGATGTCAATTCAATCAAATGGTCTAAACATTTACAATTCAGTGAGCAACAATACATAATTTTCCTTCCTTTTCTTTTAGAGATAGCATAACTAATTTGTGACCATAGAATGATATTAACTCTAGAATTGTTGTTTCATTCCTCAGGTCATTATTATTAGATATTTTAATTTGTCATAAATTCCACCTAATATATTTTTTTTATTAAGAAAATAAAAATTTTAAAATAATATTTTCACATTTATCGTGTTCTCTTAATTATTAGGAACTATTTTTAAGTTTTTTTCCTTTTCCAAAGCAAAAGTGCGATCACAATGAAACATAACAATATGGCGACCTTTTACATGAATGAAGTTGAAACAATGTAATGAAACACAACAATATGGCAACCTTTTACATGAATGAAGTTGAAACAATGTATCTCAAAAAAAGAGTGATATTTGCTTAATGAAGGTTAAAGAGTTTAAAAGGATCATAATCTATTGTCCGATACATAATAAAAATCTTATTCTCTCGAACTTTCTAGCAACACTCATTTAAGTTCAGTGGCGGAGTTAGTGGGGACCAACAGGGGCGATCGCCCAGTCCCATTTTTTTTCCAAAGACTCCTTAGATTTATATGTTTTTGCCCCTCTATCCTATAAAGCCTGGGCTCCGTCACTGTTTAAGCTTAAAAGCCTATGCTTTTCATTGACCAGCCAGCACGTTCCAGTCAACAATTCGAGAGACTATCCTCTTACTAAATTACTTATCTACATACATCGTACACTGTTTTATTCGCGAATAGAATGTGGCATTTGATATCCAGAGGCATGCATGCATGCATCAATTGAGTTAGGCAAAAAGAGGAGCTTGCTTAGTGATTGTCGCCAGGAGGGATAATGTGATGAAGAAATTAAGCCCGGAAATTAATTGGTTCCTGGTTTAAACTTCCACTCCATGAGCTTAAAAGGGTCGCCAACCCAAGGTTCGTGCGCCATTGGTTGTATAGTTTTCACAGAAGGACTGGCATGGGGATCTGCCACAACTTCTTCAGCAGTAAAGGTCAACTTCTTCAGCAGTAAAGGAATGTAAAGTAAATGAATCAACGAAGCTGACCTTGCTCTCCCGGACTTGCCGGAGAAATTCCTTGACGCGCCCGAGCGGGTTGGGAGGTCGAAACTTATCCTTAGGACCGTAAAGAAACAAAAAACTATCATCCACATGGTCTAAGTCCTCGATGGGGAATTTTTGACAGTAAGGAACCATCGGAAGTAGTTCGTTATCGGTGGGTTCCGGGTACGACCACGGCCATGAGTAAACCAATCAATTCTTCCTTTTTTTCTTCAGACCCATTCGACTCTTCCCTTTTCCCGTATTTCTACAGACCCATTGGACTTTTCCTTTACTGGAAAACGTCTCTCTCTCTCTCTTCTTCTTCTTTTTTTTTCTCGAGCCGCTCGCGTATTTCCCATGGCCGGAAAACCTCTCTCTTTCTTCTTCGTTTGTTTCCACAGAAAACATAAAAAACTGTTAATAAATAGGGGAAAAGCCTTTGGGGCTTTCGGGCCTTTTGTCCGTGGGGCTGTTTTACTCTCGTACTACATTTTTAGATTTATTAAAATTGAAATAAAAACTGAATATTACCACAGTTAAAAAGAAAGTTCAGGTACGTTTTACTAATTTTAAGCTAATTACTTGTTTATCTGCATTAGGAATCTATCAAGATAAAAAAAAATAAAAATAAAATAACAAACATTTGAAACAACTATCCCCACAATCTCTTTACTCCCAAACTTGAAAAAATATATTTCTTTGCCAACTCCTTACCCCAAAACTTCTAGAAAAAAGAAAGAATATATTTCTTTGCGCTTTGAACAATATCAAAATTAAATGGGTTTTCATCAATTAATTACAACAGTCTAAGAAAACCTTCAATGAAAAGTTGATTTTGTTGCTTGAAAAAGTTAATACAACTATTTCATATACGTGAACTTTGTCTTTTGAATATTACGGCTTGAAGTGTTGTTTATTTTAGTCTAAAAATTCGTAATTTGTTTATAGATTAGTTTTATTTTTAATTGATTGTGAATAGTGTCCAAGAAATTGACCGTGGGTTTAGGAAAAGAAAGGAAGCAGAAGGGTGTAGCAGGGACGAATAAAGGGGCAAAACTCGAATGATAAATTAAAAAGGAAATTTTTGTCTATTTATAAAAAAAAAATGTTTTGGATGCTATTATCTGTTTTGGCAATATTATTAACCAATTCTAAAATCTCAAAAGATACACTACCAATTTCCATTCAACATAACTTTCACATTTTAATTGGATAATTTTCTGCAGGGCAAAAAATGTCATTCACCCTCACATTTTAATTGGAAATCTTTAAAACTATTTACAAAGAAAAAAAAATTAACAAAAGAAAATTTCAAAACTAAAAGATTTACGGCAAAATAAATAGTTAAATAGAGAATTTAGAGAATCAATAAATGTGCATTCGAGATTAACAATTACTATGATAAGTTGAATGCAAAAAATTATATAAAAAGAATTAAGTATCATTTTAACTTATACGGATAATAAATAACATTAGAATAATATTTATAAGGAGAATAAAAAACGAGTAACGTGTAGCAAAATAAGGGATTAGAAAAATATTACCAGTGCAAAAATTAGTTTTCAGAGCTAATTATACCTATATCACCTAATTTACCCTTCTTAGTCCAACTATCATTCCTTCACTCTTTCTCTTTTTTTCTCTGTAGTCAATACTCACATCAGATTAATGGCTTCAATCATGATTTCATCCGATTCCCTAAATTTATGTACTGATGAGGATTATCATATTTGAAGCAATTTATATGGTGAAACCTGTGTACCATATATGGTACACTTGTCTAATTAATACAATCTAATTATGAAATAAAAAAATAAGAAAAATTTATTAAATCAATTCATTCTCTTTCATCATTTAATTTCTCATGTCATACTTTCAAATATAATAGAAATAATATTCTAATAATTTTGTAACTTTTTCTTCTATTCATAATTAATGACTCTTACCACTATTCATAATTACTTACGTGTTTGAAAAATTAGGAACAATTCAAATTTAATAAAAAATCATGAAATTTTGATATATATGTCATGAAAAATATTACTATAACTCATAAATTTTTCACAGAATGAGTATGAACTATAAATATAAGGATTTCTAAATATTTAATTAATATTTTTATGTTCTTTGTATGAAAATTTACATAATTCTCATGAATATTATTTTATATGGATATGAATATAGACTGCTTGTTTGCATTAGTCTTTCAATTCTCTAAAAAAATTGTGAATTTTGGATACACATGATATGATATGAAAAGTATCATTATTATTCATGAATATTTTACGAAAAGAGTATGAACATTTATTGTACATATGATTAATTTTTTGAAATTTCTCTAATTTATATGAACAATTAGCATAATTTCATGAATAGTCATAGTTATATGTATGAATAAAAAATTAAAAATATTACAATTTTTAATTTATAATTATGTGTATAATTTTTTAATTAAAAGATATTGATTTTTTATATATTTGATATGAAAAATATGTTTATCATTCATGATTTTATATTATATGATTATGAACCTTTAGTTTTTTTATGAATAGAAGTATATTATAAATAAATATTTCTTCCTTTTTGAATTTTTTTCTAATCATGTAATTTGTTTGAATATATGATATTAAATATGGAAAGATGATTGACTAATTTAATACTAATAATATTTTAATTAATAATTTATCCCTTAAATAACTTCCATTAATTCGACAGTGCATCATATATGGTGAACCATGTGCACGATATAAGAATTCTATATTTGATGATTGGCCAAAGATAGCAAAGCTACCTTTGCTTATTATTATTTAAAATGTTTTGGTATTTACTTCTACTAATCCATCTCCAACACATCCAACTGATAATTCAGTATCAATCATCACTGTATTTATATCAAGTGTCTTCCCTCCTCTCCAAATAAAACAATATCATCCTCTAAGCCAGAATCATGGATACTGATGAACAAAATACATTATTAATAACACTAGTTATTAAGATTCCAGATAAATAATAACTGACCCAACATGGTTACACGAACACAATTGTTCAAAAAGTTTGAGGAGTCTCCCTAGAGAAATCAAGAAGAATTGCCAGAAACAATTATTATGAATTAAGAAACAGAGTGAAAATTAAAGTTATGAACCATGAAATTCGTAGCTCTGTATTCTCGAAAGACCATAATATTTATTACATTTTCCCATCCTTCAAGCGGTGTATATTACGTTATGGTCAAAGTTCCAAACAATGATTCACAAATTTGCCGAAACGTATATTGTGAAAGTCTTGATACGTGCTAAAACAAAGCTTTAAAAAAATTGCAGTAACGCAAAGTGTGGTCGCAATGTGACATTACAATTTTGCAACTTCTTACACAAATTAACTTGAATCAACATAGGGAACAAAAGTTAGACTATCTCTCTACCAAGAAATTAATATTTCGAAATAAAAGTTGTATCATTTTTGTTCTAAAATTTTTTTTTACATTGAGTTTTCAAATTCGTACTACAAATAGCATATAAATATGAAAATTCATTGCAGATATTTTTTTTTCAAACAGAGAGTATTTGATAATCGAAAATTGCGAAATTTTAAAATGGATCCCATGTTGTGTGATAAACTGATACTAAATTACTAATAAACATGTCATTCCCTCGAGATTCCTAGTAAAAGCAACACTTATTTAAGCTTAAAAACCTCTGCTTTTTCATTGACCAATCGAACTAACAAGGACAAGTCGATAACGATGAATGTGGCCCAGACACTGATACACAGGCATGCAATATATTTGACCGTATATACCAGCTAATCCACCATTAGGCTCTTTGCCCCCCAACACAAAAATTTCAACTTTACTCTGTATTTGGTCCAAGCTTCTTCTACTTTGTTCCAGGATTTCAGCATTTCGCTAATGACGTTCCAGTCAACAGTTCGTGTGATTATCCTCATGGTGTTCATGTGGAGCCTTCTGCCCTTCTTCTGCCTCTGCAAATTCATAAAGACTGTTTACAACTACGTTTCACCCGGAGAATCTGTCAAAGGAAAAGTCGTCCTGATCACCGGAGCATCCTCTGGGATTGGAGAGGTAACTTGCATATCTATACACATACATATTATATACTCTGTTTTATTGGTCTGGAATTTGGCATTGATATGCAAAAAAAAAAAATTAAAAAAATGCATGCAGCAATTGAGTTATGAATATGCAAAAAGAGGAGCTTGCTTAGTGATTGTGGCCAGGAGGGAGAATCTGATCAAGAAAGTGGCAGAGGAAGCCCGGAAATTAGGATCCCCTGAAGTTGTCCCAATCTGTGCTGATGTATGCCGGGTCGACGATTGCAAGAAATTCGTCGAGAAAGCAATCAGTCATTTTGGCCGATGTAAGAAACACTATTTTTAACACTTCTTATTACATTCATAAGTTATAAATGTATTAATCATTCATCATGGTGTAACGATATCTGTTTCCTTTCAGTGGATCATGTTGTAAACAATGCAGGAATTAGCTGTTATAGTCCAATGGAAGATGTTACTGACATCACAAAACTTGCACCCCTGGTGGTAATCTCTTCACAAATTTTGTGTCTCTCATTGCTTATCATAGTTCATTCATCCACGTTATGCATCACTAACAAATCTTCAATTCTTTTGTCTTTTTTCTTTTTTCTTTTTTAACAAAGGATGTGAATTTCTGGGGTTCAATTTATCCAACTTACTTTGCAATCCCTCATCTGAAAAAGTCAAAAGGAACCATCTTTGTGAATGCATCAGCAACTGCGTATCTGCATGCAGCAGGACTCAGCCTATACGGTGTAAGTAGTGAAACCAATGATAAATTTTAGTACTCATTCCGTCCCAAAATAATTGTCATTTTCTCCGAATCATTTCATGCATTAGTAAATTGATTGCACTCTGCTTTCATTTTTTAGGCAAGTAAAGCTGCTTTGGTCAACTTCTACGAGACAATGAGAGTGGAATTAGGCCCGGAAATCTCAATCACAATCGCAACCCTTGGTTTCGTCGATTCGGAGATTACTAGAGGGAAGAACTTAAACACAAAAGGAACTCCAGAATTCAATCCAGAGCTATCAGATGTAAGATAAATTTCATTTCATTTACCCGGGTACTCTGGCATTTAATTACTGTTTTCTGGGTAATCTCAATAAATTCACCTGTCAATGTTTTTACTGCGTGGTGGGCCGGGCCTGATGACGGTGGGTGGATGGACAGGCATTCATCAATAAGCTGCCGGTGATGAGTTCCGAGGACTGCGCGAAATCAATTGTGAAGGCCGTATGTCGGAAACAGAGATACGTTACCAAACCGACATGGTTCAGGCTTTTCTTCTTTTTGGAGACGTTGTGCCCGGAGTTGACTGAATGGGTTAATCGGAATTCATTTCACCAGTTGAAACTCAAAGCCCCGGAAGCAAAGCCAATTTTCGGTCCACTATCACCATCTCTACATAAATCAGATTAATTGCCATAACTTTTTTTCCCCATCCCCAAGTATTATTAGTACATAGTAGTAAATACTCCCTCCCGTCACATAGTTGTTATCCAATTTAGGTTTTCATTTTTAGTTTAAATTGTACTAAAATTGAAATCTCAAACTGAACAATAATTATGGGACAGGGGAGATGATATTTGTTAGCTTGTTTGAGCTAATGATGAAAAGAAAAAAAAACTCAACATGGCTCGAGTGGTTTTAATGTTGTTATTACAATGTCTATGAATCTGTGTAAATATTGAATCAGATAAATTTTTAGTAGTGGCAAATAAATTTCGATCTGTAAGTAACACTAATTTGGTCTAACGACACTCGCAAAGTGATGCATAAAGTGTCATTTTTTTTGTGATTGTTATATCTTAAACCTTTTATCCTAAAGGTTACAAATTTAAAGTTTCCTTGAGGGTAGAAATGTAATACCAACATAATTGAGTTTTTCATGTAAAAACTAAAAACGCAAATAATTCAGGATTTTAAATTGTACTCCCTCCATTCTAAAATAAGTGTCATCCTACACTTTGTACATAATTTAAGAAACTCTTAAATAAAGTTAGAAAATTACTTGAATATCTTCACCTAATCTTATTAAAAAAAAATTCACCAATAGTATTAATTATTTTGAGGGTAATTTTGAAATTTTTAGACAAAAAGTGCATTGAAATGTGAGAACGACACTTATTTTTAATTTTATTTTTTTTACTAAAACGACACTTATTTTGAAACGGAAGGAGTAGTATTCTCCCTATTTTATAAATACATTATTATAGGATTTAGTGACCCGTAATAGTAGTATTTCACAATAATTGAATAGGTTGAATAGGTTGCTATTCTTCCCTTCTGTTTAATAATTTGTCGAGTTTGCTGTCTCTTTGATGTCTTATCCTTATGTCATAGTAAAACACAATGGTGGACAGCTTTTATTGTCACGGCGATTATCTCAAACTCCATGGAATTCACTGCCACTCCATTCACACTTTCTCCCATGTATATTTCCTTCGCGTCATCATTCATCAACCGCATTTCTTATTTAAAAAAAGAACAAAAGTAAAAAAGCCATCAAGCTGGGCAGGACTTATTTCAAACTCGATACTTACTAGAAAAATTATACTCCTTTTGTCCCAAAATTATTATTCAGATTGAGATTTCACTTTTAGTATAATTTGAACTAGAAATGAAAACCCAAACTCGACAATAATTATGCGACGGAGGGAGTTTTTTTTTTTTTCCTATCCTGAGATCCTAACAATTGTTGTTATGAATTAATTGTTTACATTTAGATGGTTAAAATTAATATTAAGTACTCCTTCTGTCCTAAAATTATTGTACAATTTGAGATTTCACTTTTAGTACAATTTAAACTAAAAATGAAAACTCAAACTGGACAATAATTATGAGACGGAGGGAGTAGTACCTCCGTCCCAAAAAATAGTTCACATTGAATTTTCAAATTTATACTAAAAACAATGAAAAACCAAAAACTCAATATGGACTATTTTTTTAGGAGGGAGGGAGTGTAAGTTTATCAACGAACAAAAAGAATGTGAAATGTAAACATTATCTCGCTATGCTGAATTACCAATTGGAGACGGAATAAAACAGAAATAAAGTTAAAAATTAATATGCCACATTTGCAACATTTTTTTTTGAATAGTTAATTTGCAATAGTTAATTTGGAAGTATATTATATTTTAAATCCTATTTTATTTATAGGCCACCGAACAATTATTAAATTATATTTCCAGTACAATAGTTTTATTAAGGTCAGGTAAGAACTGTATAAAAGAGTATTCATTTCACCAGACACCAGCAATGGAGGCAGGCAGGTGAGTCCAGTGGCAGTAGTGAGAGATAGAAAGAGAGAGGATTAAGATTTGGGAATCTGCTTTATTTACGGGCTCTCAATCACTTCTTTTTTGCCGAAAAATCCAAAAACATTTGTTAACTTTCCTTTTTCTCTCTCTCTGCTACAATTAACACTAATTTAAGTAAAAGAAAAAAGAAATTTCAGTTTAAATATTCCTTTTGTAGAAGAAACAATCGGCAATATCTGACCTCGGATTTATAGGCTTCTGTGTCTCCATCGTCAGGAATCGAATCATCCATTATCGTATCAATCAACAACCCCCAGGTTTCTAATTTCTCTCTTTCTGCTTTTATCTTTTGTCTTACGCCATCGTTTGGTAGCTCCTTCCTTCCGTTATTGAACTTTTTGTTTTGATCAAGATTGGTTCTAGATTATTCGATCTTTGAAAAAAAAAATGGATTACCTGAATTGGGTTTACTTTTTACCCTTTTGATTGATGAAGCTGATGAGGGTTGTCTTTACATTTGATCGTGATTCGTGAATTTGCAACGTTTCAACCCCTTTTGTCTATATGTTTGGAGTTGAAAGAAATAACCTTTCTTCCTTGAAATTGTTTGGCCTATCATTCTATCACCTGGGTTGATTTAGCTCGATCATTTCATTCCACAGAAAACCCAATTTCTGGGAACGTATGAATAAAAGAAATAAGAATGTTATTTTAGGTGCGTTAAGGGCACCGACATGGTAATTTGTGGTTGGTTGCTAGCATGAATGACGTTTTCTTTTTACTTTTTGGACGGCTGACTTGGTGCTTGTTCTGGAATTTGACCGGTCAATTCAAGTAGAATGGTCTATGGATTAGTCCCTGCTTTTCTGGTGGTGGCTTCTTTAGTGTTTCTTAGTGCCACACTTCTATCTTTGTCTTCCTCAATTTCTGCAATATTAACATTGTTGGTTTTGTTTGGTCAATGCAAACCGGATGTTTTTCCGTATTTGTCTCTGGCTTTCTGGTGCCTGATTGCTAGTGTTTCTTCATGCAAAATTCAATCTTTTTTTCGATCCTCTTGCAGGTAATAACTTACATTGACTGTTTGCTTTAGGTTACATTAAGAAAGAGCTTTGGAATTATTACTGATAGAGAGAGGGTGCTGGTTCGCGAAGTGGTTTGACCTCTGCGAGCTTAGGGTCCTCTCTCATTTCCTGGGTGTATGGCTGCTGGAATCAAAATTTCACAGTTTTGATGATCCTCAATATAACAGGCTTGGAGTATATATAGTTGGTTGTATTGTGGTATCATGGGTTCTGTTTGTTGTTGCTTCCAGGATGAATGTGAAGAACTTACAAACCCGAACAGCTCATTATATCGGAACTGTATATGCCTTCGATGTTTTCTTCAGAATTGCTTCCGCTTGGTGAGTATCATAGCCACTTTTCTTCAGTTGACTTGTAATTATGCTGATACTTACCACATCATTTCCCACTTGAAATTGCTTAATTTTAGCTTGTCTAGTTGCGTTTCTTAATTGTTATGAAAGGTCATTGTATATTTTAGTGAGCAGCTGTATTGTATTTGAGCTTGTCTAGTTGTGTTATTTATGAAAGTTCATTGTATATTTTGGCGAGCAGCTGTATTGTATGTTGTGTGCAGAAGATCTATCTGCAGCTGCCCTGTGAAATTGTTCTGGACATTTTATTACCTTAGTTGTTGAAGGACATCCCCTGCATTGTCATGCTACTGGATTGCTTGTTCTACAGCATTTAGTTGGATCTTTATTGGTCTCCAATTGAGTTGACTGAAGAGCTTCTGTTTTTGTTATGCAGTATACGTCTTTGATTCACAGGGACGACCATCTTGCCATTGCTTCTTCGACTCAGGCAGCAACTTCCTTGAGTTCCACTGCATCGCTTGATAACTCTTTATCTGACATGTACCGGTCTCCTCCAAGGCCATTGCCTTATGATGCCGATCCAAGATTTTTCCGCTTGCAGCGGGATGGATTGGTATCAAGAAGGGAGAAGGGGTCAAGCCATTCCCACGAAGAGACCGAACCCCTGAGAAGAAGTGAGGTTGATGAAGATTCAGAATCACCCAGTACAGGAGGTAAATGGAATGAGTGTGCAGGTGTAGATGAATCAAAAGAATATAATTCCAGATCCTCATTGAAGCTCTCTGCAGTAAAAACGACTACTGGATTTGCACATATTTATTCGTCTTCGTCTGACGATGAAGATGTTTGTCCAACTTGCCTTGAAGGTAACACATTTCTGTTAGGTCTTGGTTTGCTTTCTGCTCTTGTTATGCAGAAGATGTAATTAATTTTCAAATCTTTCCATCACGTCGGGTCTTCCAGCTATTTTCTTTTGTGAGCCGTTTGCATGCAAATGACTCTTTACTTTAAGTTGTATTCTTCCTCTGCGTTGTGGCATTATGAGAAACAATAACTTTATAATTTTCCTTGGCTCTTTTTGGAGAAAAGAGATTATGTTGTACTGCAGTCCATCACCGGGATTAGATCCAAATGTAGGTCATTTCCTTGTTCCTGATGTAATTTTGCTATAGTCTGGGTTGGGAGAAATGTGAATCAAACACTTTGGCGACAGCTATTATATCTGTTGGATTGAAGTTATACGAGATTGCAAGAGAGTAGAGAATCTTATGTGATGACCATGTTTGTGATTCCTATGGATGTGTGGAGAATATGTTTAGTTTCTTTGTTGATTCTGGTATTTATGATTGCCTTCAGAGTATAAATTACAACCTCTAGTGGTGGGTTTGTGAACTAATGTACTTTTCTCCATGCAGAATATACCACTGAAAATCCAAAGATAGTAACCAAATGCTCGCACCACTTCCATCTTGGTTGTATATATGAGTGGATGGAGCGAAGTGATAGCTGTCCTGTTTGTGGGAAGGTAAGTTGTCACTCTTTGAACTTTGTCATCGGCATGAAATTCTGAATCTCTTGTCATGACCTGAAAATCTGTAAACTTGTAGCAGAAAATTGCATACTTGATTTTCTTGACCATGGATGTTCTCTGTATATACTTGTCTGAACATTTCCTGTTATATTGGTCTGATTGGCGAACTGGAACTTTTTATTTTAACCTAGTTAGGCCACTTCTGCATTGTTTTAAAGGCCTTAAAAAGAGAGACTGTAAGAACAATACATTGTTCTTGCACACTTTGCATAGCCTCCTAGATAATTTGGATTAGGATTATGCACATAAGCTTTAGATCGAGGCACACACTTATGTTCCTAACTAGCTTGGTTGGTTTTCAGGTGATGGCATTCGATGAGACGCCTTGACAAGTGGTCAACGAGGATGAATGCAGCACCTAGAGGCAACAAGAAAAAAGCTCACTCGGGGAGACACAGACGTGTAAAGCCACTGTAAATATCACATGCTTGAAATCTTCTAGTCTTACATAGTAAATGTAAGAACCATTGTTTGTTCATGGGTATGGGTTTAACCTGTCTTGTAACATTTCATTCTGTCCTTTTTTTTTTTAATGTCCCTAACTGTATTTCAATGGGAATACCTTCCCAGCAGCAGTTCTCTCCTTCGCATGGGAAGGATATAGATATAAGTAGGATTCAGATGAATTTGGGGAGAAGATTATGATATGGGAAAACACATGTAGAAAGCCAATTCGTGGCCCAAAATAAGGCCAACGACTGAAGAAAGAAATTTGATTTGGTTTTTCTTCTATTCCCACTCCAGAGTACTACCCCTATGGCGGAATGTTTACTGGTTCAGAATAGTCCTCGAACGTAACTGTGAAGTAGAAGTTACTTATATATTTAGGGATGGTGATGGGGGGTAAAGGAAATGTACTTGTTTCCAAACAGAAATTAAATTCTAATACAACTATCGCAACTCAACGAAGATCAGAATGAAAAGACCCGGTTGCTTACAGTGTTTTTGTATGGGATAACCGCTTGCCAACACAGAATAAGAATTGTTACAGTGGATGTTGTCAACACAATACAGGTTATAAAACACTGATGGATTCATAGTTTTGTTTAACCAGCCAGGAATCTTTCCCTTTGCTCCTTATAGTACTCCATCAGTTTTTCTCTGTCCGGTAGATTTTCCTTGATCACGGGCTCTTCCATGAACTTTTCCAGCCATGCATGTAAGTGAGGTAAATTGGTGGGCTTCACAAGTTTTATACCCACAATCTCTTCCATGCATCCAAGCCAATGAGCAAAAAACCCGAATGACAGGTCCACTGCGTTAATCGATTCGCCACCAAAAAATTTCTTGCTCCCTAAGCCTTGCTGCTCAATGATTTTCAGAACTTCCAATGACTGTTTGGCAGCCTCTTCCTTCTGTCCTTCACCAGCTCCGAGAAATTTGTAAAAGACTCGACCCTGTTTTGTTATGGCAAAAAGCCAAATGTTTGAACTATGTTTTACCACAATAATATATCAGGAGCAATTTATGCCAAGTCTATTTAGGCCTATCTGATTTTTCATTGGAGTTTTAAGGAGCATAAAATAGTGAATTGTGGAGGAGTTACCTTTTCCATTCCAAAGTTTATCCAAAATCTAGCCATGGCTTTTGCAAAAGCATCTTCAGGGAAGAGGGGATATGGCTTGGGCCATGTTTCTTCAATGTATTCCTGGATCACAGAGGACTCCGCAAGGGATTTGCCTCCATGAACGAGTACAGGAACCTTCTTGTGAACGGGATTATACTTCAGAAGTAAATCACTCTTGTTAGAGATATCTTCTTCTATGTATTCATACTTGATGCCCTTGAATTTCAGAGTCCATATCACTTTGTACACAGGGAAGCTTGGCCAAAAACCGAAAAGCTTCACTTCTTCATCCATTATTGCCTTGTGGAACTTATTAGGATAAGGGTGGTTTTTGCTCCTCTTTGTTAAAAGCTATATACTACCTTTCTTATTTGGTTTTTGGTTACACTTTTGGAGAAACGGGAATCACTTGTGTCCAAAAAAAAAAAAAAGAGAGAGAAAAGTTTACATCATTCTCATGTAGTGGGCCTCTTCATTCAACATTTTAAGGTGATGATGGTAAGTCTGATTAAGACAGAGTAACCCATCCATTGAAGTGCATCATTGTTTTACACCTCGAGGCTTTTTTGGTCCAAATTGGCAACGCGAAAGTCAAAACCAGGGCACAAAGTCACAAAAGGCACCAAGTCACTGGTAGTACGAAGAACTAGATCGTTTTTCCGTCCCGAAATTATTATCTAGTATAAATTTTAATTTTTAATTTAAATCAGTATTGTTAGACTCGGTTCGGACACCCACTCGGCGAGGAGAGAGGTCAGAGATTTTAGAGGTCGATTCGAGGAGTTCGCCTCGGATGGCATCATAATGACATAATAAATAATATATAATTATTAAATATATTATAATAATTAAAAGGCATAATCTTCATATAATTTTTTATAGTAAGTAATGTCAACAATAGTATCTTAGAATATTTAATTACATTTAAAATAAATATATTAACACACAATCTAATTATTTTTAATTAAAATTCATAAATTTAGAAGATAATCAACTTTTATTACTAATAAAATAATCAATTTTGACATATTTTAAATATGATTGCAATTTGTATGAAATAATCGAGGTTGATATGTGAGAAAAAAATAATAAAAATATTTTTATTGAAAAATGGTGCCTTTAATAAGTTGAAGTCAAAAGTTTAGGACTAAAATGGCAAATTAATTCTTAAAGAAAAAAGTTATTAGGTCATTGAAGCATAAAAGGAAAATATTAGGATCGGGGAAGAGAAAGAAAAACTCGAAAAACGAGAGAAAAAAGTAAAAATTTGGTCAAAAGAAGCAAAAATCAGCAAACCCCAGATCGATCCAGTTTTGTCCGGTTTCCAATTCACTCGGGGTTTTGACCGAGTCAAAGATAAGGAGTTTTTCAAGTCATTCGGCTCGGTATGCAGTTCGGTTCCCGATTTAACCAGTTGAACCGGCCGGTCAGAGTAGAGTCCAATTGTACTAAGAGTGAAAATCTAGAGTGGACAATAATTTTGGGATGAAGAGAGTACATTTATTTATTTCTTTTTCTTGATGAGAATTTGAATTGTTTGAAGTAAGATGTGAGCAGATAGAAAAAGGGGTGTATCCCAATCATCTTAACTCCAGAATCAGGAGTCATATGACTCCATACATAGGTTCAACTCTGCAGCTTCTTATACTCATGGATATATACATTCAAAGTGCAAAGCTTTAGAAACAATTCAGGCCTGAATGAGCAAAAAGGGAAAGAAAACAAGTATATGAGCTCAGTTATATTATTCTAAACAATGCAGAACGATCTGACATGGGATACCCTATTTACCAAAGCAAATGTAAGCTATGAACTAATATTTAGTTTGAACTTCTAGGGCGATCAACCTGGATGGTTCACAACTTAGGGACAAAAGACATGGAGTAATAGTTCCATTTGCATTTACAATTAATATATTCAATCTACCAGGAAACTTGCCCTGATCTTCTTATTGTACTCCATCAGTTCTTCTTTGTCAGGGAGATTCTCCTTGATCACTGGCACTTCCTTGAAATTTTCCAGCCACGCATGCAGACGGGGTAAGTTGGTTGGCTCAAGAACTTTTACTCCCACCACTTCCTCCATGCATTCATACCAATGAACAAGCCAGCCGAATGACAGGTCCACCGCGTTAATCGATTCGCCACCAAAGAATTTCTTGCTCCCTAGTCCTTGATCCTCCAGGATTTTCAGAACTTGCAAAACCTGATTTGCTGCCTCTTCTTTCTGTTCTTGACTGGCCCGGAAATAGGAGTAGAAGACTAGACCCTGGGTTATGGCAAAAAGCAAACTGTTATTAGTACATATAACTTGAAATTGCTAAAATACTATGAGGAAGACTACCTTCTCATTTCCAAACTTTATCCAGAATCGAGCCATGGCTCTTTCAAAAGCATCTTCAGGGAACAAGGGATTTGGGTGGGGCCATGTATCTTCTATGTATTCAAGGATGACAGAGGACTCAGGAATTGGTTTTCCACCATGAACAAGCACAGGGACCTTCTTGTAAACTGGATTATGCTCCAAAAGCAAATCACTCTTGTTAGAGAGATCTTCTTCTATGTACTCATACTTGATGCCCTTCAGTTTCAGAGCCCAGATCACCTTATACGCAAAAAAGCTTGCCCAGTTACCGTACAGCTTCACTTCTTGATCCATGAACACACTCAACTCACTCTTTTACGTTCTAGATGGAATTCAAGGTGAGGTGTGGATATTTCTGCATAAGTATAGTCTAATTTTGGTCCAATTTGGCAACTCAATTAGGTGGAAACAAAGTCAAGAACAACACAAAAAGACTTAAAAGATGAGATGAAATATGAAGCCAATGGTCACTGTGAAATCATATAATTAACTGATTAATGTAGGACTTTAAGCAGTTGAAATGTAGCAGAATGAATCGCTAATGCGAAAGGACTTTGTTGCAAGACGTTTCAACGCTTCTGATTAAGACGTGGGTGGTCGAATGCATAAAAAAGTAGTACATCGCCTTCGCTTTAAACCTTTTTTCTTTGTAGAAACATCATGTCTTGTCTCATTGCTGGAGAAAAAGAAGAAATATTGGAGGGAAGTTGCCTAAACCACATGATCTAGGGTCTCTCGAAATCATGGTACCCTTTCGACTTATTTTAATAATCCATTTTGTCGAACTAAAATAGCAAAGTAGACTAACATGGAAAGGAGGAATTATATATCAGCCGTGAACTCCTGAAGCTTTTCCTTGTTAGCAAAGCAGATTCAGTAGGTGTAGGTCAGAAAGAAAAGGAATGTGTCAATCATCTAAAAGCCTTACAAACTTGAGAATCAGGGAGACATTTCGCTCGACACGACTAATCTGTCTTCTTCTACATACCTGTACTTGATTCCCTTGAGTTTCAGAGCCCAGATCACCTTGAAAACATAAAGAGCTTCCCCAACAACCGTGAAGCTTCACTTCTTCATCCATATCTGAAAAAGTCTCTTACACTTTTTTCTCAAATAAGTTGATTCGAATTTGGCATATTTGTGTGTTCATTTTCTATAAATTAGATAGCTTTATGGCAAGAATCATTTAATACCTTACATATGCAATTAAAAATGGTCATGGTTAGTGAAACGCGGCATTAGGACAGAGGATATATATATTGATAACATTAAATTTATAGGAAATCAACATCTTGATCCAATTTGATTATTCAACAGGACGATGACACAGAGTCATGGAAGGCCATAAAAATGCCACAAAGATAAAAGTCTCAATAGATTACGTAAACACTTTAGTACAGATTGCGACATAGAAGAAAAACATGTGTCAAGATTCACATCAGTTTTGCTGTACACAAATTTTCCTTATTTTCATGCAAGCTTAGAAGCTTCAAACTTGGGATTCTTTCAGGTGTGGCTTTCCATAAGTGCGGAACACATTATGTTTGGCCGTTGATTGCCAACCGAATGAAGAAGTCCTGAATTAGTCTACCCGGAAACTTGCCCTGACCTTCTTCATGTGGCCCAACAGCTTTTCTCCGTCCGGGCAATTTTCCTTGATCAAGGGTTCTTCCTTAAAATTCTCCAGCCATGAATGTAAACGGGGCAGACTGGTCGATTCAATAACTTTTATACCCAACACCTCTTCAATGCATTCAAACCAATAAGGTAAAAAGCCGAAAGAGAGGTCCACTGCGTTAATGGATTCGCCACCGAAAAATTTCTTACTCCCTAGGCCATGTTCTTCCAGGGTTTTCAAAACTTCCAACACCTGTTTCGCTGCTTCTTCTTTCTGTCCTTGACCAGCTTTAAAAAATGAGTAAAAGACTAGACCCTGATATGGCAAAGTAAGATGCAAAATGTTATTTTTGCTTCTCAATTATGTATGTACATTTACCAAAATTGCAAAAAACACAACTCATTTCACACAAAAACCGTAAACTAGTGTAAAATCAAGATTACCTTCTCATTTCCAAAGTTGATCCAAAACCGAGCCATGGCTCTATCAAAAGCATCCTCAGGGAACAGGGGATATGGCTGGGGCCATGTATCTTCTATGTATTCAAGGATGACAGAGGACTCAGGAACTGGTTTTCCACCATGAACAAGCACAGGGACCTTCTGGTAAACTGGATTATACTTGAGAAGCAAATCGCTCTTGTTGGAGAGATCTTCTTCTATGTACTCATACTTGATCCCCTTCAGTTTCAGAGCCCATATCACCTTGTACACATAATTGCTTGGCCAAAAACCGTGAAGCTTCACTTCTTCATCCATGATATGATGATATTCCACTCAATTCTACTTTCTGCCTAAGCAAATTTTCTTTTGTAAAACTTCAGTGGCTTTGGTTTACAAGTGCACCATTTTCTTTTATAATAATACAGCATTTTAAAATGTAAACATCATTCAGTACTCAGACGTGTGATTACAGCGGTCATGATTTTAAATTTTTCCACTGATATTCTCTATCTGCCGTATTTTCAACGTCAATTCATTGGTTATGAAAACGAACTGTTATGGTCAAATTTGGCAACTCAATAGTATGAGGACACATGGTCAAGAACAGCATCAAAGACCTATCAATAGTGACTGTCCTAACTGAGAGAAGTTCAGTATAAGATTGCTACGTAACAAGAATTTTGGGATGCTAAAAGGACTTTAGAAGTACTCCAACCTCGAAAAAGGGAAAAGGACAAGATTTCTTAGACATTCAGAGTGAAGGCTCAAGCAGTAAAACAGTAGCAGGCCTTAGAATGAGTAAAATGGTAAAGGCAGATTTAATGATTCCACCCTGAATGAAGGCTTAAAACAAGAAGTGCATTTATGACATTTGGTTCCGGCTTGCCAGACTGAAAATGGTGGAGATTAGAAGATTGGATCAAAGATGTGACATTTTGGTTATAAGCTAGAACACAAGGTGTAATGCTGCCAGTATGGATTTTGACGGGATACATAGAGTGATGTGCATTGATGTTTGGTCATTGAGAAGAACGAGCAAGATTAGCCAACGGGGAGCTTTGGATTCTCTTCATCGTTGTGCGAAATTTGATTAAGATTATCTACCTAGAGGAGTTAATCTACTAGAAAATGGAACTCATTGTTCAGAATTCGGAATAACATTTTGCGACTAACAGTGTCTACTGAAACCATTAGCTACTACTAATACTATTGGTTGTTGTGTCAGTATCTCAACTGCAACATTGAACATTCTAGTCGATTATCAACCCTAGCGACTTAGTTTAGTCCACTTTAGCGACTCATTACAATGAGGGCGAAATTATATGGCAATCAGATAAAAGATATAGAAGTCAATGATCAAACCGAAACACCATCAGTGATTAGCAAAACCTATATCGGCATTCACGCATACATAGTTCTACTATGAGCAGACAAGGCTCCAACTGAAATTATTTTCACTGAAAGGTTCAAGATACATATGACATACACAGAAAGTCGGAAAGTAGTGTGAATGTGGCCTTCGAGAGTTCAAGTTCCAGTAGCAATTTGAAAAGCTCTCAGAAAACTCTCAGAGCCCTGGCCACCGCTCAATGTGTACTTCCCATTGATCTGCAAAAGTAACATCATACGTTAGGTACTACATGATATGGTATTTGTTATGGTGGATCTAAGTAAGGGAGTTCAACTGGCACAATTTTCCCTTACCAAATAATGAGGAACCCCTGATATATCGGATGAGAACTTCTGAAAATCCTCCTCAACCTTCAGGGCGCCGAAATGGACAATATGTCAGTCATCTTATTTATATTCAGGGAACATGGGAAACCAATGATGCAAAAGATGATTGCAGACAATTAATTTTAGCATAAAGAGATTTGACAGTTAAGTCAATGAATGGCAAAATAGAAGGGCTTCACCAACAACCCAGAATGATATTGCAACAGAAACTTAGTGCACTATGAAGTGAGAGATAGAATACTGGTTGAAATGAATGCAAGATTTCAAAAGCAGTAACATGAACAAGCAAGAAAAAATCAGTGAACTTTGCTGATTCAATTGGACAAAACTTTCTATCTTTATAGTCTTCTATGGTGATCAAGTTATAGAAGAAGGCATCTTGTTCAAGAGTATACCTCCTTTGCTCCATTGTTTGGATTGGCCAGAAACTCAGCAGCTCCTTCTACCCCAACCTTTGCAGCAGATGCCACAAGGAACTCCCTAAAAAATGCACAGAAAGTAGATATAAGTATGTCAGGCGGTATATCAGTCACCCTTAAAAATAAAAATGAGCTCGATCACATTCATGTAGTCTAGACAGTGGCATGAGAAGAAGTATTAATGGAACTCCCACTTAATTCAGACCTACTTGTCTCGGATTTCAGAACTCAATATTATTTTTGTTTTTAAATGTCCAGATAAAAAAGATGGAAATTACAAACCAAATGCATACGGAGATGGCTCTATCACAAAGTAATAAACGGTCACAGCCGGACAAAAGGTCACATTGTTGAGAACAAAAAGAAGTGTACTTACTTGTCACCTATAAACTTTCCTTCAACAAAGTAGCCATTAAAAAGCGCCTCAGCGAGTTTATGTTGCTTGTCATCCCCCTGTTGCCCGGCAAACCATAGAAGCCTGTGGCTCTCCCAACTACTGCCACTGGAGGTCTAAAACATGTTAGCAGTGTGCTCAAGGATTCTTCAAAATTCCAAGACAACACAGTAAAAGCAAATTGAACTTACGTAAGGCCATCCAAGTCATACACCAAACCCAAACCCTTAAAAACCTGCATATTTTCAGAGGTAAGTGATCCTATACACAGAAAACAAACATGTGAATTTTATTCAAACAAAAGAGGATGAAAGAGACCTCGGTCATTCTAGTTACGATTTGGTCATATCGAGATCCAAATTTCTTCCTGAAGAACTCTTTCTTGTTGACGCCTTCTTTGGGAGCAGAGCGGTCCAAAAAGAAGGGATGCCACTTGAGCTGCAAGGTTGTGGTTTTCACAGATGAAAAAAAAAAAAACTGATTATGTAGACATGTACCATAAGGACATTGAGAAGAAAGTTTCCCAGCGCAACATAAACAGAAAGTCGAACCTTGAAATCGTATTTATCCTGAGTTGAAGCAATGGCTTTATCGAGATTCTTTTTTCCCACAAAGCACCATGGACATACACTGTCGGAACTAATATCGATTTGGATCAACTTCTTCCCACTGTTACCAGCTGAGCTAGCCATTTGCTTGATACTTCAATATTACACATTTAAGTCCTCAGTCATTTCGTGTTGCAGGAAGCAAGAAGCAAGAAGCAAGAGACAATTTTGCAACAAAATGACCAACAAAGAGCTAATTAATCGTAACTACTATCCAGAACATCATCTACTCAACATTGGCAGCAGTGTTTCTGAAGGTGCAGAAGTAGCCCAAAAAACAAACGTATCATAATGACTTGAAAATGGGAATTTTCTCAAACTTGGAGATTTCAAGCTTCCATCTTTTTTAGCAGAGTCTCCCCGGTTCTACCTACCCCAGAACCAAAATTAAATGAAAAAAAAAAGGAGATCCTAAATCTTTGGAGCAACTAGTGATCAGAAACTCTCAGAATCCCAATAAAATTCACTTGCATACTTCAATTTTGACCTAACTACAATCCAAACGCTAATCCATGTTCATACTTTCATGATACTCCACCGGGATTTACCGACAAAAAATGCAGATTGATAAGGGAATCATCGCCTTATCCAAGTAATAACAATTTCGAAGGACAAAAACCCAGAAAAGCAAAAAAGAAAAAGGATAAAATGAAACCAACCTGGGAATTGCAGAAATCGGATACCTCTGGAGACTCAAAAAACGCATGCCCAGGTTTCTGTTTGACGTTGAGCTTCCAATTTATAGGATTATATAAGAAAAGAATGACAATGCCGGCTGCCCACCAAAATTTGAAAAGGAGACACAAGAACCAGAAAAGTCTAATGCAAAAATGTATATATTTTTTCCAATTGAATTATTACTGTGGAACTTTTGAATGGCGCGATAGTCACACTTCTCCGAATAATTTAATCTGCAGCTTTTTTTTTTTTTTTTCCCCAAAAAAATCTTCATGGAAAATTCTTTCTTGAGGGTTTTTCATTGTTGACTTTTTCCCCCTACGTTACGGATTCTAGAACGGATAGGCAATGCACATCATGAAAGGTAAAAACAGTCTTCAATAAAAATTATGGAGTTATGATAACAATATTACTTTCTCAGCCGTTGATATTTTTTTCACCGATGTAAGATAATGATATCATCGGCATTACCAAAAAAAAAAAAAAACATATGTGTGTTTTTGTTGTACTCCCTCCATCCGTTCCAAAATTATTGTCCAGTTTGAAATTTCACTTTTAGTATAATTTGAACTAAAAATAAAAATTCAAACTGGACAATAATTATGGAACGGAGGGAATATATACGTGTGAGAGATGGAAGTGTAAAATGTGGAAGCCACGGTATGTCTGCTAGGATTTGAGATTAAAAACGCCACATTACTTCTGATGGCATTATATAGAATCAAACGAAAGAAAAATGTTTCTAATTGATGATTTTAAGTTTTAAACTGCGTATTTTGTTCTGAGTAGATTGAGTTCCTGGAATACGGCAAAGCAAATGCTGTTCCTTATTATTTTAACTGTTGGAATCTATCAGACTAGAAATTAAAGTACTCCTCTTGTCTTTATTATAAATCATTTTGATTCATCTTAATTTATTTAGCATGTGCTTCTAATTGAAAATAAAACTTTAGAAATACAATATATTTTTTATATTTATTGTGTTCTTCTAACAATTATAAAATATTTTTAAATTTTTTATTTTCAATTAAAAGAACATAATTAATGAAACTTATGACAAATCAAAATGATTTATAATAAAAATCAGAGGAAGTATTTTTAAGATAAACCATGGAGAATATAGTAAAAAAGGTGTTAATTCAGTCTCAAAAGAAAATATCACATTTGACTTTTGAAATTTGTACAAAAATAGCACAAATATCACAACTCAATGTGATTATTTTTTTTTTTTTTCAGACATAAAGAGTACAAGAAAAGATTAAACGACACATTAATTAATAGTTAAACAACCAAGGACTAGAAAATAGGATTATTTGCATATATTTTACAGTCGTCAATAATGATTAATTTTTATTTTCTCTTTTATTTATGTGGAGAATCTGATGAAAATAAGTATGAACCACGATACCATATGTTTCAAATTCCTAACAAAATGGATTACAGAATAACCAGAGTGTGAAAGGTCATAAGTACTATCAAGTGATTATACAATTTACAAAGTTGCTCCAACTTTTTATTGATTTTTTTGGGTTTCTAGTCAAAAGTTGAGTGCAGTAGATTAAAGTCAAAGTCAATGGTAATCGAATTTACTAGAAAACCATTACGGGCAGATGGGCAGCGGGCAAAGGGAACTGCACCGTAATCTCGGAGGTTCGCGCGTGTGAAGTAAAGATACCCCCACGCGCATGACCGGGGCACCGACCACCTCGTTCATTTCCCGGAATCTTTGGAATTGCATCCGCTGCAGCATCTCTCGTCCCCGATTTCTCTGTCGCTTTTTCTTCCTTCCCCCACGCCCTTATTTTGGAACAATTTTTCAACACCCCATTAAATTTAAGCTTCTCAAATTTGCATCATTTGCTGGAAATCAAGAAATTTATCTCAGGTCAGTTTCTATTTTGCTTGTTCTTCTCTCAAATGTTTCCAATTGCGTTTTGATCAATTTGAAACCATTTGAAGCAGATATAGCAGCTACATAGTCTTGTTTGTTTTAAGTGCAGTAAAGGGTTGTGGCTTTTCAGTCAAGTTCTTTTGTTTGATTGGATTTTCTAAAAAAAATGCTAACTTTCCTATTTTGGTTTTGATTGATTGTTTGATTGATTGAAGGAAATGGAGATTGATGAGATATTTGGGGAGTCAAGGCCAGTGAGTCTTCCCACAAAGAGTGCTATTTATGTATGGGGTTATAATCAATCGGGCCAAACGGGTCGGAAAGGTAAAGAGAGGAGTTTGAGGATTCCAAGACAGCTGCCACCGGAGCTTTTTGGTTGCCCGGCTGGAGGGAATTCCAGGTGGTTGGACATAGCTTGTGGTCGGGAGCACACTGCTGCTGTTGCTTCTGATGGATCATTATTTACTTGGGGTTCGTTCCATTTTCCCTTCTCCTCTTTTCAGCTTCAATGCCATTGTGTCCTAATGGTTCGGGTTTGAACTTTCCTTTTCGGGTGCCAATAGGATCAAGATAGAATTTTGTTAGGTAGCAATTGGTATTTAAGTAATGAGTCTGTACAGGTATCCATATCAAATATTGCAACATGATCTAGTTTTCTCTTTGCAAAGGTGTTTCTGTTTCCCCCTTCTTTTGATGTTGATCATTTGAACAGTGGTAGTTTTTCTGCAAAGTCATCGCTCAAATTAAATTCCTTTCTGAATGTTTGCAGCATTACCATATTCTTCTTGGCTACTGTGTTTGAGTAGCCCTCTCTTTCTTGCTGATTTAAAGTTACCTGCTGTCTTCTTCAAGCACTTTCAGTTATATCCAATGTTCTCTAGTCCTTTTGATTGGGTCTGATTAACTGGATATATCCCAGCTACAATCATCTGAAGTCAACGTGTAGTTTTCACCTATATGCTCCCAGCAGTGAATGTCTTTTTCCTTTGTGTCCTGTATCATATCAATGAGTTGGCCATCACAATTTCTCTTGTATCAAAATTGTGCTACTTATTCTTCTATAAATTCATATTTTCTTTTGATCTCCTCGTCCCTGGATGTGTAATTTGATAAATCATCTTTTGTTATTCATCGATGGTCATCTTTGATCTTTTCAATAGGAGCCAATGATTTTGGTCAGCTGGGGGATGGAACTGAAAAGGGTCAGAAACACCCGAAAAAAGTGAAGCAACTACAATCTGAATACGTGGTGTCGGTGTCGTGTGGTGCGCATTGCACTGCTGCTATTGCAGAACCACGTGAAAATGATGAAACCAAATCCGGGAGAAGGCTTTGGGTTTGGGGACAGAACCAGGTAATTGTTATTTTTAATCATTGGCCATTTTTTTCCCAATAGAATATGCTTATGCTGAGGATAGATTGTTTTCATGTTTTTAGGCTTCTAATTATCCACGCCTATTTTGCGGAGCTTTTACTCCAAATACGGTGAGGCCATGACTATGTATGTTTTCTTTTCTTAATTTATTTTTCTTGGTTAGGAATTGTTTGTTTCATCGTTATTTCTTTTGTATGATCCAGATTATTAAGCAAGTGTCCTGTGGAGCTGTTCATGTGGTGGCTTTATCAGAAGATGGTTTGCTACAGTCATGGGGTATAGTACTTCGGCTCATTAAGCAGTTTGAAGTTTATTTATACTTCTATAAATTTGCACCCCCTTTCAACTTGATTTGTGTTGCATGACTGATTTTGGCTTCTTCTCTCTGTGTTTGTTACACTAACATTAGTTTGTTAGACATTAACTTATTCTAACTGTTAGATCTTACAACTGTAGGAATGGAAACATTGTAATCTTACTCTACTATGGTACCCAGTATTGATTAGATTTTTGTTAAATGCTCTGGCAACCAGGCTATAATGAATATGGTCAGCTTGGCAGAGGTGTAACATGCGAAGGCCTGCAAGGGGCTCAATTAATTAAAGGTTATGCTAAGTTCCTTAACGAAGCACCTGAGCTTGTGAAGGTTTTCCAAGTGTCATGCGGGGAGTACCACACTGCAGCTATCTCAGAGGATGGTGAGGTGTAAGTGTTCTAAAGGATCTTTTTTGGGGGATACGAGTTCACTAAAAAGCATGACAATTGTGGTTATCCGCATGGCACTCATTGGGTAGAGGAAAGTCTTGGAAAGAGATTAAAACCATAGAGTGTGGTTGTGGGAAAGGGCGCTGGAATGTAGGATGATTCTTGCATATTTTATATTTGTCTATGGGCCCCTTAGCCTTTGTGCTTGTTTATCTGAAGCTTGATAGTGCCATTTGTGGTTTTGGTTTACTGCCCAAAGATTAGTTAAAGTGGATCCAAATTTATTTTCTTCTGTGTTTTTTATCTGATAATGTTAATTGCTTTGCTATTAAAGTGATCCATTCGGAGGTTTGTAGTTATGATGGCTTTAGAGATACTTAAGACTCTCTAGGAAGTGTGTCAAGACCAATAATATAAGTAGCAGTTTTAGATATCCGCTCTTATCATGTTCTTTCTTACACATGATTTACTTTTATAATTCTACAGTCGTTTAATTTTCAATTTACAGATATACTTGGGGCCTAGGAAGTATGGGTCAACTTGGGCATGTTTCGCTTCAATCTGGTGACAAGGAACTGTTGCCTAGGCGTGTTGTTGCCCTTGATGGTGTATTCATTAAAGATGTTGCATGTGGTGGCGTGCACACATGTGCACTGACGGCTAAAGGGGCTCTTTATGCTTGGGGAGGAGGTCAAGCTGGACAGCTGGGCCTTGGGCCCCAAAATGGATTCTTTTCTTGTTCATCGAATGATGCTGTAACGATGCTGCGTAATTTGCCTATCTTGGTCATTCCAAACGGTGTTCAACTTGTTGCATGTGGCCACTCTCACACTCTTGTTTCTACTAGAGATGGAAGAATCAGTGGATGGGGTTACAACAGCTATGGTCAGGCAGCTAATGAGAAATCTACTTATGCTTGGTTTCCGTCTCCTGTGGATTGGTAAGTTGTATGTGATTTGATGCCTGAATTGATAACGTCTGAATAGCTCTGCTGAAGGAAACAAAAAAAAAAAAAATGTAGGTGTGTGGGCGAAGTTCGGAAGCTGGCAGCTGGTGGTGGTCATTCAGCAGTACTGACAGATGCTTGTTCCTTGAAAGAGCTTTGCGAGTTTAAGCTTGCAGATTGCGTAACTCATTCAAATGCTTCTGAGATTGAGGATGTTGCATCAAGAACTGGATCAGATGCTTTAGCTCGTCTCTGTGAAAAATTAAGGTAGACCCTTTTAACTGTGAGTCAGTCCGACTTAGGTCCTTTTACTTTAAAATGGGACTGGTATCAGTCACCATTTTGTCTCTGGGAATGATTTCTGGACTTAATATAGTTTTGGTTCACATATACAATATGAAATGAAGGTAGCTTATTTGCAAGGAGATGGCATCTTTCTACCGTGGGCATTTGTCTGATGAGTCTTTCATCATTACTTTCCGTGCTCGCATATATAGCTTTGGAGAAACTAATGCCCATAATTATTGTCTATTACTCATTAAGATTATGATCAAATCAAAAAAAAAAATTGTTCGTTTTGCCCTTCTATGTTCAACCTTTTCAGGCCTATTGGTTGTTTTCCATTAATTGAGCTGAGATCTCAATTTATGTTGATGGCCAACAGTACATTTTGATGCTTATTGAAATCTATATCTAGGGTATCAATCTTGTAGTTAAATCGGACTTACTGACATTGCCTTCTGCATTTTCTATATATTGTCATTCACTGCATAGGTTTATTGCAACTACTTGACATGTCTGCATGCGCAGGACACATCTGCGTGACGTTGGTGATTGCAGCGATGAAGATGATGACGACAACAAATTCAAGGGCTGATTATATCCCAGAATATCAAATATAAAGTAGTCAATTGTTACTGTATCTATATCTAGCTGATTTTGAGAATTATTCATGGCGACATTCCCCCATGAAATGTTGTATTGTACTCATTGGATAGATAAAAAACCCTATTTATTAGAACCCGATACATAAATGTAGAACGGGTCCCCTAGATTGGTGACTAGTTCGAGCACAAGACTGTAACCATCTCATAATCTCATGTAATTTACATAACTGAACTTTCCAGAAGTCAGGATTCCGGAACACTGGTCTGTATTCTGCAAGTTGTAATAATAATATAAATGTGCTCTTCACGGAAGCGATTGGAACATTTCATACTACTAGGAATCCTCTATTCAGGATATCATATACTTAAAGATTCATTTAAGCAAACATCCTGCCCCAAGAAAAAGAGGCCTACATATAATGCTGCTTCATACTATTATAGCAGATGCCAAACGTATGTAATTTACAGACAGGCATTTTATGGGTTTCTTTTATCAGCACACTTAGAAACGTTATTTGGACCTAATCTTGTATTTTTACCCCTTTTTTTTTCTCAAAACCCTGAAAATTCCCCTTCCAGCTTGATGAAATGGTATAAGCCATATTCTCTCAGTATTAATTGATCCGACGAACCATCCATGGTAGCACGAGTGAGTTTGTGGTGGCGCCGCGGGGAATATGACCTCCGCCTCCTCCTCCTCCTCCTCGTACTTCCTCCTGTCCGGCTCTACTTGCCCGGAAAGGTCCACTGTTACAGTACAAGAGTTAAGGATTAGACTTTCAATCCCTGATGATCAAATGCTGAGTCTCAGACTATCAGATGATTAACCCGATTGTTGTATGAAATGAGGTTTTCTTTGTTAGACTCGAAAATCATTTGATTTTCATACAACACGACGGTATCAATAAGGATTATAGAGTTTGTACCCAATGGTTAGGGATGGAGGAGGATCTTGATCAGGGAGTAGAGGGCCGCGGGAGCTTTGAACAAGACGGGGTTGCTCCACCTGTGGCTGTGCCTGCTCAGCATCCTTCTTCTCACTATCCTTGAGCTATTTTCCACAGTAAAAGATCAAGAACAGTAAACTTTGGGAAATCAGTGTCAGAGATTATTAAGGTCTTTAACTCATAATGAAGTGAAAACTAATAAACCTCGGTACAGCTAAATGGTGGGTTTTACCTTCTTAACCAACATTGTATGTTGCTCCTGCAGTGCCTTCTCCTGTGACAGTTTTAACACAACTGATAATTTATCTTCTCAAAATTGCCTAAATCTTTGAGCTAAAACCAAAATTTTGAAGAAGAGAGAACTTAAAACTTAAAAAGAACCGTATACGTACCTTCTTTTGAAGTGAAGAGATGGATTCATGCATCACTTGATTCTGTGACAATTATGAAATTGATGTTAAAAAATCAGAAGAAACAAAAGCTGGTTAAAACAAAAAAAAAAAAGAAAAAAAAGAGCCCCTATAGGGATTTTATTCCACCCGTCTCACTTTAATAATCTACTCGATGGATTAGAACGAGAAAAGAAGTATGAAATTCATGGTTCTCCCACATTATCACATCATTAACAAATTACCTTCCTCATTCTGATTCGCTTCAAAGCAGTGTCAAGCTGTTGCTCCAAGCTCTGGAGTTCCCTCAAGCTGAGTGGATCCAGATCCTCTCCCACATAATGCCTAGCAAGAAGAACAGAATTCCAATGTTGATATCTCTAGTCTTGTCAAAGTAATTTTTACTAGAAAATTATGGATTATGAGTAAAACACAAAATGGCTTAGCTAGATGTTCAAATGCAGTATATGAATATAAGAATTCGTAAAACATGGATACTTATGAGGATTGTAGATACTTTATATTTCTTTGTAAGAGGTCAATTTTGGATACGAGCTTTGGGTACTCCAGCGACCAATTGTCCTGCACAAACAATCCCTCCCCAAAAAAAGCACAGAGATTAGCCTTAGACAAAATGAAGAATCTGGAAGGATAACAAAAGGGAAGATATGGATGCATACATAAATTAAATGAAGTTAGAATGATTAAAAAAAATATTCCTGGATCAAATACAGATCAGAGGTTTGCTTCTGATTGTATTTTAATTTGATAGTTGCAGAAATTAACTAAGAAACTAACTTTGTACCCAACTAAGAAACCAAAAACTATAAGAAACTAAAAAAGAAATTAACTAAAGAAACTAAGGTTAAATAAAGTACCTGTTGTTGTAGTTGTTGTTGATCGGAGTCATCACCAGACAGCCTTTTCTCAGCAAATGAGTATCTCTCGTATCTTTCCAAGATCCTCTCCATACTACAATTACATACACCACTGTTTAAACAAAGATGTAAAAATATATTCATTCTTTTCTTCTCATTTTAATAATAGATAATATGTCAAATTATAATACTACATATATTAGGTTATTTGGAAGAATATCTATTGTTTTGTAATAAGCAAAGATACAAGCACAGTAAATCTGAAAATTATTTTCCGTAGGAGAAACCAGAAGCTTAATTTTGGAATTTTTCAATAGGATCTGGGTATATTAGTGCTATGATTATATTCTATCACATTCAAAGGGTTAGCAAAGTTAAATTATTTCAAACATCAGGAAAATGTAACAATAATGACAAATTCTCGAGAGAAATATCTTTCAACTATTTCAAACATCAGAAAAATGTAACAATATCACTATATAAGGAGTGCCACAACTAAATATCACTCTCAAAGAATGGTAAAGTTCATGTCTTTTGTTTATTGCATAAGTTAGTGTTGTATATAAGTATTGCTTCCCTCAGGTCTCAACACAGACCTCTTTAAGCTAGGATATTTCTCAGTATATATTATACTCCCCCCGTCCCAGAAAAATATTCCACATTGAGTTTTTAAATTTGTACTAAAACAAGTATAAATCTCAACTCAAAATGAACCATTTTTTCAGGACAGAGAAATGAAAATTTGATATCAGAGTTATTATGTTCCAATCTTACCATAAGAAAAGTTTTAAAGGATTTCACACGTAGAATTGTCAAGAAAATCTTTCTGACAGTGTCAACTTCCGTTTTCTCCAAAGGTTGAAGAAGTTACAAGTTTATTTTGAAAATCACGGGTCAGATAAAGAGGTCAAAGTTTTCACGGAAGCAAAGGATTACAAATGTTATTTTGGATGTGCTAATTCAATTGAAGAATGTTTAACAAATCATTTTGGAACGTTACCACATGCTAAAAGATAGTATTTATTTACTGCTTTAGACTTTGTTTTAATTACATGATGAACTAACTAAACAAGCTATCAACAAAGAATTGGATTTCACAAATCAAAGACAATAAAAGTCAATGTAAGAACTATATAAACTAAAGAACCCGTGCAATCTATCCAGTGTGTGCCAAGTCTGAATTCTTCCCAAGAAATCGATTAAAAATATTTTGGTACTCCGTACTTCCTCGATTCCAATATTATATATAATTGTCAGTTTTATCAATTATCAAGTTTAACAAACAAATATAATTATTGTTCAAAGCAATCCCTGACCCTTATATTGATTCAAATGTAAAACGACTACATATATGGAGGCAAAATTTCTGAAGAAAAAGTTTCAAATATTCATGTCTTTGTTCATAGTAAATTGAAAGTTTATATGATGAAAGAAGATATGAACTTGAGAAAAATTCATCATTTAGTTGAGAAAACCAATTTTCTCACTATGTCTAAATTTCTTTTTATAGGTTTACACATACGAAATGGAAGGAAAATTAATTATTGTGGAGCTACAATTGCTTGTAGGACACATAATACAAGTGCTTTCCTCTGTATATTTTATCGTTGTCTTTATTTTTCACTAAAGCTCCAATAGTATATGAAGGTTAGAGAGACGGACTAATTTCTTGTATTTGTCATCCAAATTACATATGTTCATATTAGTTGTGTAATTCTTAAACCAAAAAAAAAATAAAAATAACAGTATCATCAGTTATATATACTGCTTAAATCCTAAAATAAAATTGATTAACTTTCCTACCTGCCGCCTATACTTTCTTATTATGTACATTGAAACTATTTGGAACAATGACCTTCTAACTTGTAAAGAATTAGAGAATAGAAATCGTTTTATCGCCGCAACTAGCCACAAAAACTCGGAATTTCCTTGGAAGTATATTATTTCACCCCGCATCTCAAAAAATAGTTAAACTTATTAAACTAAAACAATACAACGAATATAGCATTTTTTTTATCGAAGGGAGTACAAGGGTTATATTATTCAGTCTAGAGGGAGGAATTGGGAAGAGTAAAAATGCAAAGTCATTCTTTCATTGTTATATATATTGAAACCAAATAAAATGTGGGTAAGTGTTAGTATATGTTGTTAAGTGAGTTTCATCATTGTTCGTAATTTATAATCAATCATTTTATAACTGTCATAATGTAGAATCAATCATTTCTTGTCTGCAACTAAAACCCACACTATCTTCAATTGTAGCTAGCTTGTTTGCTATATTCTCTCAGTGACACTAGGTGGACCTAAATACATTACAAATTTTGTTTTTACTGACCACAAAGGGAATCATATTTATTGTGTTTCATTTTAGGTGGTGTTGTGCACGAATTCATATATGTTACATACATTCAAATTAATCGATTTGATACTCTCTTCTGTCCAAATATCTCCCAACTGATTATATGTAAATATTTTTTCCCATCCAAGTAACCGGAACAGTAATGAGATAAGTATGATGTATACATGTACTACACTATTTCACAGTGAGTGGCCATTCGGATTAGCAGATTGACAAGGATTAGGATTCAGCTTTTGCAGATATGATAATGGAGAGAAAAAAAAAAAGCAAAGAAAACGTACGAGGTTTGCATGACACACCCTGAAAAAGAGACCTCAAAAGGTGGAACGACTAATGTTAAACACTTAAAAACACAGTACAGACATAATTAACCATAAAGTGATCATCAGCAGAAGACACAAGGCTCAATGGCACTTAATACTCTTAATTTGATCATACATTAATCTTTCTCAATTTTCACAAATTTATAGCTAGTTCTTTTTTTCCCCACATCACAAAAGAACTACTAGCTCTTCACCATCTTCATTAGTTTATGCCATCGAGAAAGAAAAACAAAAAGAACAAGTAACAACATCATGTGTGTGTGTAAAATAGAAGTACAAGTTTTTCAGCTTTTCTTTCAGACATTGACAAGCTATAAAAAAGGACTGATTGAATCCAGCAAGGAAAACTACACATTGGTGATTGTAGATGCTGTGGGTGAGTGTGCGTGAAAATTGAGAGTTAGCCGTACAAGACATGACTAAACCAACAGTACTAATAATAATCAGCATGGTTATTAATTGAGTGTTTTTTTTTTTTCCCTCTTCCCTTCCTTTGGCAAAATTTGAAGAAGAAAATAACTTATAGATGAAGCTGTCGCAGAAGTACTAGACATTAAATGACGACACCTTTACGTGGGGGGAATCAAAAAAAAAAAAGAAACGAAAAACATTACTAAGGAAAGAACTGGAGGAAACTTTCAGACAGACCGCTGGGTTTTTAACACTAACAGATATTATTAGAAACCAGAAGGAAAAAAAAGGAATGGTGTAGTGCGTACTGCGTACACAGACACACATACGTGGTGCATGGAAGAAGCGAAAGCTGTATGCATCAAAATAGTGTAAATATATGTAAGCACACAGTAAAAACAAAAAGACGGTACTTTTAAATCTTTTGTGAAGGGGAAAAAATTTTAAGGGGTCAGATTCATACTACCAGCATCAAAACAAAAACATCATTTCAATGAAAGGGTTACAAGATCTTTTATATTTATATTTATATTGGAAGGGAAATCAAAACAGTGCATCTTGCTAAATCAAAGAAGAAGAAGAAGAAGCTATACAAATGGCACTGAGAAAATGCAGGTTTTTTAATGAAGAAGTCTATTATATATGCTGTCTACATAATACCGGCTAAAATCATATATTGTCGAGGGTGGATTTTAATGCCGGAAAAAGAAAAATTATGTTATCTCGTGTGGATGAATCCATTTTCTTTAACTAAAAAAAAAAAAAAAGAATATTCGACAAGCTTGTATGGAATTAACTGTGGAAAGGGTTCAAAAGGGATTAAAAAAAAAAAAAAAACAAGAGATGAACTTGGATTATCAAATTATCAAAAGACTGCCAAGATTAAAAGTCAATTGCATGGAAGTTATGGAAGAGGAAAGACTACAACTGTACAATATGAGAAGTAAGGAGGAAGAACACTGTCAAACATGAATTTCCAAATCAAACACCCAATTCACCATAGTTTTTTTTTTTTTTTTAGTGGAAGAAGGCAGTTTGTGTGAAAATGGTGAAAAAAAAAAAGAGCAAAAAACATAGAGAGAAAAACCGCAAGAAACATTCTTACATACTCAAAATGAACAAGGGATCAAATATTAAAAGGAAAAGAAAAAAGAGAACCTGGATTCAGTGGAGTACTCAAAGAGCTTCCCTTTGGTAGAGAAGACGATGAGAGCAACTTCAGCATCACACAGAACAGAGATCTCATGGGCTTTCTTCAGCAAACCCGACCTCCGCTTCGAAAACGTCACTCGCCTGCTTATCTTGTTCTCGATCCGCTTCAACTGTACTCTTCCTCTTCCCATTCTTCTGTCTCTATCTCTTTTTTCCTTCTTCAATCTCGTCACAAACTATATATATATATATCTTTCTCTCTTTGCCCGGCCTTTAATGAAATAGTAAACCAACCACTTTAGCTAGCTAAGCTACAGTGCTAATAACAACTTGTTCATCATCAATTCTGATTCTCCTCCTAATATAGATTTATCAGCATCCTACTACTACTACTACTCTACCTAGCTTCCACTTCAATCCTATGGGTCAACAATGATGATCCACCAAACCCATCTACTTGAACAACAAAGAAAGAACCCTAGATTTTTATTTTTGATTTTTGTATCAGTAAGATTGGCTACAAAAGAATTCCTGGAATTTTGCAACCAGAGGGAATCGAATAAAAGTAGCAAGAAATGGAAAGAGAGAGAGAGAGAGAGAGAGAGAGAGAGAGAGAGAGAGAGAGGGATGAAGAGGAGGAAGAGAAAAAGGCTATTTGTAATTTTAGCTATGTGATAAAGAATAATAATAATAGTAACTATGTGGGGGTGAATTTGGTTTCTATTTTTGTATGTTTTAATAATGATAATCATCATAAATTAATAAAAGCACTTCCCATGGTGATATAATAGTAGCTCACAAAAGCACTCCCCCTTTTTTCTTGTTTTTTTTTTCCTTTTTATCTAACTTTGATCACCCCCTCATTTTTTTTTGTTTGTTTACGTATAGAAATACAGATTTTTAATGGTATGAAAACGAAATAGAATGACCAGAATAACAACATCGAGTCAGTTTAATATTATGATTCGAGCTCAAATTTGACTGTGAACATTTGACAATGACCAAACTAGTATGAATTTAGAAAAGTGACCTCCAACGATAAGTTCATCCGACTTGAATCTGAATTAAGTGCGACATCGTTCCATTACAATTTGATCACAAATTCAAATGTAGACATATAAAAAGTGAATAAAATGCTTGTTGGCAAAGTTGTCTTTCAAAAAATACAAAAAATCAAAACGACCTAGATTGAATTCAGATTAGTTAGGATAGTGATTTCGAATACCAGACGCTTAATATATATTATACAAAATAATGTCACAATTTATGTAAACCTAGTAATTAGGTAATGCATAAAAAAATATTCTTAAATCAATAGTAACAATAATTAAAAAGCTAAACCGTACTTAGATCTACAGTGTAGTTGAAGTGAAGTGGGGAGATAGAAGACCGGTGAGGTAAAACCAGGGTGGTTTTGAAATCTGCGCTGTCGAGCTGCTATTGGACACCCAGCTTTCTTAGTACAGAACACATGAAAGCAGGTAGGGGAGGTGGGCCCACTGTATTACACAAAATTAAAACAGTGCCGGATCATAACAGTCGTTAAGTTTAAACTGACGGCGGCATAATTGCAAGTACTTAGTAGTAGTTAGCCTCACATTTGTCATTTGCTAAAAGAAAAAAAAAAATTGACGTGCACATGGTTATTGCCAGAGACAATACCAATACGCAGATCTGACGTTTGATTGATATTTGTTGTTTCTATTTCGGGGACATAATAAAATAAAGAGAATTTTACCTCTTTTCTTCTTTTATTAATGATGATGCTAATCAGATAAAAAAAAAAAAACCAACGAATTTCTTTCCGAAAAGAACTTAAAAAGTCTATTTCATTAAATAGGAAACAACGTGTTACAAAAGATGTAGTATAATAAAGATTCTGGTCGCACCAAAATGTACTCCCTCCGTCCCAAAATTATTGTGCAGTTTGAAATTTCAATTTTAGTACAATTTGAACTTGAAACGGAAACCCAAACCGGACAATAATTATGGGACGGAAGAAGTAGTTAACAAACTAGCTATAATTATTTCACCAAAACATAATGTGAAAATTAAATGCTCAAATTAAGGGCCGATATAACTTTTAGAACAAGATTATTTTTGTTTCGCCTGTAGTTAGTTTGTATGACACTATCAAACTTAATATTTTCCGTGGTTAAATGTTAAAGAATTTAATTAACTAAAGAAAATAAAATTTCTTCTTGATTTTATAATTGATATTTTTTTTGGTCTAAAATGATTGTTTAGTTTAGTTGTTTTTTTATTTTTAGAATAACTTTGTATTCCGTAAATGATTGGTGTTGTTTAATGTACTCATTTTAGAATTGTGAATTGATAGACGAAGACTCTACTCTAAAATGACAGGAAGTAAACGAAAGGAGCACGAAGGAATAGGATGCAAGGAATGTTGAATTAAGCGACGAAAACATGAATCGTGGAATTACAGGGAACGGAATTTTTCGACTGGTTCAACCAACAATTTAAAAGCAACTTTTCTTGCTTAAAGATAAAAATTGCATATGATGGGTTTTTCATTTTTTGAGTGCAAATGGACCCATATAAAATATCCTAATTTCCCTATTTTGTGGGTACATATCTCATTTTTGCTAATTTGCTAGTCTTACATGGTATAGAGATTGTGTATCATATAATAATTACCTTTTTGAACACTTTATTGACATTACTCATTTCGTCTTAAACTAATTATTATGTTTTTCATTAAGTGAGATCACCCTAAAATAGTTACAATTAGGAACATTAAGTGGCCAATGCTCTTCTAACGGTTTTTTAATTAAACTACAACGATCATTTTTTTTTTCCTGAGAAATTACAAACATGAGTTTGTATAGATGGCCTCTCATTTTATATTTTGTCTCATTTTTCTTCTTAAATACAAAACCCAATACAAAATAAAACACTATCCGTATAACATTTTAACTTACCTTTTAAAAAATATTTCAAACATTGTTTTCACACAATTTTCTTTCACTACCGCCGGACCATCTTCACTACCGGACCGCCCCTTGCCGACGGAGGTGGTCCGGTGGTGGTGGAATAATAATATTATTTATTTAAAATAGTAGTATTTATATAAATTTTTAAATTTTCTCTCAAACCACAATTTAAATCGCATCTCAAACTCAAACAAAAAAACTAAAATAAAGAATTGTCCGTACACGCACTTAATTTTTGTGACTCAAAGAGTAAGTATTATGACAAATTACAGTAGGATTGATACATAAAAAAAATTCTAACAATGATCACTAGATTGACTTAGGCTGTCATGATCAGCAGAGGGGGGCTGCTGTTGCCGGTGGTGTCAACTGGTAAATGGACTGGAACATCTTCTGCTTTTATGTGCCCTTTTATTTGAAGTTATCGTGTCAATTTTCTGGTGGAAATTGGCAGCCACATCCATCACTATTCATCTGTCTTTTTTTTTTTTTTTTTTGAACATCAAACTTTGATACATCTCCATCGTTGTCCTTTTCCTTCTCTCTTTGTTATGTGCATTTCTGGTTCCTTTGTAAATTTCCCGGTTTGAACCATGAGGGATTTAATTTTCAACTCTGTTTAATGTTCCACCTGTCGCTTTTTCATTCGCTCAATAAATTATTTATTGGTTGAAGATAGTTTCTATCTTTTTTCTTTACCAAAAAAAAAAAGAAAAAGATAACAATAGTTTTTGTGTGTGTGCTTGTGTGTTTGCTGCACTACTGCTTACTTAATTCTTCATATATTTCAGAATTTTATTTTTTTTTTAACTTTTATCTATTATATATAAGAGATGAGGAAATCCAAAGAAATAAGCAATGAAAGGCATTGGGAAGCTTTGAAATCCTGAGTCAATTATTTTAGTTATAAAAACAGAACTCTTCTTTAGTTCTAATTATAAGGTACAAATAATATTGTTAGTTCACATTTGTACGGTTGTACCTTATAATTAAGACTAGAGTAAATACTCCCACTACATTAATTTTCTTTTTTTCTCCTATCTAATTATGTAAAGTTGCTCATTTGTCTTATTCTCTAATGTACGTTCATCTACCTCCTCTAGTATTTTTCATGTAGCTTCGGAGCTGGTAGGAGGACAACATTTTTAGAGTGTTACTGTGATTCGTTAAATAGTGTATTAATTAATTGGAGCATCGGTTAGAAAGCGAACAATAATATCATTTAGAAAATTAGGAAGATTTATTTATTTATTTTGACGTTCTTTTATTCTTATGCTGGTTCCCTTTTGCTACAATCTCATGCAAATTCTATGATCTTGTAGAATTTAAGATTGGGCTTTTGCCTGCATATTGGGGGTAACCACCTAAAATAGTCCTTTGTCCCGAAAATAATTGTATAATTTATTACTCCATCTGTCCTAAAAAAAATAGTCCACATTGAGTTTTACAATTTGTACTAAAAACAGTACAATCTGTAAAACTCAATGTGAACTATTTTTTTAGGACGGAGGTAGTATTTTAGTATAACATTCATGATAATTATTTCAAGACTGAGAAATATCATTAAGGGAAAAAAAAAGAAAAAGAAAAAGAGACGAGGATGACATATTTATAGAGATTGTATTTTAAATATTGAATATAACCCTGTCGACAAAGAAATTGCAATTTTCTATGGACCCCATCGCTACAAATCACTAATTTACCACAGCTAAACTTAACTTCGGCCGCATAAGTTCGACAATGGAGTACAAACTTTGTAACCAAAAAAAAAAAAAAAAAGACAATGGAGTACAAACTTTAACATTTTATTTTAATTTATTTTTTCAATGGAAGTCGGAAAAGAAAAAACCCCTTTACCTGGATCCTTTACTTATACTACAAAAAAACCTTGGAGGTTCGATTTGAAAATTAGAAGCGTATATGTGTCTGTGTGTACTCAAGCTGACTTGCTCATTGTTTTGAACTCGTGATCATACATACAGTTTGGCGAATGAGTATCACATCTTCATTCACGTCCCGTAAAAAACAAAAAAAAAAAAGAAAAGAAAACACTAAATTGAACTAAAAACAATATGATAAAGTGGATTTTTTTTTTTTTTGAAATGTATGGAGTATAAATTATACAACAACGCAGTCTAATATGTGCGTTGACCTCAAAATTATATCAATCAAAACTAATTTGCCTTTTATGTTTCAAGCGAGTTTGTAAACCACACATATTACACAAACGTAACCAATATTCATAAA